AAAAAAAAAAAAAAAAAAAAAAAAAAAAAAAAAAAAAAAAAAAAAAAAAAAAAAAAAAAAAAAAAAAAAAAAAAAGCACCACTTACCTAAGAAAAAGAAATGCGGGGTTATCCGGGGTCCAATGGCACCTCGGAGCCCACGGTCCAATCGTCGCATCGGACGGAGCCGAAACAGCAACACGCTCGGTGTATGACTTTTCCGAGCATGTGTACGGCCTAAACACCTCGGGAGTTCTCAATTGTCATCTCCAGGTACCTTTGTACACATCGCCGATGCAGTCGGCCTCGGGTTGTTTGCGACGGAAAGCCTGGAACAGAATGGCCCCGTGAGCGAGGTTTGGACGTGCTGCCGGGTGACATTTGTTGTCTCCGACCTGACGGGTGGCAAAAGGAGGCTATAGCCCGGGGCAGTCGACGAAACGTCACACGGAGCCCGCCGTGAAAGCCCATTCCCCACCAATCTCCAACGGCACATGGGTAAGCGACAATGTAACTCCCGTGAGGATCTAGGATCTCGCTTCTCTGCGGGGAGCCCCGACCGCCGGTCGTCGATTGGGTGCCATCATTCGGTCGCCCCAGATTGATCTCCCACAGGCCATGCGGGCAGGTACATCCATGTCTGAAATCCTACCCGAGGGATCCCTATGGCCCGAGATACCGCTCTTGGAAAAACACCATGTGGGAAAACGAGAAGACAACAGAGAACCCACCCGGGGCAATCAAAGGGAACAGCCCTTATGGCCCGATCCACCGGAGTCCGTTTTATTTTACGTCGGTTTACTCTCCGAAAATGCCCTTGAACAGTGACCCTCGTCCCGCTTACCTGTTCTGGCGTTCCCGACGCGGGAAGAAACGGTGAATGGCTTGGTTCCAGACAAATGCCGATCCGACATCAGCTGCCAACACGGGGTAACGGGGGTTTGAGCTGTCGCTTCACAGCCAAGCGATAGCCAAGCGAGCAGAGGGAAGTTAAACCCACCGATTCCCCCGGATTCGAGGACGCGGAAGAAAATAAATTGGCCCGGAGTGTGGCCGGACGATAACCGGCCGACGGGAATTGTTATTCCAGCCAGTCTGAGGAGTTGGGATCTGAATCTGGGCCAACTAGAAAAGACACTGTCCTACCCCGATTGCTATTTTTCTTTTTTCTTTTTTTTTCGGTTTCCTTTTAGGCAATCCCTTCTTTCGTCTCCTTTCTCTGAGCCTGACTTGATCGGGTACAGATGCGCGATGACGATCATGAGATCATGGCTGTGTAGGGGATTTCAGACGGCTCTCAGGCCCATTGAATATGATACGTAGCCTCGGTCTACACAGTGTAGAAAAGGTAACATAAGAAGTGGTCTATACTCCGTAGTCGGGAAGATGAGGTAACCGTAATCTATCCGTATCCGTACGGTCATCGGTAATCAAAGGCAATCGGCAGCCGGAAACTGGGGGCTCCACAAACTCCAGGAAAAAGCGCGACCTTGCATTTCGACTCTCCGCAATTTCGCCAAATTCCCCAGCTCTGATTCGGCTTTTTTCCATTTTTTTCATGTCATTCGTTTCTCCCGGAGAGTTCCCCGTTCCCTCCCGACTTGTGTCTCTCTTACCGGTCCCGACTTTATTTTCCCCCACACTCCTCTTCTCTTCCTCCTTGGAAACCCTACTTGACTGTGTGCACGGCGGCCAGGTACTTCTCGACTCCGCGCATCTGGTAAGCGCCCATCTTATAGCAATTTGCTCTGCTGCATATGCAATACTAACCGTCAAAGAAACACCGAGACTGCGCCTGCGTCTATTTATCCCCGAGTTTTCGTCCCCGCAAAAGAAGAACCCGACCTCCCCTCCAATAGTAAATGGGTGAATCGCGACTGATCCAAATCGAATTGCCGCATTTCCGCAGACCTCGCGTCTGTTCAATACACCATGCGGTCTAGTATCGCTTGCGCACGATGCCGGCGTAGTAAGATCAAGTGTGTCAATTCCGGCATCGACACAGTATGCCGAGCCTGCGATACCTCCAACCGCGAATGTGTCTACCCAACCCCAGCAATAGGAGTGAGCGGCGCCAAACGAGACCTGGCGACCCTGGCAGAGGGCGACGATCGGAATGGGGACTGGGACGGTCCAAAGCGACACCGTTCTCGCAAGGTGGTGGGCATGCCTGGCTCGGCAGGTTCCAAAGCCGGCATGGATGCGCTGGATTCATCAATACTTACTCCCAAAGTGTGGGAGGCTGTCTTTGATCTCTTCCAGTCGCATTTCGCAACCCTTCTGCCGTTCCTACATCCCGCAACCTTCCTCGGCCAAATCCGACAACTTTCATCTCCGGCTCCACCCGCGACCCTCGACGGTCAAGATCCTCGAAATTCCGCACCCAAAATCGATCCTTCTTCCTCGCTAATTCCATTGGGCGTTCTCGCCCTGACGGCCCGCTTTCATGCCCCGCTGGCTGCGGCCCATTCATCACCCTCGCCCGGCCATCCTTCAAACCCTCTAGCTGCATCGGAATACTATGCGGCCGCCCTTCGCAGCCGGCTGGCCGGCTTGGATGGCATTAGCCTCGCTCAACCCGATCTGACGCGCGTGCAGGCGCTTTTGATGCTTGCCCTGCACGAATGGGGCATGTGCCGTGGCAAGAGTGCATGGGTCTACGTGGGCATGGCCATCAGATTGGCCCAGGCAATGGGCCTGTCTTTCGAACTCGAGAACGAGTTCCCAGCCCGAGATCCCTCCCTCTCATCCCCCGGATTCAAAGCCGAGGCCGATCATTTCGGGTTGCCGAGGCGGGTTGAACCCAGGGAGCCTACCTCGGATGATATCATTGCGCAAGAAACCAAACGCCGGACGTTCTGGGCCTGCTTCATCCTCGATCGATGCCTGAGCAGTGGGAAATACCGGCCCCGGATGATCCGAGTGAAAGACCTCGGAATTCAGCTTCCGAGTGATAACGCTTTCGCGTTCGGCGAGCGGGTACGAACGGCCCGACTCACTGAGCCGGCCGTTCGGCGGCCGCAGAGCTTCGGCTCCCAAAGCATGCAGATTCCTAGCATCCGTCAGAGCATTGGAGGATTCGGGGATGAAAAGCTACCTGGTCCCAACAGTACCCCCGACAACAAGCCTTGGTCGCCCATCTCCCGCCGCAAAGACTCGAGCGAGGAAGAAGTCGACAGATGGGAAGTTGGCGCGGAAGAGTCCGTACTCAGCCGCGTCATTCGAATCACCCGCATTTGGGGAAGCATTGCCAAATGGTCCTGCGCTGGTGGTCGTCGGATAGAGCAGTACCCCCCATGGCACCCGGAGTCTCGCTTCTCTTCCCTTCGTCTCCAGTTGGCTGAGTTCCAAGATAGCCTGTCTCGCAACCTGCAATACTCACTTCGCAACACCGACACCCACATCATGTACAAGACTACGTTGGCTTCATATACTGTGATGCATGTCGTCTACTTCCTCTCAGTGATCGTTCTCCACCGTGCTTATATCCCATTCCTGCCCCTTCGCTGCAACGAGCCTGTCGGCCCACTGGACGAGCCCTTGTTCCCAAACGACAAGTCCAGTGGCACACCGGATGGATTCTGGCGCGATAGTGCTCGTGAGCTTTTCAGGGCGGCACGACAGATGATTGATCTTGTCGCCACCTGCCAATCTCGCGGTGCCCTCGTTGAAAACCCACTGGTTGGATTTGCTATTTACAATGCTGCCTTCATTGGTTTGTATGGCAACCATTTCTCTCACATGGATCCCGATGGGTTGATGGGTGCTAAGCCACCTCCCACGAGCCACGACAGCCACCAGCTTGGTTCTGTACAGGCTCGCAAGGCTCTTGATATCATACGGGAGATGCGACCTCGCCTGAGGATGGCGGTCGGTTGGTTCCGTACTCTCAACCGGCTTCACACCTACTTCTCCAAAGTCAAGCGCGATTTCCGTCGGGTTTCCCGAAACCGACTGGACAGCATGTCAGATGCTTCGGAGCATCCACCAAATGGGATCCGTACTCTTCGCGAAGGTGGAGTCGGCGGCGGATTCGAAGAATTCAAACTGCTTGAGAAGCTTTTCCTCGACTTTGGAAGTATCGAGGATCAATTGACAGAGCCTGGAATGGAGGACGATGGCATTGCCGTGGCGGCAGCTGGCGAACCGATGTACGAGCGCAACCTCAGCGACGCCGGGAGCAACGCCGTCCGCAGTGAGACTGGTGACCCTAGTGACCAACTGCTTGACGGCGCCGGTGGTCGTCGTGAGTCATGGGTGCCGGTCAACTCCCCCGGCATGCCACTTTCCGGACATGATGGCGACCGTCGACCTAGCCTGCCACTACCAAACAGTCGTCCCATGCCATCCGGGTCTCCCTACTCCCTCCCATCTCTCCAGCAACATCACCCCGACGGCCCAATCTACACCACCTCTTCGCCGGGTCTTCCCTCCCTATCCGCTACCACCCAACCTCCCTCCCAGTACTTGACCGCAACAAGTAATCGCTTAAACCCCATCAACTCCTGGCTCCCTACCCGGCCCCAGGCTCCTCCCCCTCCATACTCTCAATCTCTTCCTCCCATCACCGCGGCCACCTCGCACGCCATCCCCGTTCTCCCACCTCCGGGCACTGTCACTCAACTCGCCCCCTCTCCTCCTCTGACCTCAACGGAGGGCCCAGACCCAAGCATGCTCTCAACCAGTCTTGGTGGCGACGATGTCCTTGCCTTCCTAGATGGATGCGAATGGTCTCAGCTATCCATGCTGGCGCCCTCGGAAATTGGAATCCCCGCCGGTTGGCTGAGCACTGTCTGGGGCCAATTTGGTCGCTGAAATACTCCCATGACGGCCCATCAAAACAGTGGTATCCCCCCACCACTCTTTGTATTATTACTCTTTACGGCCTCGTCACTTACGTCTCTCACGTACTGTACGATATCTCCTACTCTCTGCCTCTCTGTCTCTGTCCGATCGCCGACGACTCAACAAAAGGGCTCGACAACCCTTGTCGAGACCCCGAGCGTCGAGCGCGGACAAATCAAAGTCCAAATCCAATCATTTCACGCCTGATCTCCCTTTTTCACCCGGGACAGGCTGAAAACGGGATCACGAAGATTGATTATCACCGATACCCAGCGCGCGCAATCCTATTCCTGTGTTCTAGTTTGCTCATTTGCGTCTTTTCCTTTATTTCACATTGTCGTCGCCTCAATTTCCATTGAGCCTTTGGCGCTTAGGGCGTTTCACTCCTGGGGTGCCAATCCCAAGCGAGAGGCCTTTTTTGAATCTTCCAACCTTAATCGGGGGTTTGTTTGTTCCGTTCTGTTGTTTCGAGCGTCTTTTAGCCTGGGTCTGGCAGCGTGACCAGATCTTTCTCTGGCTTATGGTTCTTTTGTCTGGTATGTCTTATGGCCTGGAAGGCTGGGGGGTGTGCTTCTGCGTTCACGATAGCCTAACATAGGCGTTGATCTTGGTCTTGTAATCTGCAAGCCGGAATTTCGAGTCAACTATGTCTTCGCGGCTACTCTTTTCCAATCCGTGCAAATATTCCACAGTAGATCTTTCTAATGCTTTGGGATCATTCCAAGGTTCCCTCGCCCAATCAATGACCCAATATTACCATACGAGCAATGATCACCGGGCCTAGATTGCAAGTACATCTCCCGAGGTCTATCAATCCGCACATCAATAGCAGACCAAACCCTTTTCGTATGACGTATGCCAGCCCTGGAGTTACGAGAATTTCGCGGCTCAACCCACGCGAATAAGGCTGAGATCCGCATCTCTCAGCAAATCAACGGGGATCAAGCAGTCCGGTGTCGAATTACCTGATTGGGCAATGATCTACACTTTGGGCTGTGGATCCTGGGGCCTCACTCGTACCGAATGAAGGTTCGCAAATGCTCGAATTCCCTAACTGTAGGTCCTCTGGCTCCTGGGAACCAGGCAAATCATTTAGTTCTACACAAATTTCCCCATACTCCGGTAAATGGGGATGTCCACCTGGGCAAGTAGGTGGGTGGGGTCACTGACGAACGGCAAGCTCATCAGGTGGTGTTTATCTCCAGGGCTGTCTTGAACTACCTTCATGTTTCGAATAATTTATTGATAGTACCTTGCGAGGAAGACGCTGTAAGAGCCTTCATGATCATGGTCTCTGTGGCACTGGTATTGCATCTGATTCCTCCAGGGCTGTAGCGAGTACGAGAGCTAACCTTGGGACTTTGCTAGAATAGCCGACATCCACAGCTTCATTTGCAACTGGCATCACGAAGATATTAGTGAATTCAAGGTTCACATCCAATCGAACTGAGAGCTTGGGAAGCTTACAAGTTCCTCGCTCAATTTTAACAACCTTGGAATATTTCCTCTCGAATATTCGTTGTCTGGTCTGGCAGACTCGTCAACATCTATTGTCGGGGCTAGCAGCACGGCACGAAAGAGCTCCAGCGACCAACCCACTTCAAGACCAGTATACCGAGACGGGACCAAGTATTAGGAACCATCGGCGTCGGTATTCTGGATGATTCATACCTGAAAGGCGTCGCCGACTGTGCAGAAATGGGGAAAAGCAGGATTATACTGCCAAGAACCGGCCCTGGAGGCAACCAGAGCATTCCAACCGAATCAGGACTACTCCCGAAGTCAGAGCTAAGTAAATCACCGAAGTTGGGGCTAGTAGAAACCTCGAGTTGCTACCAATATATCGCGCGGTACGAGGTGTTGCATGAGCCACATTGGGCGGAGCAAGAGTATTCTCAGCTCTACGACGCCCGCCGGGCGTGATGGAAGTATGCCCAGCCCCAATCCAAGGCCGATGAAGACATTGTGGCGTCATACCCGTTGACTTCCATGCAGTTAGTGTAGCGGGTATGTCCACGGTGGCGTGTGCAAACTCCACGGTTAGAGCATCCTAGGTCTTCGCGCGAGGTATATGTACATCTCAAACATGTCTACCAACCCAGTGCACCGGTGAAACCGGGATCAGGTCGTTCTGAAAATCTGATGTAGTCGAATATATGCGCTACTGGATGACTGGAATGAGCCACATAACGGTGCAAGACTATTGTATCACAAAACAGGAGCCTGCTCTTGGGCTGACCCCGGGAGCCTCAAGCGCTGAACAAACTTCAGTGGCTCGCCAAGATTTCCCGCTCGTATACAATTTGCATTAGAGTATGACGGTCAGATAATCAATATACTACATGCAGATGTAAGATTTGCCAAGGATGGTCTAGACCAACTAAGTACCCCAGGTATTTTAAAGTATATTAAGATTCGGGACACGAGATTGGGTGGCCTCGTTAGATTGTCATCATTTGGAATACCCTAAGATATCTTAAGGCTGGAATGCATGCTACTACTACCAGCGGTGTCAGTCGTGTGTGGAGGGAATGCGGAGTTCTCCGTGTATACACCACACACAGCAGCACTGCTAATGCAAATTAATTCCCACCGACTGTTTGTCAGATGCTGGCGGTGTGTTCTGCAGGAGACTGGAGGCAAACTGGTTGTTCATAGGAGGTGAGGTGAGAGATGGTGGCCAAGTACTGTCCCTCGAAAGACTAACAGGCGTTCTTCGAGGCTCAACCTTGAGGGTTGTGTCATCGGAAGGTTTTCAGCTCAGGTGAGGCTGGCCAACACCAAGTAACGATTCTAAACGTCCCGACTGGAGTTCCCCGGGTTGAGCCTCAGCCCTGTGCCTCCTCATTATGTGATTTGGGCTATTTCAAATTGTGGCTTTCAAGGCGCACTGCCCAGGTGCTTACTCGGAGATGACAATGTAGTAGGCATCTCTACATTGGATTTGGAATTTAGACTTAGATAAACCCCTGCTTTCCGCGAAAGTTCTTTTCCAAGTCATAGAGGAACGCGGAGATATGGAAGGGATGGCCACCGAAGCCATGCATGCCCTGTGCTTATTGTTTCTTCTCTTTGGCCAGCTGGTGTCTGCTCTACGGTACGATGTCAAGTTGACAGATTACAATATCAACGAGAACAAGACTGCAACAAGAGTACTCGACTACTCGGGAAAATGGCCCGGACACACATACAACCCGTCACCTTCGAATTGGAGATTTCCGTTCTACACGCTCTTCCTTGATCGATTTGCCGACGGCGACCCAGAGAACAACGATATCAATGGGACTGTTTTTGAAACCGACACATTCTCGAATCAGTATCGGTTTGGAGGAGATCTGGCTGGTCTGGAGGATAGCTTGGACTACATCCAGGGTATTGGTATCAAGGTAAGTGTCGTGCTTCAGTACTGCGACTGGGTTACTGAGAGCCTGCTTCTCTAGGGAGTCTATATTGCCGGCACCCCATTTGAAAACTTCCCTTGGAAGTCGGATAGCTATTCGGTATGTGAATTCACTCAAAAATGTCCATGCGTCTAACCCGAAGAAGCCTCTCGATTTCAGCTTGCTGGACAAACATTATGGCACAATTCAACAGTGGAGATCGGCGATAGATGAGATTCACCGACGCGGGATGTATGTGATGATTGACAGTACCTATGGCACGTGAGTGATATTCCTTCCTCCTCTGGAGGGCTCACCTTGATGATGACTACCCATCTGACACTGCTGCGACTAGCATGGCAGATTTGCTGGGTTTTGAAGGGTTTCTCAATAACAGCGCTCCTTTGAACCCACTCGAATACAGGACCGTGTGGAAAGGAGACGAGAGATACTCAGACTTTGCTCCAAGTGATACTTACAACGAGCAATGCAACTATCCTACATTTTACGGCGAACTGGGGTCTCCCGTCTCCAACACATCTGACCCTCTTCTGGCACAATTCAAGGGCTGCTATGACAGTGAATTTGACCAAGTGAGTATCCCTACACACCGTCCAGATGAGACTAACCAATCCCCAGTACGGCGCTATCGACTCCGTGAGCCTCACCCCCGACTGGCAAAAGTCCTTGGCCAAAGCAGGCTTGGTGCAGGACCGACTACGAGAATGGGTCCCCTCTGTGAGACGGAAGATCGAGCATTTCACCTGCATGTTGATGACATCGCTGGACATCGACGCGCTCCGGTTCGACAAAGCAGGTCAAATAACCGTCGATGCATTCGTCAGTAGCTCTCAAGCTATTCGTGAATGTGCGGCTAGTCTAGGCAAAGACAACTTCTTCATCGGAGGTGAACTGACGGCAAGCAACTCATATGCGTCGATCTTTTTGGGGCGCGGTCGGGAGCCGGATATGAGACCACAAAGTCAGAAGGAGGGCATATCTCTTAGCAATGCCTCGAGCGATCGGTATTTTCTTCGGGAGCCCGAGGAACACGGCGCAGATGCAGCGGTGTTCCACTACAGTATCTACCGTGCTCTAACCAGGTTCCTGGGCATGGATGGCAACTTCACGGCACCCGGTGATCTGAGCGTCAACTTTGTGGATGCTTGGAACAACATACTGATCACGAACGACCTCATCAATGCCAATACAGGCAAGTTTGATCCGAGACATATGATGGGAACTGCCAACCAAGATACATTCCGATGGTCGTCGCTCAAACAAGGCACCGAGAAGATGCTACTGGGACAATTCATCACCTCTATCCACATGCCTGGGATCCCAGTCTTGCTGTGGGGCGAAGAGCAAGCGTTCTACATACTCGACAGCACAAGCCCCCTCGGCGTCTTTGGTCGACAGCCGATGTCATCCGCGCCGTCCTGGCAGACACAAGGATGTTATGGACTTGGATCCAGTCAATACAATGAATTTCCGATCGAGTCTGCATTGACTGGATGTCATGATGATGAGGTGAGCATGGATCACCGCGACCCCACACACCCAGTACGCAACATCATCAAGGCATTCTACTATCTCCGCGAGAGATTCCCTGCTCTCAAAGATGGCTATTATCTTCAAAGCTTATCGAAGCATATCCATAATGTCACACTCCCAGGATCGGGGGGCACAGAAACCGAACTGGGAATATGGAGTGTCCTTCGCGACCAGTACCCTGAAGTGAATGAGCTTGACCCGTCCAACAAGACTGCAGTCTGGCTTGTCTATGGCAATGAAAACAGCTCGGTCACATATGAATTCGACTGCACCTCGCCTGTGAAGAGCTTTCTTGCACCTTTCAAGGGAGGCACCCAAGTCAAGAATTTGCTCGCACCCTTCGACGAGCTCACCTTGAGGCCAAGTCAGGTCAAGCTAGGGATTCACGGTTCTGAAGATACCAATGGTTGCATAGAGCGAATAACCTTGAAACCATTCGAGTTCAGAGCCTATGTGCCGAAAGCACAATGGATATCTCCCCAAGCAGTAATGACTGGATTCACCCCGGGCCATGACGCCAGAATCGAGTCAAATACGACCACCACAGAAGAGCAAAGTGTTGAAATCGAGCTGCGATTCTCAGAGAAACTCGACTGTGACATGGTCACCAAGAGCATGACCATATCATCGACGACACAGAGTGGGAAAAAGGTAAACTTGAACGCAGAGAGTGTCTCATGTGATCTGGTCACAGCCGAGAAGACGAAATACACCGGACAAATTCCAAGTGCGTGGTCCTGGAAAGCAACTCTCGACAATGTCACTCACGGCATACACGTTCTCACGGTCAAGAATGCTTCGACAGCAACAAAATCTCGCTTCACCAACTCTGTTGATCGGCTGCTATTCCGCATCGGGCGCGAAGACAATCCCATGGTGTTTCCGATGCTAGCGAACTATACTGAAACCGGACTTACCAAGTTCACCGAAAAGAACGGCTTTTTGGTGAAGCACAAAGCCCCTGGTGCGGATAAATGGCGCTACACAACCAACTGGGCCAGCTCTTGGAGTTCCTGGAGACCATACAAAGGGGGTTCAAGCGAGATTGACAACTTGCCTTGGTCTGGGACCAAGAAACAAGAATGGGACGGAGACCACGTCATTCTACAGTACTGGAGTAAAGCCACTGGAAGTGGTCAACACATCCAACACATGGATACCCGCAAGTCCGACAAGGCTCAGAGGCGATTCCCCCACTTGTTTGCATTTGGCGACTTCAATCGTTTCGGCTCGGATATCGGACTCAGGAACATTTTCTCCAACGACCACAGTGGTACTTGGAAGTTTCACTTGTCAGCTGAGTGGCCATCTACATTCCAAGTGAATGTGTGGGGAGTCAATCCTGATAAGGAGATCGATCGAACATTCGTTTTTGGGGACACTCTCAACAGCAGTCGGCTGAATCGCTTACAACCCGACTCACTCTCGGTTGCCGATAACGTGGTGAATTTTTCCCAGTTCCCGCCAGCACCCTACATGGCCTACCGTATGGAACTGAATGATGGAAACATGAACTTTGAACTTGTCCCCGCGGGCCTGCGCCTCCATCAGCAAGTGCTGTACATATTGTTGTGGACACTCCCTATCCTCACTGCTGGATTCAGCGTTTGGGTTTATATGGGCGCATTTTACCATATCAACTTCAACCGCACCGGTGTCAGTCTACCGCTGCAATTCCTCCCAGCCTTTCTTCGACCCCGTCAAGGGTTTGAAAAGGTCAGTGGTGATGATCAAGGCGGCAATCCCATGACAGAAATGACGATTTCGAACGCTGCGGGCGTCCTCCCTTTGGCTGTCGCTGGAGCGAACAAGAAGAAACGGACAATTTTGCTGGCAACCATGGAGTATGACATTGAAGATTGGAAGATCAAAATCAAAATCGGCGGACTTGGCGTTATGGCACAACTCATGGGAAACAATCTTCCCCATCACGACTTGATCTGGGTGGTACCATGCGTCGGGGGCATTGACTACCCAATCGACACACTGGGCGAGCCAATGTCCATCACAATCGTCGACACAGTCTACGAAGTCCAGGTTCAGTATCACAAGTTCCGGAACATCACCTATGTACTGCTAGATGCCCCGATCTTCCGCCAGCAAACCAAGTCAGATCCTTATCCTCCCAGGATGGACGATTTGGAGAGTGCGATCTATTACAGTGCATGGAACAGCTGCATAGCTGAGACAATCAAGCGATTCTCGGGAACCATCGACATCTATCACATCAACGATTACCATGGCGCAGTGGCACCCCTCTACCTACTTCCCGGGAGCATTCCTTGCTGTTTATCCTTACACAATGCTGAGTTCCAGGGGTTGTGGCCGCTTCGTGATGACAAGGATATGGAGGAGATAAGCAAAGTCTTCAACCTGGATGTCACCATTATTCGCAATTACGTCCAATTTGGTGAAGTTTTCAATCTACTTCATGCCGGAGCCAGCTATCTTCGTGTCCATCAGCGCGGTTTCGGTGCTGTTGGTGTATCTAACAAGTACGGTGATCGCTCTTACGCACGATACCCGATCTTCTGGGGCTTGAAGGAAATTGGTAAACTTCCCAACCCAGACCCTTCCGACACAGAGCCCTGGGATCCCGAGGCAGAGGCACGCCAGGTAATCGAAGTTGATCAGGCATACGAAGACTCTCGTGGTGAAGACCGCCGCCAAGCACAGCAGTGGGCAGGGCTCAAAGTTGACCCTACCGCCGAGTTGTTTGTCTTCGTTGGTCGATGGTCACTTCAAAAGGGCGTGGACCTTATCGCTGACGTCTTCCCTGCAATTCTGGAGCGGCACTCCAATGTGCAGCTCATTTGTATCGGTCCGGTGATTGACATGTACGGCAAGTTTGCTGCCCTCAAACTACAGGAGATGATGACCGTGTACCCAAAGCGGGTGTTCTCGAAGCCTGAGTTCACTGCTTTGCCTCCCTTTATCTTCACAGGGGCCGAATTTGCTCTGATCCCTTCCCGCGACGAACCATTTGGTCTAGTGGCAGTTGAATTCGGCCGAAAAGGTGCCCTCGGTGTTGGCGCTTTAGTTGGTGGACTCGGGCAGATGCCAGGCTGGTGGTTCCCAGTCGAGTCCATGACAGTGAAACATCTCCAGAAGCAATTCAAATCGGCAATTGAAAGTGCGATATCTTCGAAACAGAAGGATCGGGCTTTGATGCGAGCAAGTTCAGCCAAGCAACGATTCCCAGTGGCTCGGTGGATCGAAGACCTTGATCACTTGCAATTACGCTCCATTCGCATGCATGAACAAGAGAATGATCCTACCAGAAAGAAGCGCTCGAGTATCTTGCACAGCCGGAACGCCAGCCAGATCTCGCTTTCCTCGGTCCCCTTCCCAAGTCCAAACATCGACATGACCATTCCAAGAGGCTCCCCGCCCCGCATTCCAGACGAGGGCTTGGGCCGGTCGCTGTCCCTCGGTGTACGTTCTGGTCCGGGTCACCGTCCGAGGCGAACTGTTCTACATGAGGGTACTGCCTTGACTCCTCGATTGGAAGAAATTGCCGATCCAGATGAACAGCCCATATCGTCAGAGGAGGCAGAGGCAATTGTGGAACAGGAACTCCGGGCACTTTCATCATCTACGAATTATGACACGGAGTCTCGGAGAGGCCGGTCTCTGTCTGGAACTCTGGCTCAGCCCCCGGCAGCAGCAGGCCTAGGAATAGATATTGCTCGTTCGACATCCAGAAGAGGCAGACTGAGATCTTCTTCTGTTTTGAGCGTGGATCAAATCAAGGGGACGCGTCAAAGTTTTGCCTTGGAGAACGCAGACCCTACCTTCAAGGACGAGACTGGGAAATATGCACGCTACTTCCAGGGTATGTTGCAGCGGTTGAACGGCAAAAACTCGGAGAGTGAGCTTTGTATCGAGGACTACATCGTCAACAGCGAGAAAGAATGGTCCGACAACCAACGTCAAATCAAGTTGGGTCGTAGATCCAGCCGCAGTCCATCGCCCTATCTCGGATCTCGAAGCTCACCATCTCTGACCGACCAAGCGGACGGTGATCTTGATGACGATGCGTCTAACTGGGAGGATTTGTCAACGCACGAGCTCTTGTGACCAGAAATTTCTCGGCGACCACCTCTAATTCAACGCTGGTTGTTGGCCCGCGTGTTTGACTGGCCTGTCTACTCGATACTACTAGCTTTGGGTCAAATCATGGCAGCAAACTCCTCCCAGATCACACTGCTCACATCGGGAGCCGGTCAAAGTCCAGTGGTTCTGTACGTTATGGGAAGCATCTATATTGTCACAACCTGTGGCTGGTGGCTTGCATTCCGCCGCGTCCCCTCTGTCTACCTTCTGTCCCTCCCTTTCGTTTTGTATGGCTTTGCATTCTTTGTCATCGGCATTGCAGCTTTCATCTCAGTGGGCACCGGCCAAAATTGGGCATATCACGTTGCGACTGCCCTTTACATCATTGGTTCTTCGAGCGGGTATCTGTTCTTTTCCCTCAACTTTGGGGATGATGGTATGTACCCTTCCCCCAGTCAAATTCTTATCCTCTAACTTGGAATAGGTGGCTCAAAGATTGAGTCTTGGGTCTATCGTGCATGCATCATCCAAGGCACACAGAACCTCTACATTGCTGCACTCTTCTTCTGGGGCGCTGAGATGGCCGCAGGAAATGGCAAGGGGATCGTCGAGTCTGCTGGAAATGTTGCAGCTATCACCATGCCAATTGGAGTATTATTGATAGCAGTGGCACTGTTACTGTTTACGGGCCTACCGAGCTACTACCGGCAAACTCCAGGCAAGATCCCGGCTTTTTACAAGAGCATTCTGCGGCGCAAGATCATCATCTGGTTCTCAATATCTATCGTTTTGCAGAACTATTTCCTCAGCATGCCTTATCAAAGAAACTGGAACTACTTCTGGGGATCCAAATACGTTCCTCGCTGGGGGATGTTCCTGCTCGCCGTGGTTTTCTTCATCGGGATCTGGTCCATCCTACTCGCCATCCTTGCCTGGCGATCCAAGACTCACTCATGGATCGTTCCCATCTTTGCCATCGGTCTTGGAGCCCCACGCTGGGCCCAGATGCTCTGGAGTACATCGGGGATTGGCTGGTGGGTGCCGTGGATGGTCGGTGGACCTCAAGGCTATGCCATCGGGGCCCGGGCAGTCTGGCTCTGGCTAGGCGTTTTGGACTCTATTCAAGGCGTTGGCTTTGGTATGATTCTGTTACAGACCCTCACCCGCATTCACATTGCCGCGTCGCTATGTGCCGCGCAGTTGATAGGCACGGTGACAACTTTGGTTGCTCGTGCCACTGCGCCAAATCGTGACGGGCCGGGAGATGTTTTCCCTGACTTTTCAGCAGGCATTTTGGAAGGAATTTCCAAGCCATGGTTCTGGATCGCGTTGGGCTGCCAGTTGGCAATCCCCATAGGCTTCTTCATGTTCTTCCGCAAGGAGCAACTTAACAAGCCATGATTTTCGATTCTGCGAGTACTACCCGAGATGTTCTTGAATGCTTTTTATGGTCCATTTTAGTTTTTGTTATCAAAATAGAGAATATTTCTGAGACAAAGACAATCCTGAAGGTACGAGAGACCACAGCCGGGATCCTTAAGAGCGAAGACTCCGTACTTCATACTTCTAAGACAACCCTCGGGGTGAATAGCCCGTTTTGGAAATAGATCGTCGCACTTGTGGAACCATGGTTCCGTGGTGTGACTAGCCCCAATTAGGAAATAATTCAGACATCAATATCTCAGGCATCAGTTTCCTATTTTGGCGCGTTTTCCGCCCATTGTCCCATTGTCATTTTGATCTATCAAGCGTGTTTAACCAGTGTCAGAATAGTTGCATTCTCAGGGCTATCTATTTGAGTGAATTTATTTTGTTCTATAATTCAATCTCACTTATGCGCTTTACAAGTCAAGGCTAATAAAACGTTTCTCGATTTCGTGAATTCTCTTTTTCTCGTCACAATCTTTACATGAGTTCTTGATGGCCCCCTCAGGCGTAAAATTTGTCATGGCGAGTGGACCTCGCGAAGTTGGAGCTCAGGGCATTTCAGGCCAGGCTCAAGATCTTTCTCGGAGAACTCAGGGTTTTGCCCGTGAGGTAGAAGATGTGCAACCTTGACAGAATCGCGAAGGCCCTTTGAAAGAGCAAAGATCTTGTCCATCTCCTCCAGACTCCGGCCAGCAGTTTCAGGGAAGAAGTAGTAGATGACAGGGACCATGGCCGCATTGCAGCCTGCGAATATAACAAAGTAGGTCTGTCCCATACTGGTGAAGGCAATCGGGGTGACGAGGGTGATCAAGATGTTGATGGCCCAGGAACAGCTGATGCTGAAGCTGTTGATGGTCGTTCGCAGGTGCAGAGGCGCAATCTCTGTGGCATATATGTATGGTATCGCGCCGAAGCCGATGATGTAGCTGAAGTGGAACAAAAAGATGAAGAACACAGCACCGCGCGCTGCTAGGGGGTTATGCGTCTGGGTTCCGAGGCCGGCTACCAACGCCAGACACACGGCGTTCCCGATTGCGCTGCCCAACATCAATACGCGCCGGCCGAGTCCTTCGATTTTGAGGACACAAAATATCCCACCAAGGGGTCCAGCGAGTTGATAGACAGCTGCCAGGATAGTAGATGTTGAGTTCCCGAGGTGAAGGTTGTTTTCAAAGATGCTGGTTGCTGGAGAGTCCCAGTCAGATGGTGGTATGAAGTGCTAGACGGCTGAGGAACTTACTGTAGAAGGTGATCACTGTCGATCCAGTGAGTTGCATGAACAACATACACGTCAGAGCAAGCATAGCCCGATGGAAGGTTCTCTGCGGTCCCATGTGGAAGAACTGCCCAAGAGACTTCTTTCCGGCCATATCCAACGACATCTGAACGTCTTGGATTTGTGTTTTCACGGTCTCATCACCAACAGAAGTATCATCAAGCGCAGCGAGAACCTCGCTGGCTTCAGAGATGCGGCCTTGTCGGATCAACCAGCGTGGGGACTCCGGCAAATAGATGATAAACACCAACACGGCAAGGGAAAGCAGCAGCACAAAAGCAAATGGAAATCTCCAAGAGACACTCCCTCGAGTGAAGGACATCCCAAATTCAAGGAATAGGGAAAGAGCACACCCGAGACCACTGAAGATCCCTTTCATGCCAACATGGGCTCCGCGCTTGTTGGGAGGAGAGATCTCAGACTGCCAAAGCGGGATAGTGGCTAGGAGCACACCCGTACCAAGACCAAGGATCACCCGTGAGATGATGAGCATGCTCATGAAGCACGCACTAGCCATCAGAGTAGTTCCGATGATCTGTGCAGACGCACCGGTCATGATCGATCGTCGGCGGCCAAGTCGATCGCCGAGCCATATGCAAGAAAGCGTTCCCAAGAACACGCCTACAGCGTAGGCCGCCACGACAATTCCCTGGATGGTTGACGCGTATGATTTGTTGATAGCGGTAGATATATCGAGCTCGGGGAATTGGTCTTCAAAGTTCCTCAGCTCGAGGACACCGCCCAATGAGGATGCATTGTAGCCCGTTGTGAGGATACCGGGCATCAACACGCCCAGTATAGCCATTATATTGAGGCTATTGCCTCGAAGACCGAAGAAGCGAGTCATGTGTGAGGCTGGGTAAAGATCTACCGGCGTAGACCTCGGGATCTTTGTGTGGGAGTATAAGATTGAAAGATCGGCGTGATCGACAATGATCCGCACGTCGAGGAAGCTTGGTGAAATCAAACTTCTTGATCGCCGTCAACACTCCCATCTCCAGTATATAAAGAAAACGAGAATGCCGCACTCCGGGTAGCTCGGCCCATTTCGACAAAGCCTTGAGGTCTGCATTCTTCCCCGTAGCATGGTCTCCTCGATCTGGGCCCACGATAGGAAGATGCAGCCACACGTTCAATAACGGGACATGCAAGGCCCCTGGAATCTTTGCTGTCAACTGGATCTGGAGCCACGGGTTCTGTCACAAGCATACCTGAAAGATGCAGGGAGCCTAAGCAGGAGTCGCCCTTGTGATGGGACACCAAGAATGCGGAGATGTAGAAGGACCGAGTTAAGGCGAAGAGAGAGACTGTTCTGGGCAGATTCCTGCAATAACCCCGGAAGTGCGGAGTGAGTTATTTCGAAGAGCCGATGCAAGGGGGAAGACCTCGGCTTGAAAAGCTCACTGGAGTGTCAGTCTGGGGTCTAGACACCACAAAGTAACCTGGTGCTCTGTACGGTCATCTGCACGATGTGTTGGAGACCCCTTTGTCCGATCAGACCATTCAACAAGATATTTTTGTGCGTCGATGGGCTGTGCTAAGTTCAATCTCTCATTTGGTATGCATCTTCAAATCGCGAATGTAACCTTTAGGCTCAGCAATCAAACCTTGGAACCTTCCCGGGCCGACCCCAACCCAAGTTAGCCCTTTGGCTCAATGCTGAGTTCAATATCTCTCAGAGATCTATGAAATTATCTCCGATTGGCCGAGCATCGAGGGGTTGGAATGAGGCTTGGAATGAGACTTCCCGTTAAGGTTGCAGTTAATAACTCGTTGTTTCGGCGTTGATTGCTTGGGTAGTTGTGACTGATATAAACTCCTTAATACAGCAAGGAGACTGCGGAGAGCCCCGGAAGATACACCTGATCTTGATTTGGCCATGTTGCCCAGGCTGTTATTTCCTGTTTTGTGTTTTGTCGACGACGTCCTGTATCGGTGAGAGTAGGACTCAATATCAATACCCTGCGTTGGAATGATAGCAATACTCCTGCCAATAATTACAGCGAGAAAGGGGGAACTCAGAGCCCGAAGATGAATTTGATAATTCAGTCTAGTCAATCAGAAGCTCTTAGGTGGACATTGCACTCATTATACAGCTGTCCCAGTGTCTAGACGCATTGACAAGTCAGGAGACTTACTGTCGATTTCTCAACCGGATTCCTGCGTAGCACTCCGCCGGCTTTTTGGAAAATCCTTCATGCGACTTCATGGTCTGCTGGTACAGAGCAAACTCATACCGGCGGAACAAGGTCCCAATAATCAACTGCAGCTCCATTATAGCAACGTTCTGTCCGACACATGCACGGGGTCCGTAGGAGAAAGGATTGAAAGCCGCTTTTTGTCGCGCCGACAAACTCAGCCAGCGATCAGGCCTCATTTCTTCGACGTCTGGTCCCCAGATCTCTTGCATATGATGTATCGTATAAGAGGGCACCGAAAGCACCGTTCCTGGTGGGAAGTAGAAATCGTCGAACTTGACGCCAGGCCCATTCTCGGCGACCAGACGTGGTAGACCAATAGCCGAAGTAGAATGGAGTCGCATCGCTTCGTCAATACATCTTCGAAGGAACGGAAGATCTTTGACCTCGGCATAAGATGCAATCTCTGAACTCGGATTAATTGCTTGGTCGAGCTCTTCTTGTAGCCGGGGAATAATTGTGCCCGGGGCGCTTCGTTCACCATGCAGAATCCAGTAGAAGATGCCACATGCCGTGTTGGATATAGTGTCTGAGCCAGCAATCAACTGGGTGAGCGCTTCTGCGATGATTTCGTCTTGTCCCATCGGCTGACCATTGGCATCCCGTGCTTGTAGCAAACGCGCCAGGATATCATTGCGGGACTCTCCCGCTCCTTTCTCCGCTGCCTCAAGTCTTGAGGCAACAGCCGCAACAGCAATTCCGGTCAGATTCTCCACGGCAGCTATGCCCTTGCTAAAGAATGGATCTGGGAGATATCTCGCCCATGGACGCAGGGATGGAAGAAGCCCCAAGGTGGAAGAAACTTCACCTCGCCGGTTGAGAACTTCCACTGCCGGAGTGTAGGAGATGGGGCCTCCGGGGACAAGTTGCGTTTCAACTTCATCTTTACCCTTGTTGACCATGCCGAATGGGGATCCAAATGCCAAGTCTCCAATGATATCAAAGGCAAGATAACTGAGCCACGGCATGGCGTTGAAACGAACAAAGTGCTTCCCATCGGGTTGGGGCTCGGAGGCTACAATCCGGTCCAGCTGGGCTGTCCATCGCTGTAGATTCTCCGCCATGAGTGGCTCGAATGCAGCGACCGACTTGGGCGAAAAGGCATGAGATATGATCTTGCGCTTGCGTGTATGTTCCGCGCGGTCGCGCACATTGAACATGCCTGGCGTCCGGGCCACAAACGCTTGGTAGTAGTAGCTGACTTTCTGTCAGGACAACTCCATTTTGTAGATTGACATCACATACTCTTTCAAAAAGCCGTTCCCATGTCCATACACGACGTTCAAGGCTCGCTCGTCAGCGATAGATACATGGTTAAATCCAATGCGAACAACTTTGCCATGTTTGCGATGAGCTGAATCGACCACCGCATATTTTTGGCCTCGGCGAGCCCCCAATCCAACCCAAATGTTGCTGAATTTGGCAGCCCACGGTCCTGGTATATGAATCAAGTGTCGGTAAGTCACCAAGTAAGGGAATGTATAATAGATTGTCAGCCAGACTGGGATAGCCATAGCCAGCCAAGGCGAAAGGAGAATGCCTAGCAAAGCCATTTGGTGAGCAAACTATAGAGTGAGAACGAAGACAAGAAAATGGAAGACTATTCGCTGTGTCGGGAAAACTGGACATGGCAGATAATATACAAGTACATCTCTCCCTGTTCAACACCCAGGTGAAAAGTCTCAGAGTTCAAGACAACGCAGAGGGGCGTCAGCGCCCGCAGGTGATCTACAAGCTTGGTGTATCTCCACGCTCAAAGATCAAACCAGAATTCAAGGTTGGCTTATTGGATTTCGCGTGAATCAAATGTCGTCGCTCGCGCATTGGCTTGCCAAACCTCTAGCAACCCAGATAGTTGAGATTAGCAAGGCCACTCTCATTGCACAGACAACGTGGGATAAGTCCTGTATCGAGTGCCGAGAGATTAGGTGTGACCGAAAAAGCCCCTGCACTCTTCTTGTTGCCACTCGACTGAGATGCACATTCCATGGATGTACATCTATCCCGTGCTCCGTGCCCGGGTGCTCCGTACAACAGCGGTACTGCCTGCTGCAGCAAAGAACAGAGCCCAACACCCCCACTCTTTCGTCACTGTTGCATGGCAATTCTAGGGGGAGCCGATCAGCCTCAGATCAAACCCCCTTGAAAACCCGCTTAGGAACCCCCACTGTTTGGAACGGCACACATCGACGTCCATCAAACACGGAGAGACCCTTATCAGCGGAGAACCCAAGTGTTGAGATTCTGTCTGAGACGACGCCTAGGGCCCAACAAATACAATGTATTTGCTTATCTGAGGCCAATTAATTTTTCGTAGACCAGGAATGCTCCAGGGCTCTCGCCCTTGGCTTCTGGTGTTGCAAGACAAGACAACCTAGGATTCCCGGACATTCAAGCCTCAGGCCTCTCGGGCAAAAGTCCGGTGTTTGTTGTGTTTGCTATGTTTGCGCTGTTTGATCTTTTGTAGTGACACGAATGGCTGCCGCTTGTTTGACCGAGCGAATCGACATCACCGCTTGCGGTTGCTGCAAATTGACGTTTCAGACTGCAAGCCGGTATGGAATACCAGTCAGCACACTTGACACCGGCTCCCCGTGGCGAGTATTTAGCCATGGACCTTTTACGCCTCTCAGCAACTCGGTCGAGAGCCTAGTATACCGGTGTCAACCACGTTGCCCAGGTGGACGATTCTAGTTGGAAATCAACGCGTATAATTGGATGTCGCCTGCCCAATTCAGTCAGCCCGGAATTTTTCTCCTTCTCAGGCTCGCGAGATGGGTCCAAAGACACCACCGTCATCCTCATAAGCCTCTTCGACTAAGCTATGGTACGCAAGGTCGTGGGACTGGCAAGCCAGCCAACAAACATTGTGATGCCAGGCTCGGGAATCAAGCCTATGAGGCAGCAGACTTCATAGTATCCCAGGCGATGACGCTAGCCGTATACCGATGCCAAGCTTTGCAGCATGGCGGGCCAATCGACTCTCGCCTTCACCATCTGGGAAGAAGAAGCATATCAAAGGGTGCAAGCAGCACCGCAGGCCAGCATATCAGATTGACTGCGAGATTCAAACACCCACTCGGGGGCGCACAAGCTCCGAGGATTCGAAAGTTGTTTGAAGCATGATCCTAACCACCACAGGTACGGTCAGTGACAGAAATGAAAACTTGGAAGCTACCTATATTTTGGTCAGCATCATGGCCCTGGACTGAGATCCGACAAGCCCCGTGACCGAGATTCTCTTCTAGCACTGCTCGAGGTTCCGTTTTGGTCATGGCTCAAGTCCAGCGTAGCGTGTTCCTTGGTGAAGATCTTCAGAAGCCAAATGCTGCGTGGTAGGGGAATGGGAAATGGAGATACGTTTCCAAGATCCCCGGGAGAATTTCCGCTGGAAGAATAAACACACACGTAAACAATCTAGAAATCCCAACTTCCTCGCATTTCACGCTGTGTTTGGTTTCACCTCTTATTCACATCTCGCTTCACCCTACATTCATCGAAACTTCATCGAAACTCAGCTCCTTGCTCCGACTGCGATAAACATGGATGCCCACAACGCGTGAGATAGTACCAGCCCCATGAGCCTGGTCGTGATCTAACCTATCTAGAACCCCCTATGGGGTTAGCAAGAAGATCAGACTGTTGATCGACGGCACCCACCCCGTTAGAGCAACAATTCTCCACACCTACGAGCCCTTCAATTCCTCCTGCACAATGAACATCTTGTTTGACACCGATCTTTCCTTTCTCGGTATACAAGGCAAGGTCGTCTTGAAACTTTTCGATCGAAGACACGCCGCCGGACTACGTCTCGCCTCCGGCGCTATTCCATGGTCACCCGCGTTGGAGACTCGATACGCTCGCATGATCATGGATGGTACCCCAGCGGTAGTCCAGTCGCACCTTATCAAAAGACTCAAGGCCTTTGATAGCAATCCGTGAGTGAAAAGACACGCCAGTCCACTGACACAATCAACTAATTAGAATTCGCAGCGAGGATCCTCGTCCCATGGACCGCGTTGCGCATGAGAATTGCTTCCAGGTATTTTGCGAAGTCGCCTTTTGTGCGAAAATGCGAACTCTATTCGAGAAGGAGGTCGAGGCGTATACTCTACTCCAGGCTCTGCAGGGTACTGTGGTTCCTCGACTGATTGCCAAGGTGACTGTCATCGAGCAACCGGAGTTTCCGCGTCCTACCAATCCACAGTGTCTGGAGGTACCTGGTCTGATCTTTCAGTATCGCGATGGATTTCCGCTCGCTGAATTCCCACGTCATACGCCGATGAAATTGTGGCCGGCTATCGTTGATGAGACGACTCGGACCGTGTGCAAGATTATGGATTGTGGCATTTTGCTCCACGAACTGTGCCCTGACAAAGTTCTTGTGAAGTTGGGCGATGGGCCTGGGCTCCGTATCGAGATCTGTTTCTTGGACTTCTCGAAGTGTAAGCTTCTTCGGGACTTTGAGAGTGAGGAGGAGATGAGACATGCCCAGGTGACTTACTTCCAGGATCTGCAACCGGTCTTCACCTACACACTTCGCTAAATGCTTTTGTCTGAGCGCAATATGGTCTCTGCTGCTATCAAGGGTGTTGCTTGTTTGTCTTGGCATGCTGCCTAGCTGGAGCCGGTAATGTCTAGTCTTCATACCGTATGATTATGCCAAGACGCTGAAGAAGCGACGATGATTTTACGGAGAGAAATTACGTTTATTAAATTAACTGTCGGGGTGCTTATCCAGTATAAGCCTAGCGGTGCAGAGAATTGACTGCCACTTCGGCTTAGCCCGACGCTACTTGGCTTCGACCTGCAGAATTCAGTTAGGATAGGCATGGCAACTGAAACTCTGCGAATGAAGTATTTCTTCTCTGGATGCTAGTGAACATTCTCTGGCCCGAGCATATCTCCACTTGACTTTTCATATAAACCCTTTTGATCTTATCTGATCCGCACTTTCGCATCTACTTTTCCTCGGTTTTGTTGCATACTTCTTCCGCTATGGCCAGCGAAGGACTTCCAAAAGATCAATTCTCCGATCCTGAGATCCAGGGAATTTTGGAAGGCGATGCACGCTTTCGCCGACTGGGCTGGAAACGGCTGACGATTATCTCAATCGTTGAAGCCATTGCTTTGGGAAGTCTAGGCTTGCCTTCTGCCTTCGCTTCCCTCGGAATGGTCGCCGGTGTCATTCTCACCATTGGTCTCGGCTTTGTCGCTGTCTACGCAGGGTATAGTATCGGCGAGACCAAGCTACGGTACCCCCAGATCGGCCACTATGCAGATGTTGGCCAATTGCTACTGGGAAACGTTGGATCTAAATTGTTCCTCGGTAGCTTTGTCGCTCTCCTCGTCTTCGTCATTGGATCTCACTGTCTGACCGGCGCCATCGCCTTCCAGACAATCACCCAAAGCAGCTCGTGCTCGATTATATTCAGCGTGGTGTCGGCCGTGATTTTGCTCATTCTCGCTATTCCACCTTCATTCGCGGAGGTGGCAATCCTGGGCTATATTGATTTCGCTTCGATTATTATCGCAATTGGAGTCACCATGATTGCGACCGGTATCCAAAGCTCGAGTGGTACCGGTACCTTCGTCGACCACACCCCTTGGTCGGCTTGGCCAAAGCCTGGTCTTACATTTTCGGCGGCGATCGTTGCAGCCAACAATATTGTCTTTGCATTTTCTTTCGCTGGCTGCCTTCCGTCATTCATGGAGGATATGCATACCCCTGAGGACTATACCAAAACGCTTTGGTGGCTTGGAGGAATCCAAATTGTCATTTATACTCTCACCGGCTCGATCATCTACGCTTTTGTGGGGCAGGAGGTTCAATCGCCCGCCCTGCTATCCGCAGGGCCGGTTATCTCTCGGGTCGTCTTTGGGATCGCACTCCCAGTCATCTTCATCTCGGGGTCAATCAACACGACCGTCGTTTGCCGGTACATCCACGGAAAGGTATACCAAGACTCAATCGTCCGTTACGTGAACACAAGAAAGGGCTGGATGACATGGCTAGGCCTCGTGCTTGTTGTCACGATTCTGGCTTGGGTCATTGCTGAGGCGATTCCGATTTTCTCGGAGTTGCTTTCGATCATCTCGGCTTTGTTTGTGTCTGGTTTGTCCTTCTATATTCCACCGATCATGTGGTTTGTGCTTTTGAAAGAAGGTGCCTGGTATGAAAGGCATAATTTGAAGCCTGCGATTTTGAATGGTATTGTTTTCATTGTTGGCATGATCATTTTCGGATGTGGCACATATTCGAGTATTGCAGAACTAGTAAGGCTGGCCCATCCCCCTCGAATCATTCAATGCTAACTTCAAACCAAAGGTTCACAAGTTCCAGTCGGGCTCTATAAGCAAGCCATTTACCTGCTCTTGAATCTTATGGTTGTATGTCCGTGTCATTATACTCAATGATCGTTGCGTGTTATGGGTGGAAGGAAAATTTTTATGATCACGATTTCATTTCTTCAACAGCAAGTCTACGCCTCTTTAAATCAGAACTCCATAAATGTCAGTATGTCTGAAGTTAACGGCAATGAAACCCTTGGAACGGGGCGGCAGTGATAGAACTCCTCTACATCCCTCGATGTTTATCTTTGCGCCTGCGCCTCGATCACTTTTCCTTGCGCTGAACAAAGGTCTCTATCTCTCACTCACCTGTATCCATCTCACTGTCCCAGCCTTGTTCTGTACCTGGCTCTGCGGGTTGGTTAAGGGCTACGAAAAGCTCATTATCGGCTGGGTCAAGGCCTTGACTGAGTGCTGGGTCGACTGGGTAGGGGTAGAGTGTTGGGTCAAACAATGATGGGTCGACTGCTGGATCGACTGCTGGATCGACTGCTGGATTGGCTGGGTAGAGTGTTGGGTCAAGGAACGCTGGATCGGAGAGGGATGGGTAGAGCTCTGGGTCAAACATGGATGGGTCGTCTACCAGCTCAAAAGGGCCTTGGCTGGCGGCTGGGTCGGCAGCTGGACTCACAGGGATCCTCGACGCGGCTGGTTCTCGTCTTCGGCGTTTCTTTGGAGGAGACGACTCTTCGGCCTCTGGGCTCCTGACCCGCTTTGATATATTTGAAGTCTCCCTGCTTGGCTCTGCTGATTGCGTTTGAGTACCAATTCGCTCAGTGGGACGGGCTAGGGCTGGTTGGGACGCGGCCATTGCTCCACCTAATAAATTGTTAGCATGGTCATGTGGAAGGGGAATGGGGAAGATGCTTACCTGTTGTTTCACCGGACCTGATGATGATGGTCAAGTTTGGTCGCGCGAGAGGGGATCGCCTACGTTGGCTGTTCTCGGGTTCGGGGGATGGTCTGCGTAGTATAGGGTAGTTTTGCTGGATGAGTCGTTGGACTACGGATATCAGATTGATGTTGATCAGTCTTGCTTCGCCAGCCTGTGCTTGATTTAAGGTCAATGGATTCAGCTGGTCCAGTGGGGTTGGAGACATCCAGATCGTCTCTTTGTCAAAGAGGTAGTTTTCGTCCATCAGAACCTGCTTAAGCTTGCCCAGGTTAGCCTTACCAAAATCGACCCAGTCTCCATTCTCACTGATGTCCATGGGGTTGGTCTGGTTAAGGAGAAAGTCAGCCAATCTGATTGCCAAAGGCTGTGAGGGTGCATCTGCTCGGATGATCTGGATATCCAAGTTAGGGAATACATAGGGCCGGTTATATTGAAACCCGGTCTGTGCTGGAGGTCCTGCAGGTGTTTCATCTCCTGCTTCCGATCCCTTGGGGGGACTCGCTGACCTGCGTCGTTTGGGAAACTTTGGGGTCATCGAAGCAAGATATAGTTCACGTTTGGTCTTATTGTGATTCGGGTTTTTTCTCTCCCAGGCCTCTCTGAACTTGGGTGCTTCCCGACAGATATACCGATGTAGAGCCGCCTGGAGATAATTTTGAGTTGGCTGAGAAGCTTTGACGGCGGATGGGATTCGGTCCATACGATTCTCGAATTCTTCCATGACTCTTTGGTTCATCGTAAAGTTTCTCAGCATGTTTGCCACGATGCTGCCTGCGGCGTCGAATTCGTCCGCAACCACCTCATATACTTCCTTAGCCACTGCCATAAGCTCAGCTTGGGCATGCAGATTTTCGTCAATTCCCAGGAGAATATGGATGTGGTTGAGTGGGATTCGTCCTGACCACGTCAGAGGATCAGAGCCCACATCTGGTATCGGCATTTTCGAGGCACGGTAGTGCTTTGGGGGTACTTTAGTCTCGCTTGTGTACTACCTAGGTACTAGGTAGTTGCTGGGCTTGTGTACCTAGTTGCTGGTGGAAACCTTGGAATGATTTGGATATAGATTGTTCGATGGCCAGCTAACATATACTGTATACCTACTAGGTAAGCACTGTTCAGATGTTCAGGGTACCTGGGTGGACATTGGTTTATAACCTTTCGAGATTCGAACAAAACTTCTGTCTCTTTCAGGCTGACACTCCATTGTTTGAAAGAAACAAACCTCGGGCCTTCACAAAGAGACCCTCAACAAAGATCGATAAGTATCTCCGAGTCATGAATGAACACGACTGTATACCTAGACGAACAATAGCTTTGACGGAAACTTCTATCAAAAAGATCACAGAATGGAGGTTCGAATCAAAGAAAATCAAATTGGATATTTTTGTATGTAACTCCCAAAATATGTAAATGACAAAGACCGCTGGTACCTTGGTACCCAAAAAAATGACAAACAGGATCGCTGTACAGCTAATATCTACTATTCGTCATACTCGTTTACCAAAGCCAAAAACCTCTTATGAGGCGTAGTACTGACCGGCCTCGTTGAGAGCCTTGTTGGTGAGGAGGTACTTCTCGGCGCACATGAAGTACGAGTAACGGGTGACACCGGACTGGGAGTCCAACCAAGGAATGACCTCCTTGAGGAACGCAGTTGTGGTAGCGAAGTCAGAGGAGCCGTTGGCATCGGCGCTGAGAGCGAACTCGGTGATCCAGACCTCAGACAGGTTGTGGGTGTTGGCGGTGTCGACAGCCTGCTTGACGAAGGACTTGAACTCGTCGGCGGTGGTGCCGTACCAGTGGACCGCGAGACCGGACATCTTGCAGTCACTGCAAGATCCGATGAAGGACTCGAACCAGCTCAGACCGAGGCCGGAGTCAGTGGAGGAGGTCACAGCAGGAGAGATGAGCTTGGCCTTGCCGGCGAAAGGAGTGATGTACTTCTTGTAGTAGCCGGCGGCGTCGGAGGGGCTCATGTTGGCCTGCGAGGACATGTCGGGCTCGTTGAAGCCGAGGATGTAGTTGCTGCCCTTGGCCAGGATGGTCTCGACGGTGGTGATCCAGCCGCCGAAGTCCTTGGCTCCCCAGAGCATGGGAATGAATTCCACGTTGTCGGGCATATCGCCGGACAGAGAGCCACCCCAGTTGTAGGCCCAGGAGATCAGGCCGTTGCTGGCCAGGGTGGAGACGGTGGACTCGTCATTGTAGGCGGCACCACGCTTGCTGGACGAGGTGCGCTTGACCTCGACGGGGGCGGCAATGGCAGCAGTGGCAACGAGGCCGGCCGTGAAGAGTTTGGTGAGGCAAACCATTGTGTATATAGATGCGATATGTCACAAGAGAATGGACTAAAAGATAGATGAGAGAGAAACCGGTTCTCAAGCTTTGCAAGGAGTGTATATAAAGCACGTAGCTTAAGGAGTGTCGTAGACCGTGCACGGCACAGGACTAGATGAGCAAGTAGAAGGAGTGTGTGTGATGATAGAAGACAATCAAGGGAGGGACAGAAGGGTTTTAAATCTTCAGGCACACAAATGCCAAAGCTACCAGCCAAAGCACCTGGATGGGCCGTACCTGAGCCACATCATTTCTTCATGCGTGTGGACCGCCGGGGGAAAACCTCATTGGGCGCTCTCATGTCAACGAAGTGGTTCTACATCAGAACCATGTCTCTCGCCAGGGCAAAAAATCAATTCCCGATTTCATTGGCGCCGGGGAGCAGGGGGAGGCGATCGAGGCGTCTCCATCTCTGGGCCGTTGACAGGAACCGGAACCATGGTGATTGGCTTGAACCGAACGTTTTTCATTTACGCTCCAATTAGGATCTATTCGAAAAAGAAGATGATCGAGTTGCACTCCACAGCCCAGAATTATAGTGCGCTCCACTATGGCCTGGACTGCGATGAAGGTCTATCACAATCGATTTGGATCCTAAGGGGGAAAGGATATTTCGTCCCTGCCATAAGGAGATTTGATCGTCCTAGATGATCCAAAGCGATAATCAGGGTCTTTCTTTGTACTCCGTACCTAGGTATTGAAATAGAATCAATAATCGATCATCGAGAATCGATAATCGGTCCCTCGCAGCGCGAGAATTCGCATGTGGAGTGGGGAGCGTCAACAGCACAACCACGGAACGGAGTGCGTGTTCCCAATGGCCATACAGTCACGTTGGGTGGTTCCCTGGTACCCGGCCAGGGGACATGACTTGATTGGTTTCTTTGGGATACATCTTTGGGTGAGCCCCCCGAGCACCCAATCACATCACAGTGAGCTCAACTCTCATCCGAGGTACAGTAAATGAAACAAACAAGCCGTTGGAAACGAGACTCATTTCTGTTCCTTTCATGGCGATGAAGGCCATACGGAATACATACGCAGTCCTCAATTAGTAGTTCGAGGCTATTGCCAGCAAATGTGACACACCGACACCATTAGCGCCACACAATACACTCGGCCACTCATATCGATCTTCTATTATTTTCTATTGCGGATCGACATGTTTCACTTACAGACCCAGGCCTTTACGATCTCCCTTTTAGCCCAATATTTTAGTAGCCCTCCTTACTCCATTCGGATGGGTCGACTGACGTTCTTCTAGGGCTAGAAGAAAGAGGGGTGAAACACCCCCTCTAATTCCCCTGCCGATCGAAAACCATGACAAGCCTTGCCGGACTACACGCCGGTGTTGCGTCCCCGTCCATCGCGCGGTGGCTTACTCGCGCCCCGTTGAGCCCCATTCGGCTCCATTTGGCTCCATTTTAGATGTTCTTGGGCGTTCTCGTGGCAAGTTTCCTTTTTGCCGACTTCAGGTTACGTTGTGCCACCCATTACTAATTGCTTGGAGCGCTGCACCTGAATGGATGCGCTGGCTCCAGGCCCTCCTATAGGCTGTCGACTGTGCTCAGGTATACCCCGATGGTGTACGGAGTACGAGGCCTCTGTCCACGTCGCCTCCGCACATATGGACACGGCCTGTGGACGCCAAGCAGAATCGGAGTTTTTCTTCTTTAAGGTTTTAGGTGTAGATGGACTGGTCTTCTCTGTTCCGGTGTGATCCTCTCGCCACTCTCTGAGATCAGACTGTAGTCACTGCAGCCAAGACCCCGGGCAAAGTTCCCGGCAAGTGTGCATGCATCTCGAGATGCCACTTCCATCTGAAACAGACTCTAATCGGACGTTGCGAGCGTGGGCACGTGGATAGCGAACTCTTCAATTACTCCGTTCTATTCGGACTCTGCCCTATTCAATACTCCGATACTCCGGTTCTGGTCGTTATTCCAAGGTGGCTTGTCGTGCGCTGAGACTCGCTTCTAGGCCTCGGCGGTTCCCACCTGCACTAGCGCCAGGCCCACGTCATCGTCACTCCCACAATACGAGATGGGTCTTGGGGATGTGCAACGCACTCGACTCCCGAGGTCTCTCGGGGACTTCGGGTACGATGGCTTTGAAACTGCAGTGCCTAGTCTTGATGCCAACAGGGACTAGCTTCCGAATCTCAAACACAAAGTACTAACTTGTGAAGACCATCATTAGATTGACGACGCGCGGTCTTGCCAGCTAGAGACGCATGGCGTTGGTCTCCCGGACAGACCCGGTCAGTAGACACGACGTGTTCGCAGCGGTCGCAGAGGGCTCATGGGCAACTCACTCGGCTGGGAGGATTTCTACTGGGAACTCCTAGGTCGTGGTGATCTATGGCTGATTGCTTCGGGCCGCCTAATATTCAGAGACCTTCCCTCCATCGTGGCTTTGCCTGGTGACGAATCGTCAGGCACCAAGTACCAATTCGCACTGGCGCTAACTCAAACAAAGATCAGCTCTCAACCATGACTCCATAACCGCCCTCTGCACCTTGACGGATGAACGGTACCCGTTATGACTCTTCCCCCCTACCGCGCTCGCAATCTCGGCAGTCACAAGTTCTCTTGGGGGCTGCTCGAAAGCTTCACGAGTACATCAGTCTGTCAGGGCTTGGTATGCCGTAATGAAAGCCATGCAACATGCCTGGAGCTCTGGAGGTTGTTATACTCTTTCACGGGGGCGGTCAGTCATATCTGCCTAGGCATTGCCTCATCTCTTGTCGAGGGACATGTCGTGGTGTTTGCTGGGTCTGACAGCTGCTCATAGAGCTACCCTCTTGAACCTTGGGTGTCGGCCAGAAATGCCCTGTTCTCGGCATTTGGATCTACTCACGATAAGACGCATGACGGAAACTAGCTTTTGAAACAGTATAAATCTACTCATGGCATAACATACCCCGCTTGCCCAGGTGATGTTCTTTACAGTCGCCCGATGGAGCATAAAGACGCTAACGGGTCAAAATAACACACGTTTGTCGATCAATAATTGCGCTACATGGCTGGCCTTCTGCTTGTTCAGGCTTGATTTATCGATGAATCATTTTGCCCTATTGTATTTCCTCATATGAAGCCATATTAGGCTGCAATGCCGGAAGTTTGGGATTTGTACTCCGAGGTTACATGGTTTGTCCGACTTCCAAGCCGCGGTCATTGTCCAAGCCCACGTTGGCTAGAAATCCACGGTGCTTGAAGACAAACTCCTACAATGAACCATAACTTATCAAATCCATCAAACTCATGGGTAAACACAATACCTCATTGAGCGAGCACCGCTACGCTCATCCAATCAAGTATGATGCCATTAGCTATACAAAAGCAGCAGGCGGTGAACAGCAATGATGTAAATTATCGTTCTCCGCATCATCGCCGCTCGATCTGCGCCGCTTTTGACAACTTCTGCACGTATCAAACACAACAAGATGATTCCTCGCACAGCATCCCGGGCGCTCCTTGCATCCGCTAGACCATCGGTTCGCTCATCGATTCCCCGAGCTAGCGCCATTCGCCCCGCCGTGTCGCCCTTCTGCCGCTCCTTCCAGTCTTCCCCGGCAATCCGCAAGGGAATTCACCCAGAGTCCGCGAACCCCCCAGCTCCAAACCCACAGTCTGCGCCCGTGGCCGGAGCTGCTTCTCATGTCACCGACCCGTCACCATTGACACCCGAGGAATACTACGAGTACTCTGAGCACTACTTCAACGTGCTGCTAGCTCACCTGGAAACGGCGCAAGAGGAGGGTGCCGACATCGAAGGTGAATACAGTGTAAGTTTCGAATCTTGATTTTGCGATATCCTTACTTCATCTCTTCTGTCCCTTCATGCAAAAGCTCAACCCTAACACGATTCCGCGACAGGCTGGCGTTCTTAACGTTTCCGTTCCCGCAATTGGCACATTCGTGCTCAACAAGCAACCACCCAACAAGCAGATCTGGCTCAGCTCACCCATCACTGGGCCTAAGCGCTTTGACTGGATTGTCGAGGGCGATTACATGCATGAGAAGCAGGATTCGCGACCCTTTGTCAATGGACAGTGGATTTACCTGCGTGATGGGACTAACTTGACTGATCTGCTGAACTCCGAGTTGACTTTGCGTCTACCCAAGGATATTTACAGTGAAGTTGTTGAATAAACTTTTTCTGCCGGATCACGATAAAAGAGTATCGGAATCTTGTTGGACTGTCATGTCAAACATCGTCTATAGTGAATTCCAACTGCCCAGATGGGCATGGTCATCAATATTATATTATCTCATCACTCTGCAATAGTTTCTGACAAAGTACTTGGTGGGTCGGTATTGAAATTGCTTTGGGTATCACGTATGCTGCAATCAAAATGAACAGGTATAGATGAATGCTTCGGCGAGAAGAGAAAGCAGAAAGCAAAACACCCCGATGAGACATTGACTCCGGCGTGTTTCAAGAGAGATTTTGTGTTAATCAACAGAACACCCATTCGTGATCATCTCCAGGGCTCCATTCGGACGTGACACAGCTTGACGAAAAGTGCAGGTTCTCCGAGGCAAGGCCTTCAAAAAGAGGATCGACCAAGCCCAAGTCCCGGTGGATCGATGAGCTACAAGCCCGCCAGCAAGTGTCATAGCACCTGGTATCGTGAAGAAATTCCTGCATCGCGCGACTACGCAGTAAAATCTTCACCTCCAAGATACGGCGTGGAATTTGCGCGAGATCGGTCACAATGAAGGTGTGCTAACAGCCCGTGGAGCAGCCAACCCTCGGCCCAGACGTTCTGAAGAGGCGAGTTCAACATCTGCATCCATATCAGGTCTCAAGAGCGGCTGTTTCTGCGACACGCCCCGTGTTATGCTTGGTTTATGTGTTGCGCTCATGCTTTGGGAAGATCGGCCTGGAGTACCCCGCGGGGCGAGTTGTTAGAAGATAGACACAAATCAAAGGACTTGAGAGGGGTCATACCACGTCGAAAATCACCCGGATCATCAGACTGCAGCTGGGGCACACGGCGATTTCTTCGCCGTCGCGCAAATCGTCGATTGCGATCTCGAAGCGGTCCCCGCATGGGCAGGGATATGTGTAGATCTGGACGTTCGGGTCGAAGGTCATGTCTTCGATCTCGATCTCGTCGTAGATATTGAGTCCTTCGTCGGCCATTTTGAAGTTTTTGAGGTTTGATTGCAGTTGTGGCGAATGAGTCTGTTTGGACACTTCGGCGGATAAAAAAGTTTGGTTGGTCATGTGATTCGCGGGGTTAAGTCTGGATGCTCGGATTTAGGGAGTTCATACCTAGGTACTTGCAGGGGCAGGATTCAGGTACACATGTTGACGGTAGCTTGATGCGAGCTCAACATCAAATTGATGGTTTTAAAGGGAATGGAGTCTTCAGAATTGTTTCAAAGGTAGATGCAAGGTCAGATTGGGGATCAAGGACCATACATGCGAAACAACCACCTGGACAGACCCAACCAATGCCTAAGCACAGTCTTAATGGCTACCAGTGCCATCATCCGTGTAGCTGAGCAATCTCCCCCTTCACCAATTCCACCTCCCGGGCCAAGGTACCATACCGGCTCTTGATATCATCAAGAGTCCCTCCATCCAGGTCACAGAGCTCCGGGTCCCCCAGAGCCTTCAAGTCCGCAATAGCAGTATTCTTCCGCTCCTCTAGATGTTCCGCCACATCTCCCAGGTGCACCTTATACCTGGAAAGAGCAGCCACAGTCTCGGGGGAGTAGATCATAGCCCCAATCTCCAATTTCGTAATCCTACACAAGTCAGTATATCCCCACCAAGATCAAACATGAGATACATACTCCAATTTTCCCTCCACGCCCTGAGCAACAATAGCCAAATGGTCCGCCTTTGCCCTCGTCGCGCGCGCAAGAGCTCCATACTTCGCTCTCTCGAGAATCACCACCGTCCGCTCCAGAATACGAGTTTGCAACGCGACAACCTCCGCCGCTGTGACGGCCATTTTGCGGCGTGCAGCTGGTATCTCGACGAGTTGGGTGCGGCGGAGGTTGCGGACGCGCGTGCTCAGCTCTTCTGCGAGGAGAGGGATGGGGGCTATGGAGGTGCGGGCTCGGCGGTCGCGGGCTCGAGCGCGCGCATGGTGGCTTGGGGGCTCTGGCTCTGGGACTTGCTGTTGAGTGGAGAGGGCGCGGAGTTCGTGGATGGATTTGCTGATCAGGGTTGAGAGGGGTTGGATTAGAGTCGGTATGTTCGCTGTGAACGTTTGGATGTCTGGGGCTAGAAGCGATAGAGTATCCTTCTCTTGGTCCGTGATTAGAGCTTCTGGGGGCGTTGAGAGGAACAACGTTATTATTGCTAGGTTATCGTGGTGCTGAGAAGGAGTTAGATGGTGTGTTCGTCTGAGTGGCCGGGGTTCCTCACGTCTGCGGGTAGGGAGTTTTCTGGGACAAAGGCCAATTGTTGGAGCATGTCCTCTTTGATTCGTTTTTTGGCATGCTGGGATTGGCATTGCTTCAAGTCCTGTGCGTGGTTAGCTCTGGACGCGTAGACGGTGCCGCGACTTACCTCGACGACTGCATTGGCCGAGCTTGTGGGTTGGGCGCGGGTCGAGGCATCTGGGGCGAGGAGAGAAGTTGTGAGGTTCTCATACAATCGTTTGAATTGGGGGTTGTGCTCAAGAATGGAGGGATCGCATGGTGGAAACATTGTTGTTGAAGTTCACCGCCAAAAGCTGAAGCGCCGATAAGAGATACTACAACATTGAACCTTGGAAGGTGGGGATCTGCCCAGGTGCACTAACCCCCAAGGCTGTACGGCGTAAGTAGGTACGGCTACTGTCCGACTGGAGGAAATTTACGATTAATAGTACATGTTCATTTTGCATTTCCGCGTTTCTCTCGTAATCGTACAAGTTGAAGCAACGCTTCCGATCAACTCCCGGTTCCCGCCACGCAAAATCAGAAGAAAGAGAATCAACCTCAAGCACACATTCTAGAAGAGAATGAAGTGAGAGGACAGTGTACACAAAGAAAATACCCAAAGTGCAACGCCAGTGCAAGGATCATCAGCGGACCTTGCCGACCTCGGGAGGGCATTTGATATCAAATATGTACAGACGTTGCTGGCGGGATCGCAGAGTCGGAATCGCGGGAGGGACGTGAAAAGAGATAGTAAGGAAATGATCATAGGAAAAGAAAGTTCGACGCTTGGAACGCAAGACAAGATAAAGGGCCATCTTGTAGGAGGCGAATTTACTCCTCCTCGCTCTCCTCCTCGGATGAATCCGACTCGTCACTGCTATCATTCCGTTCGACTGAAGCCACGGGCTCTGGGGAGTGGGCACCACCCTGGAAGCGGGAAAGGTTGCTTTGGAGCATGTTGATCTGTGCCTCCTGCTCAAACTTGCTCATCGGCTTGTTTTTCTTTGGCTTGGGAGGGGCAACGCTACTAGTGGGGGCATCTTCCTCGTCATCCATGAGGTGAGGGACATTCTTTTTCACGAAGTTGAGCAACAGCAGCAAAACGTCGTTGGGAAGCTCATCAATGTCCAGCTCGATCTCGGCTTCGTCGGTGCCCTGAGTCATGGATCAGCCAGTGCCACAAAAAAAAAATTGCGATTAAAAAATTGTCGGAAACACTCACCTTCAATTGGGGGACATTGCTCTGGATGATCTGAAGAGCTTGCTGCATCTTCTTGTCTGGAAGGCTACTGATGCCGTTCGAGATGATCTGCTTCTCGTTATAAGTGATAGCACGTTCCTTGCCGCTCTTGGAGCTCTTGCTCTTCTTGTCTTTCTTGACAGAGCTAATCTTCTTGGTTGGGGCTGGCTTTGTCTTGCCGACCTTCTTGGACGAGGGAGGAGTCTTCTTCTTCTTGTTGGTGATGGCCTCGACCTGGCGGGACATCTCGGCAATCTGCTTCTGGAGCAGGGTGAGCTTCTGATCATCTTCAGCTTCACTTTCTTCGGCATCCTCGTCACTGTCCTCGTCAGAGTAATCAGAGTTCTGCTCGGGGTGAGGCTCGTGGGCCTCGAGATAATCCGCTTTTTGGGCCCATTTCTGATTGAAAATCTCCTCTGAGCGTTGCCCACAGATGTAGGTTGGGTCACCGGGAATGTTGAACCGGAAGCAGTTCTTAAAGATCATGCGAACGTCTGATTCGAACTCCTTGGCATTCTCATATTGGCCAGTCTTGATTTTGGACTGAACTGTAGACAAATCCATCGGCTCTTTGATCACCTTGTGATAGGTGGGGATGTTCAAAGCGATGGGGTCAACAGGGAAATAAAAGGGCATGACGAAGTTGTAGTGTTTGTTCTTGTGCATCTCTTCCAGCACTTCCTGGCAGAACCGCAGCTCCCATTGGTACTTCTTCTTCTTCGGCTTGACTGAATATGGCAGGTCACGCTTAGGGGGATGGATAGATCGCTTTGGCCGACCATCCAGGTTTGTCGAATCGCGACGAATGACTGGGACTCCCTCCGGTCCCAATGCAAAGGTCTGGTTCTGTGGAGAAGCTGCCTTTGGCTGGCTTGGGAGGGAAGTTCGGGGCTCTCGACGGGCAGCTGAGGTTTTCTCGGCTGACTTTTTCGGCTTTGATGGTTCCACGTCCGATGCTTTGGGAAGACTGAGCATCTGTTTTTCGAAGGTGGCCTTCAATTTGATACCCTCTTGAGTGACCAGGTGGTCCACACCATTGAAGATAGTTGTGTTGTTGACCATGAGAGCGAAGTCATCAGAGACCTCTTGAGGAGAACCATATTGGTTAGTCTTCAACTTCCGTTCCATGGTTCCAAGATCCATGGGCTTGGTGATAATAGTGTGGTATTGCGGAATGTTTAGCTTGATGGGGTCGACGGGCTCCTTGTAGAAACGCGCATCGTGCATCCGCTTGAGACTACTCAGGGATTTGGAAATGAATTTGTGTTGCAGCTTGGTCAGGCCCGGCCCATTGCTTGTGCGAGCTGGAGAGGGCTTTGGGTGACCCGGAGTCGAAGCTTCCTGAGGTTTGAATACCGCGGGAGCAGAGTCATCGCCCTCAACCTTCGTCCGCTTGGCAGCCGGTTCTTCGCTGAGATCAGCATCTCGTTGCCGTGAGACCTTGGAAGGTGAAAGTGGGGGTTCTGGAGCATCCTTCATTTCTTGATCAACGGGTTGCAAAGAAAGTGGTGTGGGGGCAGTGGTCGGGTGGTGGGGAAGTTCGGTCCTCACTGCCGCAGAGCTATCTTGGGTATCGATAGCCATTGCGTCGGTATCAGGACCAGCGGATGTGGTGGGAGTGTGAGTTGGAGGAGCAGTGGAAGTTGAAACTGGAGCAGGAGCAGGAGCGGGAGCGGGTGTAGAGCTCTCGGCAGACGCTGGAGCGGTAGGAATCTCAGTGGCAGCTGAGACCGGAGCGGGAGTTGGAGCTGGGGGTGGAGCTTCAGTTGCGCTCTCAGTGGTCTGAGGTGCAGGAGTGGGAGATTCTTGGTTCACTTTAGCTGGTTCCTGTGCCACAGCAGCTTCCGATGTCTCTTGGATTGCTTGGGTGGGTAAAGCTGGTGCAGGCGCAGGAGACTTTGGAGGGGAGTTTGTGGTGGTTGCGGTGGTTGCGGTATTTGCGGTGGTGGTGCCGTTGATGCCTGAGGGCGCTGTGGCGCTGTGACCGTTCAACGCGGGGGATTTCACTTCAGCCTCACCAGAGCTTTCGGTTTTGGGCTCAGTGGTAGCTTGGCTGCGCGCGGGTCAGGTTGCGACCTAAGGTATGAGAAGTGACTAAGGTTGAGCTTACCTGGTCTCTGGGATGTCCGGAGCGGAAGGACCGGTCGGGGACGGAGGAAGCTGAGGCTTGTCCTCCTTCATTGTGGGAGGAGCCTCAGGAGGCGGGGTCGCCATCAGGTGAAAGTGACGAAGGTAAACGACGTGAACTAGTTCAACGGAACTTCAAACAATGGTCGCGATCAAAAGTGATAAAAACGCGTCGGGTTGATGTACGGCGCGTTTTAAACCTCTGAACGTTTGGTATAAGTCAAACGTGGAGGGATGAACGCGACCGTGGAATGGTGAGGTCAGAGGTCGGAAGATAGTAAGAGTGGAGAATGCGATCGGAGACGATGTAATTTATACTGCCAAGAAGGCGGTATAGCTAGTCACGTGCGAGTAGGCGTGTCTAGAGTATCGACTTGGGCGGGGAGAAAGCTAAGGTGGGGACTTATTGCCTGGGGCAGAAAGGCAGCAAGCAATTAGGGACAAATAATAAATCGATAATAAAAAAATAAAAAATAAAAAAAAGGGAAGAGGGGGGGAGGCGGTTAAAAGAGGGAACGCGAGACGCGTTTGTTATGTTTAGTGTAAGGGGGGCGGTCAGAGGAATAAAAATAGGAGAACCAGGACAGAAGCAGAAAAATCCTCGGAGGGGATGCCAGAATCCTTAAGTACAAACGGCCGCCTTCCACTCTCCTGTTGCCAGTTCCACCAGCCACACTAGTCCGGATTCTCCTACCTCTCCCCCTTGTTGATTGGTTGTTTCCATTCCCATCCCCTGATGGAATCAGTTTTTTTCTTCTTTTATTTTCTTTCCTTCATACCCTGGATCAAACTATTTCATTCACAATGTTAGTGATTATCGGAACAAAGAGGAAAACGCTTAACTCATTCTATTTTCTTTTTTTCTTCCCCTACTCTTCCGCTTGCGTGATGAGGTCTCCCGAGGTCAGGTACAAAGATGACTCAGAGCCCTAGGGCTCTGGCTGAATCCGGGCTAGGAGGTCCCGACGTCACCACTCAATCCCCTCACGTGATACAGGCGGCATGCTCACTGTAGCTTCAACACTCTGCCTTTTGTGTTGGGTTCCGCAAGGGCATTTACAGTGTACATGTCATAGATGCTTGAAACATGCTAGGGTGCACCTGTGCCAATAGATTACCATACAAAGTACTTTGTGCTGCGGACCTCCACTAGACCCTTACAGATTGGGCAGAGATCACATGATTGTTTTTTTTTTAAAAAAAAAAAAATGCAGAGATCTGTCCAATGAGATTCGAGATCCCAACATGATATACTTCTGAAATTAAACCCTGGTCAACACCTCCTCGCAGCCCTGGAGGTCTTCTGAAGTTGCTTGTGACAGAAAAATGTGTGGAAATAGTTCGTCATTAGCTAACTGCAGTGAAATTGTTATATTAGGTTGATGTCGAATGTGGGTACAAGAATATATATCCGAAGCTTTTAGATACAGTAGAAGCTCCCACATGGATGCGTTGGTTGATCGCACCCGTGGACCGAGTTCACCCCGGTCTGAAACAAACTATCGCACCCATGATACACTGCACCATAGGTAAGAACAAATGTCTATCTGGTACACACAATTCCAAGGTTGGAGGTAACCTTGGAAAATAACCTTGCATTGACCAGACAGACATGTAACCAGGTTTATCATCTATAAATGCATGATATCCAGCTGTGATATGATATTCAAACCTTGGAAGACCTCGGGAGTCGTCCAGCAAAGTGTACTTAGGTATCTACCTAGGTACCTAGGTAGGTATGGATACCGCTACCTACCTAGGTAGGTGACTACTACATAAGTAGGTAATATTCCAAGGTTGGGAGTAATCCAGCCCTAGAAAATTGTCAAAGATTTCGTGAATTATCCCCGTGTCTCAGACACGCCATGAAGAGGCCCCGGGGGAGAGCAGGCGTTCCAAGTTGCATTCGTAACTTTCAAGAATGATTGGCTAGTCCCGGGTGAATACCGCAGGTATTGGCGCATTCATTGCTTGAGTGAGGTACTTTCAAAAGTTCTGTCCACCTGGGGAGGTGTTACCTCGTTATCGTCCACGGGTTTTTTCAATTCATCCAGACTCGACTATATACCACCTACCCGTGGGGTCGCAAGTGCCCAAGTGGAACCATCTCGTTCTCATTTTGCATTGTGCTCTTTGATACCTAGGGAGACTAGATCGGTTTCTCTGATTCCAAGGCTGTTCTTCTTCTGTCTCAAGAATGGGAGCGCGCATCAAAGTGGCCTTGAACGATTCAGGCGTCCCGCAGAACGGCAGATTGTACTCGAGGAAATACGAAGTACTGCCCAACAGTTCACATCGAGCTGGCTAAGAATTTGCAAAGAAGTAACACAAGCTGCACTACCTACCTGATTTTTTTATAGATGATCTTAACCTACCTAGGTAGCAACTATGCCCATGTGTCCATCATGTCTCTTAAGATCCAAGAATTGGATAGAACCATACCTGGGTATCCAGCTGGGGATTTTTATGTTTCCAAGGCTGCTCTATCCTTGGTATCCGATGTCTACCTAGTACAATGCTGTTCTCACTTTGAGCGTATTAGGTATAATACATTTACCTAGTATATATGTATATTTTTCCCGAGGTCGTTCTTCCAAGTCCACCCCGGTGAACACCTGAGCACCTGGGCACGACCTTGGAACATCAATACCTATGGATTTTCCAAGGTTTTCGTGTTTAGACCTTCCGCAGAGGCCATTCCAAGATTTCCAAAATTTCTTTTGAACGATATAGGCATTGCAAGTTACCTAGGTAGGTAGGTATATTACGAGCCTATGTTGGGTGGAATGTCACAACCTTCGAGCGCTTTGCTTCCTGACTCGCTTTAGGCCTTTTGTCATGACGATGCTCTACCCCAAAGTTTGGTGATCGTCGCCGAGAGGTATTTCAAAATTTGAAGGAGAAAGAACATGCCATTGAATAAAGGCTTACGGCGTATCGATTCACCTGCTCCCTTGGAGTAGTAAGAAAGGATATGGCAGGAGACGATTTGCTTCTGACTGACCCCCAGGTTTCCTTTTTCGATGACTCTCGAGGTGTAAGCAAACTTGATAAAAATTTTCCTTCAAACCAAAAGAAACCACTCCGTACAGAAACAAGGGGGAAAGATTTAGGATGAGTTCACTTCCAACCCGTTGGCAACCTTTCAAGTTGGAAGATGGGATCACGGGATGATTAGATAAGACCACTGTACCTAACCTCTTCGGGACTAGTGCATCAAGGCTCTACAGAACATTTTTTTTCCTGTCCGCAGCAACTGCGAAACCACCGTCCTAATCCCCGAACTGTTTCCCTAGGGGTGGAGAAAAAGAGAGTTTCTTTGGAGAGTCCGGCATCTCTCTCCTGAATCGGTCCATTGTCAATTTTCTTCGCTGCAAAAAGAAGAAACCTCCGAGCAAAAAAAAAGCGAGGTTGAAAAAAGTTACAGCCAAAATGGGAAAGAAGTCAGCTCGCCCATCGACCAAGGTCGGCTCGGCTGCCGCCCCATCCTCTAGCCTGACTCAGGCGGGCAGCAAGTCTTCCATTCTGCGAGCTGCATTCTCCCCATCGGAATACCAATTGGCTCTGTTTGCGTCCGTCATCCAAGGCCTCGATGGCCAGCACATCCGAGTTCACGATACCAACACCGGACGTCTACAGTGCGAGCATGTCCTGGGCCCGAAAGAAACAGTGACCTCGCTGGATTGGGGATACTACAACAACTCGGGCAAGGGTCGCGATCAGTCGAAGAAGAAGCGCAAGCGTAGCTCCGATGTCAACGGGCCCCCTGATGGTTTGGACCAGGGCGACATCGTGGTCGCATTCGGCACTAACACATCTGACATCCGCATGTACTCGCCATCCGAGGATAAGGTCGTTGGAACTCTGAGCGGCGCGCACGAGAAGGGAATCAAGGATTTCAAGTTCACAGCCGCTCGGCCCGCCGAAGAGGCCTGGAGTGTTGGTGGTGATAACAAGCTTATCCAGTGGGACCTGCGCACCGGAAAGAGCATGCAGTAAGACCATCTCCCGAGATTTTGACGGCCAAACTAACTTTGTAGGATCATCCATCTCCCCGCATCCTCCGTTTTCACCGCGCTGTCTCGCCCCGTTCCTTCGAACCCTCCTCTGATCTGCGCCTCTCAGACACCTTTCTTAATAGATACCGAGAAAGCCGAGGAGCCTGTGCAATTCCCAGCCATGCGCAACCCCATCCACACTGTCATCTCGTCCTCTTCCGAATCCGCTGGTGTGGGTGCATTCCTCGCCTCCGATGGTGACCGTTTCATCAACGTTTTCGATGCCGCTTCGCAGAAGCTCGTCCGCAACCTCGTCACCGAGCAAGAGGTTTCAACAATTGCGTACAGTGGCACAGTCCTTGCTGCGATCACTGAAGATGGTACCATTGAACTTTTCACCAAGCCATTTGATCAGCCCCAGGCTGCTCCTGGAGCCACCGCCAAGGCCCTACGCAAGCAAATGACCCAAAAGGCACACGCATCCGTCAAAATCACGAATAACGAGTTCTCGAACGCTTGTGTTCCAGTCGCCGCTGTTTCCTTCCAAGGCCCCAACATCGTGGTCGCATACACCGAAGGTGGTGTGGTCCCTGTGTTCGAGCGCGTTAAGTTCATTGAAGACGACACCGAGGAAATCTCCTTCACTGGAATCAAGACTGTGGTGAAGACCAAGTCAAGCTCAGCACTTGCTGCTGCCACAACAAGCGGAGCCAAAGCCACAGGGGAAAGCCGCGTTAACGAGACCCACATGAATGTGGAACAAGGAAATCTGGTTGATGACGATGTGGAGATGGAGGATTCAAGAGCTGCCTCTGACTCTGGCAGCGAGGAGGATTCCGACGACGAGGATAACAAGCAAAAGGCACCTGCCGAAAAGAAGACCAAGCCCGCCAAGGCCCCGGCGAATGCTGACGTTGAAATGCAAAATGCCTCTGAATCAGAGGATGAAGAGGAGGAGGGCGCAGAGCCCTCATTTGGCGAACTGATGCGCGCTAAGGCAGAGGTCGACGTGGAGGCTGAACTCGATGATGATGTTTTGCAGGGCGCACTAGTTCCTGGCAAGCCCCAGGCTGCAGTTCAACAAATTCCTACTGGTGTTTCGCTCGCCACTGTTCTCACACAATCCCTTAAGACCAACGACAGCGGCATGCTCGAGTCATGCTTCCACACTGGTGATCTTTCAATCATCCGCACTACTATCCAGCGTCTCGATTCCTCTCTGGCCGCGACTCTGCTTCAAAAGCTTGCTGAGCGTTTGGCTTCTCGCCCCGCTCGTTATGGCCACCTCCTCGTTTGGGTGCAGTGGACCTGCGTTGCCCACGGTGGTGCCCTGGCTGGCCACCCCGATCTCCTGAAGCGCATGGCTTCTCTATACAAGGTCATGGACCAGCGCTCTTCCAGCTTGCCCTCTCTCCTGCTGCTCAAGGGCAAGCTTGACATGCTTGATGCCCAATTGAGCTTGCGCCAATCCATCCGTGGCGGTGACCAGGACATGGACAGCGAAGACGAGGATAATATCATCTACGTCGAGGGCCAGGATGACCTCGAGGATAGCGAGACCGAGGCCAAGACCCCCCGGAAGTCAATACGCGATCAGGCGTACGATGAGGATGAGTCCATGATGAACGGTGTTGACTCTGAGGACGACGAGGATGATAGCGATGATGAGGATGCCGACGAGGAGCCCATCTTGGACATTGAGGCCGCTGAATCCGTTGGCTCTTCCGACGCCGAGGAGTCGCTGGAGGAGAATGAAGACGACGATGAAGATGAGGCCGACAGCGACGGCTCAATGGTCGACTTCATTGCCGATACGGAAGACGAGTCTGATGATGGCGCTCAGCAGCAGCCCCCGCCATCAAAGAAGAGCAAGACTGCCAAGAAGGGCAAGGGTGGTCGGAAATGAGGTCCTGTGTACGAATTAGGAGGCTACGGTCTATAAAAGAACATATTCCTGGATGCATCCAGTCTGCATCTGTTGTTTCTATTTACTTTCAATATCTTGCGCGCCTACCGAGCGCCCTGCGTCTATATCAATTGAATCTGATGTCTTTCTAATCTTGGATCGCCTGGCTACTCTAGTAGCTCCTCCCCCTGACAAGGTCCTGTGTGCAGAACCCGGTGACCAGGAACACCTCCGCTGAGTGGAATCTCCAATGCCACCGTCCGCTCTTGGGAGGGATAATTGGTATAATGACCAAGGGCACTGACATCAGCAGTGTCAAGCGCCAGAATAGCTCCATTCTTACCACCCTCTATCTTCGCCTCCGTCGTCGAGTTGGGCAATGTTATATGCGCCAGTCCCGAAAGGAATACCACCCATCTGTTACCGTCAGCCATGAATCCAACTCCCCTCGCCCGGATGAGCGATGCATATCAGGAACTTACTGTAAAGCCGGTGCGTTATGTTTACCGCCATCATAGCCGGCAGGTGAAGTAATAAAAGAGGCATTACCATTGACAGTGCCCAGGTTCAAAACCGGCGAACCGGTAATACCAGCCTCGGCAGATGTCTTAAAGCCGGGCTCGAGAGCCCAACACTCTAGTGTGGAGCGATTGTGGTGTGCACTGAGCACCGTCACATTCAGTGTGGAGCCGAGGGATGCATCCAGGGCGAGTGATGCCGTGGTGAGAAGGGCCTGGGCCAGGATTGACAGGCGCATTTTGGGGATGCGAGAGGAGCTAATGTGTAGTGAGAGAGGATTCAGAAAAAAGGGCAAGGAAATCAAGGAAGAGGACAAGAGAGAGAGCTAAAATGGCAGTCAGCTCCTGAAGAGCTTAGCGATGGGAAGTGGAGAGAGATCGGCGTTCGTCACAAGATCAACCTATAAGAGGGAGTAATATACAGGAAATGGACTCAATTAATGGACTCATGCAGATGAACTACGCTTTTCGGTTAGTGGGATTTAAGGGGAATGCACAGGGCGAAGTATATAACACGCCGCATACTCCCTACTCCATACCTAGGTACATAGAGAGTCCTGTATATAATCATCATTCAACAATACCTAGGTAGCAAAGGACACACCAAGGACTACCTATCTTGCTAAGAATATACTAACAAACACTGCTGCCTAGTAAAGATAGTTCCCAACCTCAACCAGCAAAGTTCAGCGAATGACTTCACCACACTTCTCAATGCCTTCCAAATCCTCGAGAATGGCGCTGCCGCCAAAAAGCCCATAAGCAGAACCAGTACTTGCCCTTCGCCCTGTCCAGACCTCATGGAACTTAACAGTTTGATCACTCGAGGCAACAATGATACAGCCTTCTTCCACAGTCCTGGCACACCACATGCCGCCTTCTTTCTCCTTGGGCTTTGACATTTTAGGACGGACCCTTCGCATGGGGTTGGTCCTACGCTCAGACGGACTCCTAGCCTCCACACGCCTCCGAGACGAAGATGAATGGGTCTCTTCCGATTTGACGGACGCAGCGCTCAATGAGCGGGGGACTTTCCCTGGGTATCTCACGGCGCACAGCGCTCTTCCGCAGTCGACGTTGACCCGAGGATCTGTACCATCCCAACTAGCCCCATGGGGTCCCCAAGGAACGACAGCGATCTGAGCACAACTGGGCCAAGCAAACACAGCGATGCGAAATGGATGATCCGGCTGTGCGTAACCGAAAGTAGCTGCAATTTCGCGCCGGGTATGACTCCAGATGAGGCTAGTTACCTGAGCAAATACATTGATGGTTGCAAGGCATGCACCGGTGCGTGTGTGATAGAAATGAATCGCCCGGTCGTTGGAGCCACCTCCGGTGGCAAGGAGGGACGACTGCCATGGTGCGAATGCAATTGCTTTCACTGCCGCAGAGTGGCGCAGGCGGTGTTTTTCACGATCAAATGGGACTAGAATTGTTCTCCCACCGCCAGATATCAGGGTTCCCGCGTGACTGAGGAGGGGAAGCAAAGGTGGTGACTTGGTCGGAGGAGGGGCAACCCATGATGGGAGAGCTTGTGCCATGGCGGGTCGCCGATGAAACAGTCGTCTCGTCACAGTACCGAAAGCATGATATGGAAACGCCCCTAAGCTGAAGCTGGTTGGGAAACCATGCGTCAAGGGTGGGATTGTCGACTGTGCTGGAACTATCTTGCCCATCTCGAATAGAAGACAAACATTGTCGTTTCCACCCGTAGCGAGATATTTCAGATCGGGTGACCATGTCAACCCGCAGATTTGCTGAGTGTGCGCGCATATCTTGGCAAGCAGGGTCATGGATCCATTCCATTTCCATTTCGCTCGATCATCATCGTTACTCCATTCGACCGAGTAGTACCAGACATTTCCTATTTCATCGCCTGCGACGAGCTCTTCAACGTCGACCTCGGCATGAGTGAACCTTTCAGAGAGGCGGCGAGATGTTGTGGGTTTAAATGCCACACAGGTGATGCTGTTGGGGTGACTGATCTCGAATCGGACGTGCTTTTCGAACGTGCTCCACAGTGTTAACTGACCAGATCGACGAGCTACCGCAAGAATGCTTCTCTCGCCATCCTCGGATGAAAATGACAAAGACGTCACATAATTTGATGGGTGCACATCACCGAACGGTGGAGAATCCACCCCACAGCCTTCCGACCAGAGGAACACTTGATGACAGAGCCCCACTGCCAGTATCCCAGATATGGAGGAATATGCAAGTGTACTGCAGTAGAAGTCATCCCGAAGAAAAGGGGCATCCAGGATTCGAAATGGTTTTGATGGAACAAGTTCCTTCTTGGTACGAGGCTTGGGCCCTGAAGATGCTAGTCAGAATCGTGCCAGAGAACTGTGAATAGTCCACATAACCCTGGCTTTCTAGGTGCAATATATGTTCCTGTATATGGTAAATATGATCATGGGTCAGTAGCTCTACTCACAATGCTCTCTTTCAACCTTCTTCCATGCGCTATCTTTCCAAACAAATGGAGAAAGGCGCTCAAAGTCCGGAGATAAGGGATTGAGAGGAGCATCAGGGCATGGTAAAGAGGTGTCGAGGAGCCTGTTTGATTGATCAATACCCAGAGCAAGTGCAATCCTCGACTCGTGGATCATATCTTCGCTGCAGTTCGGCCTTTCTGGTAAGAAGCGAGCCACGTAGTTCGGGGCCGCTGATCGATTGCCCAAAGCAATTTGTGAGCCACCATGAGGTACATTATGGGCACCCTCCTGCGCTGCAGAAGCTCCACCCAAGTTCCAAATTGCAGAGGGACTGGTTTGTGCAGAGCTCTCACGCGAGGAGTGGTTAAACTCTGTGACTAAATGAGGGCGCTGACGCGGGAGCCGCTGATAGCCACTGGACCGAGCATCAGGAGGGGCTCTGGAGAAGCTTGCTGGTAGGAATGGGTCATCACCGGGTGAAAGCCTCCGGAAGAGTCTTTGCCGAGGCGAAAGTTGCTGCGCAGGCTTGACTACATGAAATGCTGCTGACTTTGGTTCGACAAAATCCCGTCTTGGAATGAATCGATCAGGGGAGAGCTTTGCGCGGATAGAGCTTCTACCGCCTGGCAAGGTGGTGACAGATCTCAATCCACAGCGTCCTCTTTCGGGAGATGAGACTCGGTTCTCTTTGGAGTGAGCAATCGGACGGGGTTTGGCTCTGGGGGTTTGAACAGGCGATTCAAAGAATGGCAGATTGACAGTTGCAAAATCGGTAATTCGGAGGAAATCAATCTCATCCGAGGAACGTATTTGCGACTGTGGAGTAAAGTTTGGTGGCCTGCGATTGTCTGCTGCAGAGGCTTCCTCAAAGGAATGACATCTGGTATCTACCATATTTCTGTATACAATAAGTAGGATTCGGTGAGTAGCTTTCTGGGGTCGCCCGAACAAAAGGAAAAAGAATGTACGAAGGCCTCTGCTTTAAGACAACAGAGTGAGAGAGGGGCAGAAGACAGAAAGAAGCCTCAATTCCCAGAACAGCAGGAGTACCATATCACGTGAACGCATACATAGTGAGTGCGACTCCTGATTGGTTTACTGTTATTTGGTCGCCTGAGGCGTTCACGCCTCACATCCCGCAGATCGTCGTCCAACACATCTGCGTACTGTTCACATCATCGAGAATGCCTAGCGTGAGTGCGGACTGACTGCTATCACCTTGTACTCAATGTTGATGTTTGTGATAGCATGGTGTGCCACGGTCTAAACCCGTCGAGAAATCCGCCGAGGCGCGACAGCAGGAGCAACAAAAGATTGATACATATCGCGATCTTGAACGTTTAGTTTCCGCAAAGGTGGTACTCCTCGAGCCCTCAGTTTGAACTGGGTCTGACTCAGAATAGGTGACTGAACATGAATACACCCTCGACACTCTGAAAAAGATCTCAGAGCTGCTGTCCAAGAATCCTGAGTATTACACAGCCTGGAACTACCGCCGACGGGTGTTGCGGCATCAGTTTGCCCAAGCAGGTGACTCAGACGAAGATACTGGAACGATCCTGCAGTTGATCTCAAGTGATCTCCAGTTCCTCATCCCTCTTCTCAAGAGCTTCCCCAAATGCTACTGGATCTGGAACTATCGTCTATGGCTACTGGATGAAGCTCGCCGCTTATTGCCACTCATGGAGACGAGGCAAATGTGGCAGCAAGAGCTCGCCCTTGTGGGCAAAATGTTGACCCTGGATAGCCGCAATTTCCACGGGTGGGGTTACCGGCGCTTCGTGGTTGAGACATTGAAAGAGCTCGGCACCGCCGAAGAAGCACAAGGCATGACGCAGACTGAGTTTGAATATGCAAAGAAGATGATTGGCGCCAATCTATCGAATTTTTCTGCGTGGCATTACCGCACCAAACTGATCCAATCGCTCTTGGACGAGCAATCCGCCAGCGACGACGAGCGGAGAAAAATGTTGGATGATGGTTAGTCTCACTGGACTTCCTAAGAAAAGGATAGGGTTTACTAATGAAACTTAGAACTATCGCTCATTCACCAGGCGTTTATCGATCCTTATGATCAATCACTCTGGTTTTACCACCAAAACCTGATGAGTGCCTTCGATCCGGCGATGGCCCAACGAACTATGACGCCCCATTTAAGCTCATCCGATCGATTGGAGTATATCCGCGGTGAAATCGAAGAGATCCAAGAGATGCTTGATGGCGCGGAAGACTGCAAGTACATATATCAGGCATTGATCGAGTACACCCTTCTCGCCTCCAAGGTAGAAGGAAGTTTATCAACTGAAGATCGGAAGCAAGTCCTGAGCTGGCTTTCCGAGCTGAAGACGTTAGATCCTTTGCGACGCGAAAGGTGGCTTGACCTTGAGAAGACGCTCTGAACCACTATATTATTTTTCTCCCCCTTGTTTACCCGGGCCCGCCCCTTTGATTAGAGGGGGGCCACACTGTATCACATAGACTGCATAGCGCTGGGAATTCAAACAAAAATAGCCGGGAGACAGAATGAACATGGGTGACTAGCACTAGTATGTCGTAGGAAATCGTTCAAGTGCATTCAACGCTCTGATCGACAGGTCAATTCCGCATGTCTGGGGAGCCAATCAGCGTCTTGTGTACCTGTCTTGAGTTGGGACTCCCCCAAATTCCATCGATCATTCCTCTCTCACTCAACCCTCTTGCTTCGATTACAACTGCCGCAAATACCGATCCCCTGGAATTCCCGAACACCTGTCCTTGGCACACTTGCGACCCGCCGTTGTATGGTCCTCTCTCCATATTGTTGTGAGGTCGCTATCTCATCATAATGGCCACAAACCAGCATAGTCCTGCGTACGAAGGGGTAAGTGACGGATGCCTAGAGTGTGTCTAGGCAATCTTTGAGATTTGCCGTGACGGAAACTTATTGCGTGAACAGGAGACTTTCGATGATGCTCGTGAGACTGCCGAGATCCAGGAGAACCTCAATGTCACCATTCCCCCTGCCTCCACCCGATCCTTGACCGATAGTCCCCCAATCGGCTCATACCAGTCCCCGGAATCCACGGAGAGACCTCCGCTGCCTTCTGCATCGCCGGCCGAGAAGAAGGACGAGACCACCGACAAAGAGGACAAAGATGACGAGGAGGAACAACCCAAGGGCAAAAACAAAAAGAAGAACAAGAAGAAGGGGAATAAGAAGGGTGATGAGTCTGAGACTAATGACGAAACTAAGTACGACACCGATGAGGTGAACCCTGTGGCCGACGAGCCCAGTGAAAGCGACAAGCCGGAACAAGGGCCTGAGGTTACGCAGACAGAAACAGAAACCGCCACAGAGGAACACAATGAGAAAGAACCAAAGTCACCCTTGCTTACATCCCACCGGTTATCGACAGGCTCATCGCTCGCCGAGGTGAATCTGGTGAACAGCAACCAAGAAGACCCGGCGGACATGACACCCCGCCCGGACGATAAGATGGAACCCCCTCCATTGCCCCCGAAGGATGAATCAGCTTCAGCGAGCTCTGGGCTGATGGGCTTGTCGGGCAGTCTTCCCTCAATGCCGTGGGGAGCACCCCCAGTGAACAAGAATCCCCCGCCAGTGCCCGCGCCACCCCCTGCGCGAAAGCCAAGTGGTCCATTCGCGTGGTTCTCTCGCAGTTCAACCTCAACCGCCAAAGACGCCAAATCCCCTTCTCTGACAGCAAGCCGACGCAACACTGCTACCTCGGTATCCACACTCGCAAGCAACCCGGAACACCGCGATGGCGACGACATCTCAAGCATCGGCTCCAAGAAGCCAAGACGGAACAGTCTCAAGGATCAATTCAAGATGCTGCGACTGCGAGAGGAGAGCTTGGCACCAGAGGCCGATCAAACGAGCGCCCGCTCAGGGCGCGCCAGCATCAGCCAGTCCGGAGCCAGCCCGCCTATCATCCCGGAGGAGGGAGAGGAATCAATTCTGGTTGCGCCACCAACCCCGTCACCCGGCGCGACTCACCCTGGCGCAAGGAATGATTCGGTGACTGACGCCTCGGTCCCGGTTGACTGGGAGATGTGGCAACAGCTTGTGAACAACGGGCCATCGGCCCTGGCAAGCTCGGAGGAGCTCAACGCTGCAATCAAGCGCGGAATCCCACAGACCATCCGAGGTGTGATCTGGCAGATTTTGGCAGATTGCCACACTGCCGAGTTGGAGGATACCTACCGCGAACTGGTGGCGCGAGGTACTGCACAAGATAGAGATGGACGACCGGCAAACGGTGCCGAAACTACGTCGTCACGCTCCTCGATTCGCTCGCATCACTCAGGGTCTGTCTCGCGGTCCCGCAGCCAGACCCCTAGCCCGTCCTACGAAGGCGAAGATAAAGCAAAGGAGCAAGCGATCAACGAGGCTGATCGTGCAAAGAAAGCAAAGACTGATGCGGTGGCTCTTTCAAAATTAGAGAAGGCCATCAGGCGAGACTTGGGTGCCCGCACCAGTTATGCCAAATACTTTGTTTCCCAAGGAAGCCAAGAAGGCTTGTTTGGTCTTTGCAAAGCATACGCATTGTACGATGAGGGGGTTGGCTATGCGCAAGGCATGAATTTCATTGCGATGCCTTTGCTCTTCAACGTAAGTACACAAATTCGAATATACGGGCCTTGGCTGACTTTTTTCTTAGATGGACGAAGTCGACGCATTCGCCATGCTTGTCAAGCTGATGAACAAATACTCTCTGCGAGACATGTTCATCCAAGATATGCCTGGTCTTCACCGGAGTCTGTACCAGTATGAGCGATTACTCGAGGACCTTGAGCCCGCCCTTTACTGCCACCTGCGGCGTCGTGGTGTACCGCCCCAGCTATACGCCACTCAATGGTTCCTGACGCTGTTTGCCTACCGTTTCCCGTTGCAGCTAGTACTGCGCATCTATGATTTGATCTTCGAGGAGGGATTGGAGACCACCATCCTCAAATTTGGAGTTGCGATCATGCGACGGAACTCCGAAACGCTGCTTGAAATGAAGGATATGAGCGTCCTGACCACTTTCCTGAAAGAGCGCTTGTTCGATGCCTACATTGATAAGCAGCCATCCACCTCATCGATCCTGGAGTCGGGCTTCTTTGGCAGCTCTGGTGCTTCAGACAAGGAGGTTTACCGATCCGATATTTTGGTGCAGGACGCCTGCGCGGTCCCTCTTACAACTGAAATGCTCACCACCTACACTGCCGAATGGGAGGAAAAGACCCGCACTGAGAAGGAGCGCGAAGCCGAGCTGGAGCATCTACGACACACCGTTGGTATTCAAGGAGCACGGGTCCGGCTCCTCGAAGAGCGCGCCGAGGCGTCAGACAAGGAACACGTGCAGCTAGCATCCGAGCTGGTGCATGTCAAAGTGGAGAACGAGGAGCTCCGCGACGTCAACGACGCAATGAAGGTGCAAGTTGACGAGCTCAAGAACGTCGTTGACAAGCAGCCCGCCGAGGTTGAGGAGAAGCTTCGATTGGAAATGGAACGCATCATGAAGCGCAACATCGAGGTCCAGAACGAGAATCGTGCGATGGAGGAATCCATGTTCGAGATGGAGAAAGAGCTAGTCGCCACCAAGATGAAGTGGGCAGAGGTATGAGGAATCCAATTATCCTGCACATTCACCACTAACGAAGATCAGATGTCCGAGAACCACGAGACTCTCCGCCAGAAATGGAGCGACCTTCGTCGCGCCCTCGACTAACCATGTCCACCTTATTGACCCGGACCTGCCGGGGTTGTATATTGAGAATGCGCGGCTAGCGATCTGTGATCCTCTGCGCATTCGGACCATTCTTATGGGCCGGGATTTTTGCCTTTATTGACTTAAACCAACGATATGACTTGCCCTTATGATCGTCTCCAGCATGCCAATTTTGGACGGCATCGGTGTTTTGCTTTAGCTGCTCTGTCTACGCTAGACGTATGTGTATATCATGAATGAAATCTTTATTCTTTGACCCGATCACCCAGTCCCGAATTAACAGAGCCAAAAAAAACCTCCACCTCATAGAATATTCTCATAGAATGTTGTCAAGACATCCTCCTTGACCGGGCCCGCAACGGCCTTCAATGCCTTGTGCGCCTCACATTCGGTATCGTAGTATTTCATATCATCCAGCGAAGCGAAAGTCGTCTTGACTGAGATATTATACCCTTTGTTTCTGGGGTCCGGGATCGAGACGCCGACAGCCGCAGCGACAATGTAGGGCTTGCCATCCTATAAGCCGTCAGTAACCGCTTCTCGGTCCGGAAATACCCGCCCAGCAGTGCTCTCCGAAGTACGTCGTCAAGGATAGACGGAGAACGCAGACAGGATCAGGGATCATTTGTACCTTGGTGGCAGTCTTTGCGAGAACCTTGTACTGCTCGAGCACGCGGTCTCGATCCGCCTCGTTGGGGATCTTGAAAAGGGTGATACGCTCGATGGGGGCCATGGCTTTCGCTGTTCGGAGGTTGAGGGACGTGAGTGATCGAAGGGCCATGGTGGGTTTATATCCCCTCAGGCTAATGGCGGGGGAAATCAGTTACGTCGCGTACATGTTCCGTCGGGTAAACGTAGCTCGGAAGTGGTTGATTTATCCTCCGTGATGAGACTATTATCACCGCATTAGTTTCATGGCTGCATATGCCAATTGGATTTTGTCTTGAGTCCTCTATAAGCCTTTTCAATGGGATGACCATCGGCCAAATTCGAAGCTACGAAGCTGTTCGTTGTTGGGGGGCGGTTAAATTCCGTCCCGAAGAGTGGGTTGGTTCCGGGGGCGGAATTGGGTCGGATGTGCCATTTGTATACTTCAGCAGACACTTGTTTTGAAATAGAGAATTATATGGGCTTTGTCTAAAGATGCAGGTTCGTATTAGAGATTCCCGCGTAGTGCCTGTTCCCTTTCGAACGCCTCAAAGAGACTCTTAAAGTTGCCTGCCCCAAACCCATCAAACGAATTGCGTTGAATGACCTCGACGAAGACCGTCGGGCGATCTCCAACGTGTTTGGAAAATATCTGGAGCAGATATCCACGTTCATCGAAGTCCGCGAGGATATTCAATCGTTCGAGCACATCGACGTCGGCGTCGAGGGCCCACGAGACCCGCGAGAGGCGCTTGCGTAGATCGGCGTAGTATGCAGCAGGAACATTGAGGAATTGGACGCCTCGAGCCTGCAACTGGGACACGGCGGTGACGATGTCGTTGGTACGGAAGGCAATGTGCTGAACCCCGGCACCGTGGTAGTAGTTGATGAATCTGGAACTGTCAGAACGAGACGATCACACCACAGGGCAGTTATGGAACACGAGCACACACTCTTCGATCTGTGATTGCTTTTTGCCAGTTGCCGGCTCGTTCATGGGCATTTTGATGGTTTCATTGGGGGATGCAATGACAATGGACCGCATGGCAGAGTATTCGCTGCACATGTCTTTGTCGTCGACGGTCCAGTAACGGTGGAAGTCTAGACAATCCTCATAACTGGAGGCTGAGTATTAGCGCTGCACCTCAGCAGGATTTTCTCGGGGTTCTTACTATTGAACAATACTATCAACCCCTCCCCATGGCTGGTTCCCGACGCAGTGATCAATCTCAATCAAGTCAACTTTTGGCAGAAGCTGCATGATGGGATCTTCGGCAGTGATGACTTGATATCCCGGCAAGAAGGGCGCATCGTCCGAGTACTTTTCTCGGTTAACCAGGGAATGCACAGTATCACCGTACGTTCCAATAGTCGCCGACACGAGTACCCCATGCCCGTCAACGGTAACAATCCGTGGTTCAGCAATAGCGCGGGCACCATTCTCAACAGCCCGGTCCCACACAGCTTGTATATCTCCGACAATCCGAAAGGCAACATCCTTTACACCGTCTCCGTGAACGGTCAGATGTTCATGGACGTCAGCCAGCGTGGTGCGCTCGTGGTCCGAGGCCCGGCACATCAGATCCTCTGAGCTATGTTTTGGTGGACCACATACCGGCCCTGTCAGGATGAACGTAGCGCCGCAGTTGGCTACGACATAGCTTACGAGGTAGGGCGAGCCATTCTCCGGGCCACGGTATGCAATGGGCCGGAAGCCCATGCGAGTGATCCAGTATGAAGCTGATTGTTTAGGGGTTCCGACGAACCAGTGGATATGGTCGAAGCCCACGTAGGCAGGGCCCATTTTCGAGGGGAAGATGTCTTCAGTTTGCGAGACCGTCATCATTGCCGTTGCTGTATGTCAAGCGCAGAGGCATCTAATCCATCCACCGTTGGCTGGAATGACTTCCAAGGTTGCGGTCGATTATTTATGGGCGATTGTCAAAACGGCCGTCTCGGAGGGAAGTAAGAAAATAGATTTTCAGGCGAGGGGGACCTTGTCCAGACGATTTTTCCAAGCTCGCGTCGGATCAATATCTATAGATAACACATGAGGCAATGCTGAAGTCATACATGCATGCACAGCGGCCACGCCCTTTGACGCTACGTGCGTGCAAACTGTGCTTGAGACAGTGCTTGCGATACACAGAGCTTTGTCCTTGGGGATTGTAGGACGAGAGCAATCTTTGCAACCCATAGGAGCTGCGGCAATTTGGGGACAAAGGGCATGTATCATGCACAGGTGTCATTTCCCTCAATGATACAGCCTGGTATGGAGATGCCAAAGCCTCCGATTTTATGTTATTTCAGGCAGATTCCGCTTGGAGCCAGTCCAAGTAGATTTTCCGCCATTATATCCAAATGAAATGTTCTTGAGACAGCGTCGGCTCAGACGTTGTTCACAGGCTCAGGTCGATTCTTGAAGAATATCTTGTAGCGCACAATGTCCACAACCTCCAGTTCCTCGCCCTCCGACGGGCGTTTTTGTAACACAGCAATTGGATGTGGGAGCTTTTTCACTTCCCCGGTCATCCGTTGGTACCGCCCAACATACAGGTAAGCGCGCTTCATCCACTTGGTGTCTTCTGGATTGAGGGTCGAGTAGTCTGGGAACATGAGCTTTCCGATCGGGGTTTCAAAGATCGAAGCTGGATCGATATTTGCGGAAATGTCTCCTAAGTCCTCATCCTCACTTCCTGAGGGAACATTGATCGTGCCTTGGAGCTCAAGGAGGGCTAGGCCGGAGGGTGTTTGAAGCAGTGTTGGGAGAGGGTTGTGCGCGGGAGTTGAGGGGGCGGTCGCGGTCGCTTGATTTCCTGGAACTGATGACCTGGGATGTAGCTTTACAGAGGGCATCTTGGAATGGGAAGCCTTGTGAAGGTTATGAGTATGAGCGTATAGAGCGGTGATTGTGAAGGGGGACGCGGCCGCGGTCGCGGTCACGGTCGCGTTTGGTGATATCTCCACATTTCCTATTCGGGTGAAATGGGCATAAAAACCAACTCGGAGATTTACAACATATACAAAGATGGATGGATGAGAGGTTGATGCGTAATTCATTGGATTCATGTAAAAAGAGGTAGACCGAATACCTGTAAAGTACACAACTCCCAGTCTTACAAGTATGCTGGGCTTGGGTAGACTCCATACATCGAAATCATCAGGGCATTGTCTCATATCAGAAGCGCTCACATGTCCCAGGTGTAGGTTGGGGTTGATTTTGGGCCAAAAGGGCGAGTTGCTACCGGTTGACGGGGTAGTGGTGGTGGTGTTGGTGCAGAGCAGCAGAGGGCAAAAGTCGATACTGACAAAGCCAGTGCCCATCCACGACCTATTTCATGAAGTGCTCTTCCGGTAGCAAACATCTTCCAGATTTTGCAAGCCCTGGATAGCCTGACTTGCTATATCCTCCGCAGTCCCCGCGGGGCCTTGCAGTTTTCCATAGCGAAGATCACTCATATTACCCACAGTCGCTTGGAGCTTCTCTAGGATGCTCGCGGCCTCTGCGTCAATGCTGGCAATTTCGTGCTCGATGTTTGCACTGGCAATCTCCATTTCAGCTAGAAGACTGCCTGCCGAGTGGTAATCTCCCGGGGCAGTAGGGGCCTGGCCAAAGAGATGCACATCCAGGTCCATTTCGCGCTGCTCCTCGGGGTTTGAAGCTTCGACGCCTGGGGCGCGAGTGGCTTTGCGCAGCTCAGCTCTTTGTTTCTCGCCTTGCTTCACCTCGTTGTCAATGTTTTCATTCACTCGGTCCATGTCCTGTTCTCGGACTTGTTGGAGCTCCCGATACAGAGTCCTGATATGAGGATGGGACCTCAAACGCTTGGGAAACGTTTCTGTAAACTTTTGCAATGACATTACTGTCGGCAGAGGGGCTGGGGCGAGGAGGAAATTCCCCAGGATTGATTCCTCTGTTGGTGCCATGATTGCACGGAAACAGAGTCGCGAGCTCTCCCAACGCAAACTAGCGCGTGATGTGTTGATCCTGAGGATTCAAGCAAGAAGACAATAGAGAATCGTCAATGTTTGCCGTTGGGATAGTGTCAATGAGGGTGAATTGGATAGTTGTATTGTCTGTTGATGTTCCCGCGTCTAATTCTTCAAGGGGCCAGCGCGCTTTTCCTCTTTCCCCCTAACATCTGAATAGCCTCGTTCTTTCACCACCAATCTCTATTGTTCTCTAATTGACTACCTCAAACTACTCCGAGCGAGATTCTCTTTCGATTTCCATCATATTAAAGCACCTCGCCGGACCAAGTTTGCTGTGACAGCTTGTACTACGTCTCACGCCCTTGGTGCTAATTCCGTTTGCCTTCGGCCAAACTTGCATAAATTGCAGTCGCAAACTTCATCTGGGGGTTGCCAACACTATCTTGATCAAAGTTACATATCTGGATCCACACTTTGAACATCTGTTCCCTTGCAAGCCGGAAAAGCACCCCTTTGAGGCCCCGGAGCAGGAAGAGCGAGGTCTCCCCATCACTTCAAATAAGCAAAATCGCCTCCGTGCGGCCAGATCAACGAACGATGGCTCCCTCTATGTATTGCAAGGACGAGAAAGTCCTGTGTTTCCACCATGAAATCCTTTACGATGCCAAGATTCTGGATGTTCGTCATAAGGATCCCAACGACAAGAAGAGCCCCTTTGAGTACTCAGTCCACTACAAGGGCTGGAAGAATACGTGAGTGGTGTCTGATTTTTAATTTCTTCCTGCCTGCCCGGTCTGGCTTTCATGCGATACTTGCTGTTCGTTTCTCCTGGCCGTTCCAAGTTCCAAATGTGAAGGAGATCTGTGTTCTGTCCACGATGATCAGCCTTCCATCTAAAATTCCTTCGGATTCGATGGAAACCGTCATAGTCGCTCTTTTTTCCTGTTCGAGTGAACCTCTTGCTAACTGACCTAGCTGGGATGACTGGGTGCTTGAAGATCGCCTTCGCAAGCATACCGAAGACAACCGCGAATTGGCTAATAACCTTCGCCGCGAGGCCGAGGCTTCGTATCGCCTTAAGAACACCAAAGCCTCTGCAAAGAAGCGTGGTGGTTCCGACCGTGACTCCGTGCGGGATAGCGAGGAGCGCGGGGCCTCTGTGCCCGGCCGCGGCACCAAGAGAGCCCGTGACAATGACATCGAAAAGGCAAGTTACTTTTGAAAATCAAAGAAAAACCGATGTCCTCAAACGAGAGCCATGTAGAAGAACATACGCTAACAAACATACAGGAAGACAGCTTCAACACGCGACCTTCAGTCCGCATTGTGATGCCGGACAACTTGAAATCCTTGCTCGTCGATGACTGGGAACAAGTTACCAAAAACCAGTGTGTTGTCGCGCTACCTTCCAAGCTTCCAGTACGTCAGATCCTTAGAGACTGGCATGAGGAGGAGGAGCCTAAGCGCTCGGGTTCCTCTGCCGACGAAGATGTCCTGGAAGAAGTAGTGGCCGGCCTTCAAGAGTACTTTGATAAGTCTCTCGATAAGATTCTGCTATACCGCCACGAGCGACAGCAGTACCGCAATCTGCGCAAGAAGTTCGAGGCAGCTACCGGTGAACTGGCGGACAAGGGACCTATTGATGTTTATGGCGCCGAACATTTGATTCGATTGTTCAGTATGCTTGTACCCTGCTTCACCACTGAAAGTTTTGTTACTGACTCCTCTCCAGGCAGCATGCCCGAGCTGATTGCTCAGACAAATATGGATATGCAGGCTACCAACCGGCTGCGAGAGGAAATTTCAAAGCTTTCCATGTGGTTGAGTAAGAACTCGGACAAGTACTTTGCGACAACTTACGTTGTCGGGGAGAGTATTCAGTGATGCTTGATTCGTCGAGTCAAATTCTTTGTACTTGTTTCTGAGGTGGTTTAGACAGCTGTACTCTCTGATACTGAAACCGAAAGCGTCTTAATTCTACCTTCCAAGGTTCCAAGTTGTATACAGTATGCTTTGAGAAGCGCCGGTGGGAAATCAAAATGCATTGTTCGATTTGTTTTCTCGCGGAATATGCATTTGACCTTGAAGATCTGTATAATATGAAGTCCGACAAAACCACGTCGAACGAGAAAGACGTCCTCGACTATACCTAGGTATATTCCAACCCAGGGCGTAGTACTACAGCAAGAAGTATCTTTTCCAATCCCACGACCTTGGAACTTCAAGTCAAACTTGGAAAGAGATCCGTAAAAAGTCCCACAGAAACTACCCTAAGCCACCAACTGCCTCGCATCATCAACTGCATACCTCGCCGCACGTTTCAGCTCACTCTTCCACTCCGACTCTCGCCACTTGACCCATGCACTCAGACCTTCAGGTGGCTGGATACTCAAAGTATCGTAACCCTGTTTGATGATACGATGGACTTCCTTCGGACTCAGGTTTTTCTTCTTGATGGTCGGTAGCGCCACTGGCGTCGGCTCATCGGGCTTGGGGGTAGCAACGGCGGCAGCCTCCCCGCCCTCGTGGAAAAGCAGAGTGTAGAAGTGAGTAGACACAGATTGAAGGGTGTCGATGGCAGCTTGCTCGTTCGTTTTAGCAAATGCATCGCGGAATTTAGAGATTACAGGGCCTGTTTCGACGAGCTTGTAGAACAGGTCGTCGTAGGAGGCTGGATCAGGGAGGAAAGTGTCGCCGCCGGAAACGCAGAAGGCGATCAAGTCTGCTAGGCTCGTTGTTAGGGTTTGAATCCTCGGGGTACTGGTTAGGTCTGAGGCATAGGTTGTGAGGAAGCGCATCAGAGAGAGTAGGGTCCGCCAGAGCTCAGACCAGTGGTATGTGAGGCGGATTTTGTTTTTGGAGAGATATGTAAGGAGGCGAAGAGTAATGGCAATGGTATGGCTGGTTTTGATTAGTGATTTGTTGCAAGCCCATGGAGGGCATCAATCGTACCTGTAAATATTGACATCAAGTCGGCGACGGAGGTTGTGAGTGATGGTATCAATCACGATGTCGAAAATGACAGTTGCGAGGACACGATCGCCGCTGACCAGAGGGAGGTAGGGTTGTTTCTGTCGGCAGATGCGAACCTTCCGTTTGCCATCATCGGCGCAGATGTGTTTACAGATTGTTGTGTCCTCGACTAGAATTCGGAGCGTGAAGAGGTTCAGCTCGGCATAATGTCCGACACGTGTGGATCGGTATGCATGTTGCAGCAGATAGGACGTCAATGACAGGAAACTCGAGAATGGAGACTCTTCTTCGCTGCTCTCCGGCTTTGAGTGTACCAGATGATAGCCGAACATCTTGTTGGCGTTCGTAAAGTCGTATGTAGCCAAGAGAATCGAGGCCTCTTGCGCGGGTCTGCAATGACAGTGAGCATTCTGTCCGCCATTCAGTTCTTGGTGAAACTTACAGATCAGCAAACATTGCCTTCGCTTCCTCTGCAGACGGAGGGGCTGCTTTGTCTTTGGCCCCTGGAGCGAGGGCGCGGAGACCAAAAAAGATCAGTGTGTTGGCCAGATTCCAGCCCTCTGGGATGTCGTCTTGTACAGCAACATAGTCATTGCGCAAGCCACCGCATGCAAGACCCACACCATTGGCCATCTTTTGGATGCTCGATTCATTAACGAAATCATCCAGTCGAAGCTGATAGGGATTTTGGAACTCGAATTTGTTGTAGTTTGCAAGCAATCCCAAGAGGAGAAATGGATTAAACACTTGCAGTGAAGTTTCCGCATCGGAAACATACTGTGAGTGATTGTCAGTTCCTGGTTGTGAATATCGTGTTCCGCACAAACCTTCATCAGCGAGGGGAAAAGGTCCCTGTGTGTAAAATAGGAGACCAAGCTTGTTTTGTATGCCCCGCTAGTCATGGCAATGGCCGTTTTAATGGCCTTGAGTCTCATGTCGACTGGAACAGATCAAATCAGCGACCCAGTCCTACGAGTACTGAGCAATACTTACGAGAACTCCCATTGCGAATAGTCCTGTCCACGACAGCCACGAATTCAGGGATGACATGGTCCACTTCATCGAGTCCAGCGAGAACAGTGATGACATCCGAGCTTGGATTGGTGTATTTCTTGCTCAGCACGCTGGTCAAGAAAATAGTCAAAGTCTGCCACTGACGTGAGTACTGATCCTAACGATAGAGCTGGGGATATTCACGTCTAATGCGTACGAGGCGGCCGGGGCAACACCCGCTGCCGCCTCTCGAATAGCACGAACAAAGAAACGCTGCGTTTGAACCTAATCGATATGAGTCACGGGGTCCTCAGGGGTTCCGCGCGACACCTTACCTGGAGGCTGAGTGTGTCGTCTGGACTCAGGGTATCCAAAATAGCATGCAGCTGATCCCTGTCCGGGGGCAACAGGAAGAATTCCCGCCAGAACCCTTCCGAGGGATCTATATCATCGGTTGCCTATCGGCGATTAGTTCTGCCTTGGTGGGTATGTTATGATGGTACCTTAAAGAGGTTCTCATAGAGCTGCACGATCTTGGGCTGGAAAGACTCAGGTCTACTCTGCTGAGTCAGGGGTGAATAGTCCATGATTTTAGACACGAATGAGCCAGCTCGGCAGCATTATTCGAAGAAAAAAAAACACAGGTCCGACGGAGTTGATATACAGATTCAATTGCTTTGATCTGAAAAAGGGACCACTTGGTCATGTCAGCGGGTCCAGCCACATGTCCTCCTTTACGACTTGGCACTTTTGTATAGAGACTTACGCCGTCCACGAGCTAAGAGAATTGCTTATTATTCCGTGCCTGTGGATCTTTACACTAAATTACGTCCTTCCACTTAACTGGATTTGGAGCATTGCCCATGGAGGGGAAGCTCACTCCGAAGAACGGAAGTCGTCCGGGGAGACCGATTACCTCAGCCTCCGAAAAACGCACTACATCATAGCTATGTCAGATGCAGGGAATTGTGATTGAGAGATGAAGATACTATACTACCTAATATTCTGAGAGCAATGCGATTCAAAGCAAATACCTACTAGTAGTAGAAATCAAACAGTCAGCAGGCAACGCGGTACCTTGATGGCGCCACTGTGTGTAGAAACTCCTCAATCCTGATTGGTCGGTTCTGCGTCATGCAACTGCCTTACCTAATCCCCCCAAGGGCCACCGGGGATCCTCAAAAGTCATTCTTCTTCAGCCCTCAATCTCCTTTCACACAACTGCATACTCTATTCTATGAGTCAATAGCAATTTTCGTCGAGGTTCACTTGATATCCTAACTGCTCCTCGACAATGAGCTTCTACACAATGCGTCCTGTGACATCATCCGCCACCCTCCTCCTTCGGGCAAAGCCCTCGGTTGGACCTCTGCGTACCTTCTCATCGTACGGCAACGCCCTCTCTTCCAAGCGGGATATGCAAACCGCAACTGCCTACCGCCCCCACACTCTTCCGTCCTCTTTCCCGCCACCTCGAAGCAGCGGCGGCGCCGACACCTCCATCTCAGCAGAATTCCCTCTTCCCGAGTCACAGCCCACTCAGCGAACATCACAAAACACTGCGCCTGCGATGAGTGTACGGGAAGGAGAAGCGCAAAAGTCCAAATCGAGCTTCTCCGCTTCCCCGGCCGCTTCCAAGACTTCCCCGAAGCCCCGTCGGCCACTTCGGCCAAGGAAGGCAGCCATGAAATTGTCTGCCGTGGCCACCGAGCAACTCCGGAAATTGATGGATCAGCCCGAACCGAAATTCATTCGTGTTGGTGTCAAGAACCGTGGGTGCTCGGGCCTCGCTTACCACCTCGAGTACGTGGAGCAGCCGGGCAAGTTCGACGAGGTCGTGGAGCAGGATGGTGTGAAGGTCTTGATCGACAGCAAGGCACTTTTCAGTATCATCGGCAGTGAAATGGACTGGCATGAAGACAAGCTGAGCCGACGATTCGTTTTCCGCAACCCCAATATCAGTAAGTGGCCCGTGCAATCTCACACCGGATGTTTGATTTTTTGAGACTCAGTGACTGACTTGACCCCTACAGAGGAAGAATGCGGTTGCGGTGAATCTTTCATGGTCTAAGCCCATGCTCGGGTGATTTTTTTCTTTTGTTTCCTGTACAGACCTCGCGGCGTCTTTTTTACCGGTGCATTTGGAGGGCGTTTTCCAAGAGTTTGGTCATTCCGCCACTCTTTTTCTTTTCCGTACATACGCTTGATATCCAGTCGATAACCCTTTCTCCTCTTCTTTCTCTGCTTTGGACGTCCTGCATCTGATGGCTTTGGGGCACTTTCTGTCCACCGGTTCAGCCTTCTCGTAGAGACAGGCCAGAACTCCGCCGGATAGCTGTTTGCTTTTTCCTCGGTGGTTTCCCGAGGCCTTACCAAGCCAGTCTATGTGATACACAGTGTATAGATTACCTAGGTAGTCCGATGGACTTTCATTATGATGATAATGTGTGACATATTTATTCCGAAAAATCACGAAAAGCTCAAATTCACAGGATTACACTCATAACAGCCAAATTGACATGATTTCAAGCAATATAAATTCAATATAAAACAGACTCGAAAGGCCTAGACTTCATCACATGACGCTGTTGTTGAAGGCCCCGGGTGGTCCGAGGCCGCGGAACCATGGGGTAAGCCATCTCCAACACAGCACTTGAGGTGCATGATACAGACATACCATCCCTGCATGAACACACCATGTCCTCGCGATTCTCCCCTTCTCATGCAAGTGAGCAAGGAAACCCACTTCTCATCGCGGTCCGCTTCTCCGCCTCAATTCCCGACCTCGAACTCGACGTCCCCCAGCCCGAGACGACAACAGGCGCAGGGCTGAAACAACTCATCCGCGCCGATCTTCCCAAAGACCTCTCATCGCACCGGCTACGTCTTATCTATGCCGGTCGTGGCCTAGAAGATACAACCGCTCTAACAGCCTCACTCAAACTCCCCCCACGAAGCTCCCCCGCACCCGAAGATCATGGAAAAGGCAAGCAGGCAGTGCGCGATGCCCGTCCGCGTATCTACATCCACTGCTCGATTGGAGATATCACACTCTCAGAAACAGACCTAGCGAACGAAGCAAGTGCCTCATCAACGCTGCAGCGAAAGAATACAGCCACAGCGAATGATGAGGCGGACGAGCGTTCACCACTTATGTCGCACGAGCCACAGACGACGCCTGCACCGCGGGGCTTTGATCGTCTTCTCTCGGCTGGATTTACGGCTGCTGAGGTCACGGCTCTGCGCTCGCAGTTCTTGGCTATGCAGTCTGTTTCTTGGACGCGGGATACTATGCCTAGTGGGGAGCAGTTGAGGGATCTTGAGGATCGGTGGATGGATGAGGGGTCTACGGCGGTGCCGGTGGTTGAGGGGGATGATAATGGGGGCATTGGATCTGGGTCGCATGGGGCTATGGATGATATGCTGTGGGGGGCTGTCATGGGGTTCTTTTGGCCTATCGGCTGTGCTATGTGGTTGAGGAGGGAAGAGGGGGTTTGGAGTTGGAGGAAGGGTGTTGCTGTCTCTATTGGGGTTGCAGTGAATGCTGCATTTGGGGCAATGAGGATAATGGGTTAGCGTTGGTCTTTGATATCTTGTTTTTTTGATACCCCTTGGTCGAGTTTCTTATAGAATGGAATGAATATGCATATTGCAACACCTTGAATTAAGGGCCTTAGGCGTATGCGCCTTGTAGGACTTACCGCTGTCGTACAGAATGCGGAAGATGCAGAAGTGCCTCGCACGATAGGAGCAAAGGATAAAAACATGAACATAACCGACCGTAGAAGTATACAAACGCCGCTGCAACCTTCGCTAATGGAACTTCCCGTAAATGACCGCGAAAATCAAGAGCACCAGAACCGTAATGATAGCAATAGTGATCATCCGATTGGTAGCCATCCTATAAGGACTCGTTAGCCATGACTCCAGAAGCCCAAACAATAGGGACTCAGTACCTACGGGCCATGCCCCTCAAAGTCTTGATGCTGGTATCAACATAGCCCTCGCTCTGCTGCAGGTTATTCCTAGCATTGGAGATCTGCTCCCGCTGCTCATAGAGTGTACCGAGCGTCCCGCGAGCGATATCCTCCGTATCCAGCGCCATGCGCTGACTTTGCTGTAGTCTGGCCGAGCTGCGCTCTAGTCTGTCGGTGCCCGAGAGCAACTGCTGTCGCTGTTCGAGGTGCTCATCCTGCGGTTCGTCGGTGTACCGGTCACCGAAGAGGGCCTGGCGGTCGTCGGAAAGGGACTTGAGTTTGCGCTTGACCTCGTCGATGTCGGTTGAGTAGTTGCGGAAGCGGATGTTTACTTTTGACCGTGTGGCTGAGGGGATGTTCTGCTTCTCCATGCGCATTTGGTCGAGCTGGAGGGGAGTGGGTTAGTTTCTGGCGGATGATTTCGCGTGTCGGATTCGCTTGGATATTGGACTCACTAGTTCTGTGGCTTCATCGAGTACTGAGTTTGCGAGGCTGATTGCGGATTTCCGTTGCTCGCCGCTTGCCTCGGCGATCTGGTCCAGCTTCTGGTTCAGGTTGGCTTGCACCAGCTTGAGTTCATTCTCATAGCTGGCGAACATCTCCGAGCCGGCATCTGTGTCTAGTGGGGTTGACATGGTGTGGCTGTTGTGGTACTGTAGTTGGAGAGGTCAAGTTGTCGATGTGATGTAGGAGTTGCCCAGGTGGCTCCACCTTTATCAGTGGTTGTTTCAGGAGCGCTGAGTGGCGGGTTCAACGCCAAGACGGAGTGTCTATACGGACTAGGAAGAACACCTTTTGCAAAGCAACTTTAATAACAAAGACCGCACTGATTCAAAAGGAGGGAGAGAGAGAATGGGACGAGTTTCGATGTTACACGTGATTTGAGGCCGTTGCAGATCTTTCCCTACACCCGTGGACCTGCGCCGATATGCAACATACTCCCTCGGCTTCCCTATAGCTGCTACCCTGAGTCCAAAATTAGAGAAAGCATGGGGTTACAGGCTTCTGCGCCTTGGACATAAGTTGTTTCATTTCCCATTTCACTCTTTCTTATTGTGCCCACACAGATTTTATCCGATGATGGGTTTGATAGGCTATAATGTGATCATGATCAGACAATGGACCAAGCATCACTAGATGCTTGAACAATGACTCGGATGACTTGTCTACATTACACCGATGCCTATAGATCGAGGTGATTAGTAGCAAGGCAACGAAATAGCTTTGTTGCAATCATATTCTTCGAATCTTCTCGTACTCAGGCAAAGCCCATTTAACCATCCATTCACATTCGAGAATCTGCTTGGCAGAATAACGATTCTCGGGCCTGAAGGTAATTTTTGACTTCATCATTCTCAAAAAAGCATCCTTCTCGGCCGAGTCAATGCGTTGCATTCCTTCCCTCCGTCGAGGTGCCTGTATATCATGCTCGAATCTGTCCTCCCATGACATGGAAGGATCCCTATTCATCGGCTTCCCATCCTCCATGAATCGAGTGTGCCGCCCCTGCCATTTGTGCCACCACTCCGAGGGCAGGATACCAAGAACATCGACTTGCTCGCAAGTAATGCTATCGTCGGTTGCAAACATGCCGTCAAAGAGTGTTTTATGGCCCATGATGCTCCATAAAGAGCACCCAAGGGACCAGATGTCTGAAGGGAAGGCCAGAGGCTGATTCGACCCAAACCGGGCCTCTGGTGGTCTGCTCACAAGCGGAGTGTGAGACACAGACCTTTGTTGCTTGGTAGGGGAGAATGCCTCACCGAAATCGGTGAGCAGAATTTTAGCTTCCCAGGGCTCGAGCTTGTCACTTGCCACACCAAGCCAGATGGGTAAAACGGCCCGTGACGGGACAGAAGGTGAGAGTGGTCGCCCATCGAAACGTCTTATTGCTTCGAACTCCGGCTCTCCGTACTTTGCGTCCAACTCCTCCACAGACAGTTTGTCTAGGTCAAATGGCAACCAGAGGAGAACATTTCCTGTATGAATGTCTCCGTGGACGAATCCATGGGAGTGGATATACTCAACTGCAATCACCAGTTGTGCCGCTAGGATTCGAGCAATCTCCGGTTGGAAAAGGCGATTGTATGAGGCATCTTTCGCCTCAGAGAGGCTCATCCTGGGGCTGTCACATAACAGGGGTGTGTACCATTTGGCCCTTCAATCTCGAATCTATCTAGCACTGACGGGATCATCATCTTTCCTAGGCTGGTATTTGAGCTTTGTTGCGAGCTGGAAAGTTCCGCCAGGACGCTGCATTCAAGAGGATTGGAATCCGAGATGCACACTTTGATGGCAACATATTTGCCATCCCTTCCAAGGTTTGATCACGGGCTAGCCAAATAGTCGAGTATGTGCCGTGGCCAAGCTTTTGAGCCACCTGGTAACGATTGTGAATATGATCGCCGATTCTCATGCAGTGATAACCTCCTCTGCGATAGCCTTCCAGTCTCTCCACCCCTTCGATGGGTTCATAAAGGTGATGCGAAGAATCATCATCCTCTATGGGAGAGTGAGACCTAGGCGCTGCTGTGCAGGAAAACCCGCAGATTTGGTCTCGGTAATCTGTTCGCTTGGCTTTGCTGGAAGAGGGATGCAGATGAGAAAGCAATGAACGTGTTTGGAAAGGCCGGAATAGGGATCTTAGATTTCGCATGGCACAATCAGCTCTGAATTTGGGTTTCATTCATGAAAAGCCAATCGTTACAAGATTGGAACGAAAGCCAGTCTCAGGTGCTCGGCGCATACTATGTAGGTTGAATCATCCATGTCCACGCTGAGGTATGTTGCCAAAGAGCGCCCCGGCCTGACATCGGCATGACTATCTTCCGGCAAGGTGTAGTAAACTTGATACTTCTGGATGCACTTTCAACTCACCTTCTAGCGACAGCAGTGAAACGGGAAGAGCGCGATGGCGGTCCGGGAAGTTGATACTCAGCCATCCATCATGATGGATATAGGGTTACCTAGGTAGTCAGCAAATCGACGCCCGGGGCCGTGACACCGAGCACCAACAGATGGCGAAGAAGTGGAAGAAATCAAACACGTAGTAGATCTGATCTCGCAGTAGAAAGTCGAATTTGATACATAGCATTAACGTAAAACCAGGCCCACACAAAACAATTCGCCTTTTCAATAAACAACCAAGATGACCCTTTGGTATACAAAAATCATGGAGCTCTTAAATGTCCCGTCTATAACAAGAACTTGTCGCTATCCTGACCCACGATGATAGCACTTCGCTTGGCATCGAGGAACAGATCCTCACACTCAGCAATGTCAGCCTCCTCAATGCCAGCGGGGCGGCCATTAACGCGCGCAAGGATACTGGCGGGGGTCAGCAGCTGCAAGGCGTACCGCAAGCTGACCTTGCTGCCGTGCTCGGCGACCTTGTTCAAAGCAGGTTCTGTGATACCGAGGCCTTCGGTCTTGGCGCGCAGGCGGACGATGGTCTTGATTTCTTCGGGGGCATATGGTTGGGTTGGGACGATAAGAAGACGGGCGAGCAGATCAGGGGGAATGCCGTGGGCGGCACTGACGTCGTCGGTGCCACGGATGACCGTGTGGCCGCGGTTGGAGGCAAGGATGACGATGGGGGAGATGCTGGATTCGAGAGCGCGGTTCAGATATGTGAAGCACTCAATGTCGAGCATGTGGACCTAGAGAGAGAATGTATTAGCATCGTGGTCCGCGAACAGTGAAGGTGGTGACATACCTCATCAATGAACAGCACACCGGGCACCAATTCTGCGACACCCTGGTCGATGTAGCGGTTGACAACCTTGTTAATCTCCTGGCGCAGCTTGTCCGTGATCTCAGTCTTCTTGGGCTTCATCAGCTGGCCCATCATGCTCATAACATCTTGGCCACCCTGCGGCCGCGCGTTGGCCACATCCAGATCGTGGAGGGTCACATCCTGGACAATTTCCTTCTTCTTGTGGACGTCGCCCTTGGGGACGGGTACGTACTCCTCGGCCTCGAGGTCGAATTCGGTCGCATAGGCGTCGGATCGGCCGACTCGCTTGCACGCTCCGGTGTTTGCTTCGATGTAGACAACGTCTCCAACCGTGACGCGCTCCTTCTGGATGGCCTCGTAGATGCTGGGGTCCAGGCGAAGCTTCTTGGTGCCCTTGGCGGACTTCAATCCGATAATAAGATGGCTAATTGTGCGTCCGTATCCACCGAGGGGGTTCTCAGTCTCCTCGGGAGTAAGTTCTGTGACTTCTCCCTCGTACACTTCCTTTGTTTCGCGAACACGAAGTCCTGGCAAAGGTTAGTGGCGGATTTCCTCCATTTGTTCGTGTCGCATTACATACCAATAGCTCTGCGGAAGTTTTCCATCAATGCTTCGGTCTTCTTGACCTCTGCAGAGTAGATCTCGCTGCCAACGATGGGGCAGAAAGGAACCTTGGTTCCCAGCTCCTGTGATACAGCAAGAGCCAGAGCAGTCTTTCCGGTACCGGGGCCACCAGCGAGGAGCACGGCGCGTCCGGCCATCTTCTTTGCTTTGATCAAGTCCACCACAACGCCGCATGCCTGTTCGTTGGTTGAATGTTAGTTACATGTGCGCATAGAGCCTCCATTGGCTTTCGCTCACCTCACGGGCAGCTCCTTGTCCAACGAAACCATCCGCAGAGGTTTCGGGGGTACCGTCAGAGCGCAAACCAAGACCCCGAATGTGTGTATGCGCCGCGGTTCTGTTCTCGCGCGAGTTGCCCTTCACTTCGCTGATCTGGACCATGATGGGAGGAAATGTGGCCAAGTAGAGCCACAAGGATCAACGAGAAATAAATCAACGGGTATTTTAATGGAAAAGAAAGCTTCAAAGAGACAGGCCTGATAGAAAAGTGAGGTAACTGGCCGAAATTCGCGGCAAGGGATCGCCAATTGGAGGTGTTCGCCTCACCGCCTTGGGTAATTCTTCGTTTGACCTCTGCTCCGCTGCCATCAACGATCGGTTTGTTGTATTCTTGACGCTCCACGAGGATACGATACCTGTCACCCACAATGGCAGGCCTATACACAAAATCGGCCATGGGCGCTCCCTTCTCTCTGGCCGCGGCCTTCCGAAGCCTTTCCATCGCAGCACCCAAGCGCTCCTTCTCCACGACCCCGGCAATCAAATCAGTCCCGAAACTCCCTCCTACGGCCCCAGTCTACCCCTACGGAGAAAGCCAATGGTACAAGCAGCAAGACACCGGTCTTTACGGAGGTGCCACAATCCAATTCGGTAACAAGATCTCCAAAGGTCGCAACGAAGGCAAGACCCGACGAAGCTGGAAGCCCAACGTGCGCCGCAAGAAGATCGAAAGCAAGGCACTGGGCGAGGATCTCTTTATTAAGGTCACCCGTCGTGCATTGCGTTCAATCAACAATGCTGGCGGTCTCGACAAATATCTGATCTCCGATCGCCCAACTCGCATCAAGGAATTGGGTCCGTTCGGTTGGAACCTCCGATACCAGGTCATGAATTCAAAATACTACCAAAAGAAGTATGAAGCGGAGCGCAAGAAGCTTGGTGTCCCCACGCCCCCCACCATGGATCAATACATGGCGAGCAAGCAGGCGGAAATGGAGCAGAAGATTCGTGACATCGACCTGGACGCATTGACTAAGCCTCGCCGCATGAAGCCCCAGGGCAAGAAATATGCCACAATGAACTAGAGAAGTTCAATGAGTCTTTGTTTTTGTCTTTGGTTTTTATCTTGCTTCAAGCTTTGCATGTCAAGGAGAATCGACAGGCACCTGTATCACTATCCTGAAGCGCGGTGGTCATTTTTGGGCACCATAAATCCTGTGCCTTTTCTGCAAGCTCTTGGTTATCCACTGAAGATGGATATGGCGATGTTTGTCTTCTTTTATGGATGCTTTTCATTCTGAAATTTGCATATCTGGTCTTTCATGTACTTATACTCCAAACTTATATCTTGATTCTCTTGCCATCTACTTCACTTGACTATACTGCTCTTCTGTGGCGTCGCCATGGCAAGAATCAGGTGTAAGAAAGTTCATGCCCAGGTGTCAAAACTCCGCAGAGCCAAAAAGGAGTGGATAAACAAGTGTCTCGTCATCAATCCCAAAGGCATTGTCGATTCCGTGTTCTAGTGGACGATATACCTGGGAGTCTACTGCAGCCATAGCGTCGGGTTGCCCTGGCTCACGGAAGAATGGACATTCTGGACCACACAAATGACCACTCAGACTTTGAGGTATACCCCCGTCAAGCGGCGGCAGTGCACCCTCAAAACCTTCCCTTGGACTCCCAGGGAAGTCCTCCGTGGCAATCTCGCGTATCATGCGTAATACACCACGGTGCATGATCATCGAAGTAAGAAGAGGCAACTGAGACCTAATATAGGAAGCAGACTCTGCCGAGATACGACGCGGAGCATCATCCCTTGTGCCTTGAAGTGGGACTTCCTTTGCTAGAACATCAAAGACATCGCGAAGCGGCTCAGCTTGAACCCATCGCTCAGCAAGAATGGCAAGCGAGATTGAGCAGGCCCGCAATGCCTCTGGAACTTCTCTTGAATGGTACGCCGGAGTTTGATGCTGAGAGGGCGTTGCCCAAAAGCAGTAAAGCAACGTGATACCGACGGAGACTTGGCTCAAAAGCTAGGGGTCAAATTGAGTCAGCCAGATACGAAGAAGTTTATATGAAGGACACATACCCCCGGCCATAGCTGTGCCGTTTGTCGGTCTTTCTGAAAAGTCCTAAATGTCAAGGCAATTTGGACACAAGCCGGGATCGAGCGGTCTCCGAAGCCATCGTAGATATTGTCCTTGGTTGGTTGATGCAAGAGAAGAATGGTATAGTTGTACGCCATGCCAACCCAGCGATCACTTGCGTAGCTTTTTGAAGCTACATCACTCAAGAGCCCGAGCTGGGCTCTCCATGTATCTAGTTCTCCTAGCATGTGCTCTCGCCAGGTTGTTGTGTTGTCGATGCTTTCAAAATCGGAACGCATCATGGTACTGATAATCCGGGATTGAATACGCCGACATCGAAACAAATGGAGAGCTGGTGACACATGCGTTTTCTGTGACGGTGTCTCGATCCTGATATTGTTATCACTTGATTCCATGCCGTGAAGGTCAGCGTCCCCGACGTTTGAAAAGAGCTATCAAAATTAGTATTCTGGCGCTATCTTTAATACAAATTTGGCGTGACGCACCGGTACACTGATGTGCTCGTCGATGATATTGTTGGGAATATGGTAGATCCAACTGATGAATCGATCCAAAGCATAAGCCGACCAAAAGACTCGGCGGCGAGTCTGGACCTCTAAAGAGAATGCTGGATTAGGTACTCTTGGTTCACTTTCGGCCAAATGTAGCTCTGCCATGACACAGTATCTCATCATCGCCGACACAATTGTGACAATCATTTGGGATGATGGAGAATGGAGGGCATGCAGCGTCAAGAGAAGATATGCCTGGGCATGTAAGATAGAGTCCGGCTGTACAAAAACGTGGGCAAGATATTTCATTGCCGTATTGTATAAAGCCTAGTAATTCGCGTTATAATTTGGCTCGGTGATTCTTTGTTCGGCATGTACTTACCTGTGATGTAGCAATGTCACCAAGGGAGACTTGGGGTGTTAGAAGAAGAGCGACAGCATGCACCTAGTAGAGACAATTTCAGCCTTGTTTGTATGCTTCAGAGCAAAACGTGTGTTCTCACCATGATCACAAAGAATTCTTGCCATAGGAGATCCTGGTCTCTGGGCGTATTCGCGCGTGATCCGTCCTTCCAAGATTCATACCAGCCAAGGAAAGTATCCAAATGAAGGAATGGGTAGCGTGGGTTGACTCTCTCAAGGTAAATCTGAACTAGGCGATCAGACGCCTCATCTGAAATCCGCACTGGACAGTCTGGAGAGAGTGACTGATCGGTCAGCGCGGATAAAATGGGGGCATTCGAGCCATGGGGTTGAACCGAGGTGCCCCCAACAGAGCCGGTGCTTGTGAGAGAGGCTATTGTCCCAATCAAGAGGCTGGAGTGATCAAAAATACTCTGTAAATTCGTTGATATTTCCGTTGCGTGAGACAGAGGCACGGGCAACGACGGTCGAGAAGTAGAATATTCGGACGGAATGGGAGTATGTGCCCGACGTGGGCTAGACAGACTCTCGCCTTCGTCTCTCAAATTCCTCGTCTGTCTCGTTATAGAGGAGCCTTGGGAAAGAGGAGTTGAAACATGTTCCAGCACGGTTTGCTCGAACGGCCTTTTCCTCGACATTGTTCTATTGCTTGTTCCAGGCTCTTGCCGTGCGGCCTGCCGACTGACTGGTATTTGTTGCAAGCTCTCATCTGGAATCTGAGACTCGAGGGCCACTATTCTTTCTTCAAGAGCCCGGGTGTACCTGAGACCATAGTCAGCGACATACTTGCAACGACCTTAGGAATTGAAACAACTGACTCGGTACTGGCCCGGCCCTTTCGGCTGACTGGCTCACTCGATATGCATTCTGTTTGATGTTCAATACGAACCCTTGTATAACCCTTTGGCTATGGGGCAATTGCCTCTTACCTTGTCCAGTGGCCGTGCAATTGCCACACGGTCTGGTATCGGTACACTGACACTACTTAGCTGTAGCCCAAGGTAGTCAGTATAGAGTCCTACTTTTTGTTTCCGTGATCGACACCTTTGACAAGCCAATGATTTGCGCTTGCGTGGCAATTCTTTAATTCTTTCCATTCGGATTCGGCATCTGCTGGTCCGTTGTAGTACATCGGACGCTAAAGTCCGATGGGTCGATATTTTTGATCCACGTGACCTGTCTAAGAAGCAGTGTTTTCTTAAATAGTACTTAGGAGGCTATCATTTTCACATGTCATTGTAGATATAGGCTCGGTCAAGTAGAACATGAGTTGTTCAATTTCTTTCAATCGCCTCATTCAGACCGTCATACAATGCCGAGGGCATCGGCAGTTGGCAGTCCGTCGGGGTTTCAGTCGCCGAAAAAGCGAATAGAGTCCGAAGTACTGACTCAACGTCACTATTTATTTCATCCCCTCAAAATTCTCTTGCGCTGATTCACCTTCACAGAGTCTCACATTATGCCCCAGAAAATCACTGTTGCGGTGGCGCAAGCCCGTACTCTTTCGACTCTTGAGGCGACTCTGGGAGCCCTTAAGCAGATTACCCATCATGCAGCTTCAAAGGGTGTCCATCTCCTACTATTCCCAGAGGCCTACCTAGGAGGATATCCTCGAACCTGTGACTTTGGAACCGCTGTTGGTGCTCGGGCGCCCTATGGCCGGGATCAGTTCCTGGAATACTTCCGCGCAGCTGTCGATCTGGGGGATACACCCGCTGGGGCGGGCGATGACTGGGTGGAGCGCAAGCTTCCCAATGCTAAGGGTCGAGACCATCGAGGCGATGGTACAAGAGAATTCCTGGAGCAAGTTTCTCGAGAGACAGGAGTTTTCATCGCAACTGGATTGATCGAGAAGGCCGGGGGCAGTCTGTACTGCTCCGCCATCTATGTCGATCCATTGCGGGGCATCCTGGGAAAGAGACGCAAGGTGATGCCGGTATGTCAGACTCCATCTTTTGACACCAATGAATTCGGGCATTGAACACATTTTGGATGCGAAAGATAATCTGACTCTCAATTGAATGAACAGACTGGCTCGGAGCGTTTGGTTTGGGCGCAAGGATCACCATCAACTCTAAAGGCCATCACCACTGAGCTCAATGGAGTCAAACTTACCATCGCAGCCGCTATTTGCTGGGAAAGCTTCATGCCCTTACTTCGACAGAGCCTTTACTCGCAAAATGTGAACATCTATCTTGCTCCGACAGCTGACAGCCGTGATACTTGGCTGCCTCTCATGCGTACCGTTGGCGGCGAAGGCCGCACTTTTGTGCTCTCCTGCAACCAATGCGTCCGATACAATGAGCTGCCCTCCTGGATTACCGAGCAGAACAAGTCTTCAGAAGGTATCGTGCCAAGATGCCCCATTTGATCTCCTTCGTTCAAATAACTGATATTATACAGAAGCCCCCGACCGCTATATTTCGCGTGGTGGATCCTGCATCGTCGGACCCCTTGGTGAAGTTGTGGCTGAGCCAATCTGGGAAGTCAGCACTGACGACTCCGCGGATGGGTCCAGCATTGGGGATGGACTTGTGATTTCCGAGATTGACTTGGAGGACTGCGAGCGTGGCAGACTTGACATGGATGTTGCGGGAAGCTACTCCAGAAATGACGCATTCCAACTGACAGTTGATGGGCTGGATCTCAACCCGCCTCCATTTTGAAGAGGGGATTCAATCACTCACTTGGCATTTGTCGCACAGGGCTGTACACAATTCGAAAGCTGCATATAATGGTCAGTAGTAAGACGAGCAATGCCAACCCGCAAGCTTGAAGTAAATGAGCGACGAGAACAATCTTTTCAGAGACATATTGGAAGAGCCCTAGAAATACTCTTGTAAACTGAGCTCCGGCGCTGTTTAGTTCAAACTGTGACGCTATATGTCCTCTAGCCCGTGAGCCCTGGAGGCCTGGAGGCTGTGCCTGTAGCTGAAACGTGATGTACTCCAGGGCTGTGCTATGGCAGTCTAATCTCATCTAACTGCAGATATGCTTGGGTACGTCTCGATGTAGAAAACTTAGTTAGAATCCTTTTTATATCTTAGACTAGTGATTTATTATCTTTATCTAAGAGCTAGACTTTTTTAGATATTTTAACCAATATAAAGATAGTAGCTTTATTCTTACTCTATTTCGTGAATTTATAAAAAGTCTATAGTTTAAAATTCTTAGCTTTAAACCATCAAATTATCTCATTAAGCCCGATCAAATACTCTAGATCCCCGTAACATCTGAGTGCCGAGTAAGTGGACAATTCACCGAAGTAAATATCCCAACTGGGGAGTGTGCAGAAGGGGCCGGATTTGGATTGATCTCCACACCCGCGTCGATCTCCACAACTTAGTTCCCCCTTCTACTCCATACCTCATACATTCGCATCCGTTTCATCTCACTATGACTTGATTTCTCTTGATCCATCTTCTTGGTTCTGTTTCACAGCAGGAACAAAACCATGCAATTCGCAGTACCCCCACGGCGCAGCCCTCTGCCTATCACTCGGTCCTCGCGCATGCCGATCTATCGCAAGAAGCAGCTGAAGCCAATCGCTTTGCTCACAGTCGCAATATTTTCGCTGCTCTACATCATCCATCACACCTACACATTAATTCCGACCTCCGTCGTGGTGATCCCTTCGGGGGTTGTGATCGTCACACTACTGGATCGTCAACGGCTAAGTGAAAGCTACATCAGTAAGATTGTCGCGAATAGAGAAGACTACGCGAGGCGTCATGGTAAGATCTTTTCCATCCTTACTGACTCCCATTTGATCCCAGTCTGATCGCCCGGAATGAAAAGGGTATAGAAACTTCTTCGCAAGCGTGTCCGACTATGACGATGCGATTGGAGATGCGCCTAAGACTTGGGCTATCGCTCCGGCCGTTCGCCATGCCATGGCCAAATATCCTCGATCGACTTATTTCTTTCACCTCAGTCCTCACTCCCTAATCATGAACCCAACCAAGTCTTTGAAATCACACGTTCTCGAAAAGAGCAAGCTCGAAGAGCTGATGATGAAGAATGCTCCCATTGTGCCACCTGACAGCATAATCAAGACATTCTCGCATCGAGACGAGAAGGACATCGACCTAATAATCACACAAGACACGGAAGATCTCAATCCTGGGAGCTTCATTCTCAAGAGCGGCGATTTCGCCCGCTTCTTTCTTGACTTGTGGTTTGATCCTCTGTACCGCAATTATGACTTTGCTAAAGCGGAAACACATGGGCTGGTAAGAATGAAGTTCCTTCTACACATTTTAGGGAGAATATTGACATTGGCCTAGGACCATATCTTGCAATGGCATCCGACTGTGCTTGCGCGGACCGCATTGGTACCCCAGCGTAGTATCAGCTCGTACAGCAAAGACTCACTGCGGGCTTCGCCGGAAGGCACTTACAAAGACGGTGACTTGGTGATTCAGTTCCGTGGGTGTGAGATGGAGGGTCGCGACTGCGAGAAAGAATTGGAGCCGTATTATAACAGATGGCTTGGGATAATACAGACCGACTAGCTGCTCTGCGGCCTCAGATAATGAAGTTGTCGGCATAGGCACGCATTGCATTACGATATTGGCGCTCTTGATTTGTGTCTTTCATGTATAATGTTGTTGATCAAGTTGGCGTTCAGCGATGAAGGCAGCGACATGTAGTGTTTCATTGATTTTACATTCGCGTAGTTTTCTGCAACAGAAACACGATATTCATTGGGTTTTTGCTATGTCCAGTGCCAATTGATATACAGAAATATCATCTGGTAGTATCAGAAATTAGTATCGTACGTAAGTTCGTACGTGAACCTCGATATAAATATGCCAAATGATCCCCAGGGCTCTCGATACCTAGGTACGTAGACCCGAGGATACCAATGGCAATTTTTGGGTCTTCTCCGTTCTATTCTCGCATCTACTCAGTGCCATGGGATCCAAGATCACCAGACTGGTGCCCGCCAATTTCAGCCGCCATCTAAGCAAGACCAGGGAAGATGACAGCCCTCTTCTTCTTGTACTTGTCGCCAAACTCCTTACGGTAGCGCTTCTCCTTCTTCCAACCCCAGCTCCACATCTGTGCACCACCCACAAAGGTGAAGAATATCACACTCCAGCTCAGCTGACTGACCAAGAAGATACCCAGCCAAGCCAGAATCTCGAAGAAGTAGTTGGGGCAGGTAACCAGACTGAAACCAAATCCTGACGGAATGCCACGCTCAGTAGTACCAGGACGACGCAGACCACGCAGGATATAGTGGGCGTTCAAGTTCGCCAGTTCACCGAAGACAAAGATTGCAAGACCAGCGTACACAAGCCCCTCGTTGGGGGTGCCGGTCGCGGCCTTGGCGTCGGGACGGAATACCCAGTAGGCGATGTTGAAACCGGCCAGAATCCAGTAGTGAGCGCTGTTCTTGACGATGTTGGTTGCGGGCATGGTTGCGCTACTGAAGCGGTGGACGAAGATAGTCTCGAACTCGCGCTTCAGGAAGTGCAAGCTCAGCAGAGCGCAGACTAGGAGCTGGGTGTCGGAGGGGGCGGGGATCTTGTCGAAGTTGAAGTAGAGAAGCGGGCGGAGGGGGAACAGGAATAGCGCGGGGATGAGGAGGGGACCGAGATATTCGATGATGAAGACTGTGCGCCAGGCGATTTGGGGACCTGTAGGGTGAGTCAGTTTCTGGTTGCTGTCAACTGTGGCTGCAGAAGATGGACGCACCGAGATCTTTCACGTGAATCACACTCGAATTCCGTAGACCGGTGGAGTCGATGGTGGCGCTCGAGTTGGGGACCAAGCTGCGGTCGCTACCCTTGGTGATTCTCAACCGGTGGACTGAGTGGCCGGATGCTGCGGAGAATGCATTGTACAATTCTTCACTGCTGGCATCGAGGGAGATCTCGAATTCCGCGGGAAGCTTGCGGATGGGCTTGCCTGTGACAGGGTTAGAGCGGCGTTCGAGTATATCTAAGGTCGTAGTTCCTCCGAGAGCTTTGCCCAGGTGGTATATTCAACATGTGCAACGTACCTCTTGGCTCAACAATGAGCGTAATGTTACCTGCCGCCATGATGAAGGTCAATGACTCGCAGCGTTTCGGAATGATTTGACGCGGAAGGAGTCGTTGAGATTGCAATTGACTGAGAATCGAGCAGTCCCAACAACCCAATAATCGGGCCTCGGTATGTATCACGTGATAAGAACCTGAGGCCAACATTGTCGACACCTGATATTGGCGGCTGACACTCGGGGCTTACTCCTTCCGACCTCCAGGGCTGACCCTGCCCTCCGCATACAAGGGGCATGCTGGTCATTGTCGGTCGTACAATGCATGACGACTCAAAGTCTTACCCCAGGAGGAGACTATTGAGACTCGACTATAATATACCCTTTTTGTCCGCACGGAGTGCATGACATCCGGTCAGCTGGAGCACGGTGGGAACGAAAAGCCGACTAACGTGCAAGGCACATTAAAGCGGGGCGCGACTGCAGAGAGTAAGGCTGTGCCATTTTGTGGACAGCTGAGAGAGAAAAACAGCCGAATCAGCATATCATACAGAATCGGATGCCCCGCGCCTCAGCTCCATCTCAAACGGTTAGTCCGGCCGACATCGCCAATCAACGCCCCGTGAGAGCACTGCGGACCTTCCAATGGGGTTTTAGCTAACTGTCAGGAAATCAAATTTTTTAAACTCTGCCGACGGGATGCAAAGTCTGAGCGCAGTGTAGATCTTCGTTATGGTAGCTGTCACTGTCCCAATCACAGTGCTCTTCTATGGTCCGGGGGCACCGATTCAAGTGCCAATTTGGCGTTCGTATTTCAGCTCATCTTGAGCCATGATTACTTCGACAGGGGAGCTAGCATGCGCGAATCAAAGACATTTGATTGCTCACGGTGGGGCGTCTTCTCCAGACCAAAGAAGACACGCTAGGAATGACCGCAGTAGACTGGATAGCGTTGGATTTCAGCCGTACGCTGTGCCCGGCTGATGGCCCCTTCCTCCGTGATCCCACGCGTATAAGTATATCCTATCCCATTCTCGCCGGATAGGTCGCCTGATGATTTACTTCTTCTCACACCTCCTGGCGTCGTTGCTCATTGTCTTGTTCCTCTGTTGCGGGTTCCCTATATACCTGGTCGTCACGGAGGGCCTTGCGCCATTACCCTAACGCTACTGCACAACTGGTAAGCCCTCAATTCCTAGCCGCTTTCTTCGCCCCCTGTTTGTGAGAATCCCACATGAAGGGGAAATTTCTCAATCTTCTCTACACTCCTTGTTGTCGGGGGCCGTATTGTCCAGTCCCAGTTCGAGGTTTCCCCCTCGAGTTACAACTATACCCAACGCAAATTCCAATGGTGTGTAGAACTTGTGGGCTAATATACCGTGAATAGTTAACCTTGGAATTGCTATCTGATTGAATCAAATTATCTCATTTCAAAATGACTGAAAGAGTCAATGTCAACGGCAAAATTGCCCAAGTGGAGCAAGTCGTCACTGCTGCCTTGCGGCCCTTGCCCACCCAGACCGGCGATGGCAGCTATGTTCAGACGCCCAATGTGACGGGTCTGGCTAAGGATCTCCTTCATTTCGATCTGAAAGATGCCAAAACGCTGGCCGAGGTCGCCAAAACCGCTGTGACTGGCGAGGCCATGAACGACAGGGATTATATAATGGAACGTGTGATCCAGGTAAGTCCAATTGGAGTCCATGAGGTCTATGGTGGTACTTAATACCCACTCGATAGCTTGCTGCTGGCCTGCCATCGACATCGCGAAATGGCAAAGAGTTGACCAATACCTTCCTTGGTCAACTATGGGGTGATCTTGAGCACCCACCCGTTTCGTGAGTGATCCCAATGCGTTTGATGACTGCTTTTCTGACGTGCTGTAGCTACCTTGGACGCGATGCGGCTTACCGAAAGGCTGATGGATCTGGAAATGTATGACCTTGCTCCAATGCCCAAGTTCCGTCTGAATCACAGGCTAACTTCGCAAAGAACCACTTCTGGCCTCAAATTGGTGCTGCTAGCACTCCATACGCACGATCTGTTCGCCCGAAGACTATGCAGTCCGCTGCTCTCCCAGAGCCCGAGGCTCTCTTTGATAGTCTTCTGGCGCGAAAGGACTTCAAGGAGCATCCTAACAAGATCTCGAGTGTGCTGTTCTACCTTGCTTCAATCATCATCCATGGTGAGCTTCGACTTCAGTGAGAACCAGACCGGGCAAACAAAACTAACACCCTCTAGACTTATTCCAGACGGATCCCCGTGATCAAACAAAGTCATTGACTTCTTCATATCTCGATCTGTCTCCTCTTTATGGAAACAACCAGAAGGAGCAGGACGCAGTAAGAACTTTCAAAGACGGAAAGCTCAAGCCAGACTCTTTTTCAACCAAGCGAGTACTAGGCTTCCCTCCGGGTGTTGGTGTTCTTCTTATCATGTTCAACCGCTTCCACAACTCCGTGGTCACACAATTGGCGGCCATTAACGAATGCGGGCGCTTCACAAAGCCAGACGAGACCAACACTGAGGCTTACGCTACTTGGGACAATGACCTCTTCCAGACCGCCCGACTGGTCACTTGCGGTCTTTACGTCAATATTATTCTGAAGGACTATGTGCGGACCATCTTGAATGTCAACCGAACTGACAGTACATGGAGCTTGGATCCACGTGCAGATATCAAGGACAGCTTGCTTGGAGAAGCTCCGGCACAAGCAACTGGAAACCAAGTGTCGGCTGAATTCAACCTTGTCTATCGTTGGCACTCTTGCATCTCGGCCAGAGACGCAAAATGGTCGCAGGATCTGTACCAAGAGCTGTTCGCTGGTCAAGATTCGACACAAATCAATCTGCAGCAATTCATGCGCGGTCTTGGTCAGTGGGAGGCCAAACTTCCAGCAGATCCCCAAGAGCGTCCTTTCGCCAAGCTGCAGCGTCAAGCGGATGGAAAGTTCGATGACAATGATCTGGTGAAAATTTTCCAGGAGAGCGTTGAAGATCCGGCTGGTGCCTTCGGTGCCTTGAATGTACCGGACGTGTTCAAGAACATCGAGGTGCTTGGTATCAAGCAGGCACGCTCTTGGAATCTGGCTACCCTGAATGAGTTCCGCCAGTACTTCAACTTGGCCCCCTATCAAACCTTTGAGGAAATCAACCCGGATCCATACATTGCTGATCAACTGAGACACTTTTACGACCACCCTGATCTCGTCGAGCTTTACCCCGGTCTGATTGTCGAAGAAGCAAAGCAACCCATGACCCCCGGTAGTGGTCTTTGCACCAACTTCACAACCTCCAGGGCCATTCTCTCAGATGCAGTTGCCTTGGTTCGTGGCGATCGCTTCTACACTGTCGACTTCACACCCAAGCATCTCACGAACTGGGCCTACAATGAGATTAACAACGATGTATCTGTTGACGGCGGCCAAGTTTTCTACAAGCTCGCTTTGAGGGCTTTCCCGAATCATTTCAAAGGCGACTCGGTTTACGCGCACTTGCCCATGGTCGTGCCCGATGAGAACAAAAAGATTTTGGAGAGCCTTGGTCAGGCTAAGACCTACAGTTTCGACCGGCCCTTCTACACAGCTCCCGCTGTGTTCATCAATTCCCACACTGCTTGCGCAGCCATTCTCAAAGATCAAGTCAACTACAAAGTACTTTGGGGCGAGAAGATCCAATTCTTGATGGAAAACAGTGGTCGTCCTTATGGTCGAGACTTTGCCTTATCGGGTGATCTCCCTGCCAACGCAGGTTCCCGCAAGATGATTGGAGCTGCTCTGCACCGCGAAAAGTGGGAGTCCGAAGTGAAGGCCTTCTACGAAGATATTACATTGAAGTTGCTCGAACGAAACTCGTACAAAGTCGCTGGTGTGAACCAAGTTGACATCGTTCGCGATATCGCCAATCTCGCTCAAGTGCACTTCTGCGCGAGCGTCTTTTCTCTATCTCTGAAGACGGACTCTAATCCACGAGGAGTCTTCAGCGAACAGGAGTTATATCAGATTTTAGCTGTGATCTTTGCCTGCATCTTCTATGATGTTGACGTATTGAAATCTTTCCAGTTATGCCAAACGGCTCGCAAGGTCGCACAGTCTTTGGGCGAGTTGACGTTAGCCAACGTTGAGCTTGTCTCCAAGTCTGGATTCATTGCCAACATTGTGAACCGTCTTCACCGTCATGACATCCTGAGTGACTATGGCGTCCACATGATTCAGCGCTTGCTCGACAGTGGACTGCCAGTCAAAGATGTTGTTTGGTCTCACATCCTCCCCACAGCCGGTGCATTGGTTGCCAACCAAGGTCAACTCTTCTCCCAGTGTCTTGACTACTATCTTTCGGAGGAGGCTGCGGAGCATCTGGTTGAGATCCAGCGCTTGTCTAGAGAGGACACCCCTGAAGCAGACGAGCTTCTCGTCCGATAGTGAGTTCTCTTCCCATTAGAGCGAAAGGCCCAAACTAATTTTTCCCAGCTTCATGGAGGGAGCGAGACTCCGATGCTCTGTGGCTTTGCCACGCTTTGTCACCAAGCCAACAGTCATCGAAGATAACGGTGAAAAGGTCACTCTGAAGGCTGGCCAGGAGATCATTTGCAATTTGGTAAGCTTCCCGCATTGTTCATCCCTACATTTCAAATTCTCAGTACTAATCAATATACAAATTGAAGGTCGTCGCTGGACGGGATCCTGTTGCCTTCCCTGACCCCGACAAGGTCCGTCTTGACCGTGATATGGACCTATACACTCACTTTGGCTTCGGTCCTCACCAATGCCTGGGTGTCAAAATGTGTCCCATCGCACTATCAACGATGCTCAAGGTTCTTGGGCGCTTGGATAACGTGCGTCGTGCCCCTGGTCCCCAGGGACACCTGAAGAAGCTTGATGGGCTCGGAGGTATCGCCATGTACATGGACGCCAATCACAGCAGCTTCTCTCCTTTCCCGATGACCATGAAGATTCAATGGGATGGGGAGCTTCCACCCAGACGGGAGAAATGATAGCAGAGAAGGGAGCTCCTGGATGTGTTGTATTCCTTCAGTCTCTTGTATTAGTTAAATAAGTGAACTTGATAGCGTGTTGGTATTCTTTACCTTGAATCATCTGCATATTAGAGCTGTATTTACTCAAGCTAGACGAACCTTGGGAAGTCAGTGAGAAATAGTGTTTCTCTAGGTTTGTGTTCATCTTATTTGTCCTGCCTGGGGATCACCTGCTCCCAAAGCTCAGTTCACGGGTATGAAAACCCCTTCCTCCTCCTCTCTTCTCCTTCTCTTCTCTTCTCTCTCAACAAATCCTACTTTGGCTGGGATTAGCCCTTCCATCGAGGTCACAGACGTTTGACCTTGGATCCCCAGGCCCGGGGGTTCAAGTACTTGTGGTTAAGATAAAACACCAATTTTGTGCGAGTCGGCGAGCAGGTGAGGCGGTAGGGAGATATCCCGAAACCAACAACTGATCCTGCGTAGCTACCCATGAAATACATGTTTCTTGTAGAGTCAGTCTGGTTGATTTTATGCATCCCTCTCCATCCTCGTGGCATATAGTAGTGTAGGCATGTATCAAGACATATTGACTTGAAGATTCCGGTCACCATCAGAGGCTTCCAAGGTTGTTACAACACAGTCAAATGATATTATTGTCCTGGTATATGCTGTCCATGGGTGAGATCAAGAAATAGTAACCTCCTCCGTGGTGACGTTAAGCAGCTTCTCCAACGCAGCGGCCTTCGCATCATCAGGCAGATCCTGGGCCATGACGGCGGCGATCTTCTCATTTCGCGCCTTGAGTTCCGCCGACTTGGAGGCCTCCTCCTTCTTTTCCGCTTCTAGGTCCTCTTCGGTCTCGCCAAACGCATCGCCGATTTCAATTTCCACGGTTTCCTCCGCGTCGCCATCCTCAATCAACTTCCTGTCCTTCTCTTCTTTCTGCTTCCTCTCGGCCTCTTCGTCAACGACCTCTTCTTGTTCGACTCCGGACGCGTCGACCAAAAGTCTAACCCGTACGACGCCGGTTTGAACTCCGTTCTCGTCAAAGACGGGTTTCAAAATCTCGGGCGGGGGAGCGATTCTCGATTCCGTTTGTTTGAGGAGCTAGACGTGCATGGTCAGATCATGATCTCTATCATTTGAGGACGGCCTACTTACCGCATGGGTGAACAGCTTGGTGAAGGTTGATATCCTGAAGCCACTGCCGCCGTAGGAAACGACAAGGCCTTGGTCTTTCTGCTTGATATCAGCATCGAGTACGGAGTCCGGACCATCGAAGGTTGCAAGTACTAACCCCTGATGATTTGAAAGTGGTCCATCCTGTGCTATCGCCCTTGACCGCAGATGAGCCATTCAGTCCTCCCTCAGCAACACCAGTTGCTCCAACCTTGAAGCCGCCACTGGTATCCCGGTGGTGAGCACTATCCATGGTGATCTTGCACTCCTGGGTCGACCAGGTCTTGTTGACAGCCCAAAGACCATATTCCTTGATATCGCCCTTCCAGGGAGAGTTCACAAGAGCCTTGGCATTAGACTTGACCCAGTCCGCGATTGGAGATTTCCAAGCTCCACGGAACTTCTCATTAATCACAGAATCGTCAGCAATAAGTGCCGCCTTTCCGGTCTGACCCCATTTGTTCTTTGCCTCAGCTGAGACATCGATAGGGGCAGCACTCAGCGTACCTGATAGGCCGCCAGTCACACCAAAGCTGTGCTCTGCTTCACGGGACGACGCTCGGGAGTTCCACTTTGCTAACTCGGGCTCATCCTTGTCCCATGGAACAGAGAGGTTGGTGTATCCGTCTTTTTCGACCTGGCCGGGAATCGAAAGGTCGGTGATCGTGGTCCAGCTTCCGTGCTTGTCGAAAAAGCCGATCACACCGGGGTGGATCTTGGCGTATGGCTGGGGCTTGTACAGATAGTACCCGTCGCCATTGCGGTTCATGAGTGCCGCATATTCTTCGAAGGGGGTGGGTGCCATGTTGTTCGACTTGGCAAGATGACTGAAGTGAAATTAAATATGGTCTAGTCAGGGGGCTGGCAATCCTTCAAAGAGTTTCTTGGTTCGATTTGACTAGCAGGCGGATGGACCTCTAGGCTAATATAACATAGTGCTAGTGACGCGATGCGGAATAACTGTATTTTCAGGTATGACTTCATGGGGTGGGAGGGACCTATCAGTCGAAGTCTATGCGTGTTGATCTCCAGCCCCTCCTGCTCGTAACTACAGTATAGATACGTGGGTTGAACATGTGGCAGCGGCGCTGATAATACCTACCTAGGTATGAGTACTGTAAAGTATATCAAAATGATTGACTTTCAAGTGACTGCGTGTATATTGACATGCACCGAACCAAGGCTCGCCATCGCCAGGCGCATTACGAGTGCACCAGCATGTCCTGCTAGTGGTTCGCACCGGCAGCTGAGAGGGGTTTCTCGTCTCCCACCGATCGTCGGTGGGGTGGTGGGTCGAGATTAGGCGATGTGGCTTTTTCACGACAAAACTATATCCACTCGCGGACATAGCTGATCCAATGGGAGTCGCGGAGTCTCAGGTCGCACACAAATGTGGCCGATTTCTGGTTTGGGAACTGCTTGATGCCAACCTTGGAAGATATACTACCTACTAGGTAGGTAACCGACCTCGGTTGGTACGGCTGTCCAATGGTGAACGGCTCTTGATGATTTTGGAATCCAGGACTCGGGAATCAGAGCTCATTATGGTCAGTTATCTGGAGACTACAGTGGGCAATTTTGAAGAAGTCAGCCAATCCCATCTGAATGATGCCCGCTGGCGAGCTCCTCAAGCCTTCAGATACTAGGTTTTCAGGCCACACTGTATATCTATGTGCTAATACAGTACCATACTCCATAGTAACTGACGAGAAGTCTGAATCCCGACACGCCGGTAATGATGAGAGGATCAGCACATCTTGAATGAAGACTTGAATCTTGCCTGGGCTTCATCTGTTATACCGCTAGAGATTTCACTTGAGTGAATGGTATCTGCTTGTGGTCTCTTGGCCCATCCAAACAACTTATTCTCTTTATTCTTAGCTTCGTTTCGAAATGAGTCGTGTCTCCGTTCTCATCCTCAGCGTCAGACGACTCACCATACTCTTTTTTTTTTTCTTTCTTCACGCTCCCCTCCCCGAGATCCCAGGACGAACTGACTATACATTCGTATATTTCTTTTTTTTAATTTTTCAATGACCCCAGGACTCTATGATCGGTTGTCAGCCCCATCCTAGAAGTCCCCGCGATCTCTCACGAGTCACGATCCGCTCTTCGACGTTGTGCCCATCTTAGGAGAAATTTGGCCATCTTCTCCAACTCCACGATTGGCTTGCTAGTAGCCAGATAGGTCTCACTCTTCACCCAGCAAACACTTCTTGCATCCGACTTGTAGTGTACTGTACATCTATCAAAACAGCTAGCCGAGTCATACAATCCCAGGTAGCTTGGAGATGCAATTGAGAGACCGGCTTCCGGATCTATGGAAAGATAAATTTCTGAGACCAAAAGATTCGATGAGTAGAAGGCCACTATTTATGCACAAAGAGGGAGAAAGAGGGAAAATGGGCGACATAAAATCCCTGGGCGTTCCGGGGTCCGTGAAGGCCTATCAGGCTATCACTCGGGCAGAGCAGTATGCAGTTCGCAAAACAGTCGGTTAACTCTATTTGACCGCAGTTAGAATTATATTTTTGTTATCATAGTGACTTCGGGGGTCGAGATGTTATCTTAGTTTCAGGATAGTCAGATCATGTTGACAAACGAGATACCTACGACTCTGGTATATTCGCCACTGCTCAAGCCAAGAGTGGCTCGGTGAGTTTAGACTTCCCGAGGTCAGCTACGCGGCTGACATTCTAGACTCATAAGCAGCCCTCAAGCGTTTCCACTTACGACTTCAAGTTTTCTAGAAGTCACCCTGGATACTCAGGTGCCTTGCCCGAGTCGGGAAAACGGTCCCAACAACGAAAATAATCAGGTCAACAGTTCCCGAGTCTGATCTTATCTCATACACTTTGACGCAGGGACGCATGAAATTTCGAGATATTTCTTTTCCATTAATTGGAATCCAAATACTGTCCGTACTATATACTGATTACTAGCAGCCCGAAACCCCCCGGGGCCGGATGAGACTGATGATGTCAGGCCGGAAGCCGGCACGAAGAGCGCTAGCGGCCCGCGCCCGCTCCACCCGAAGTGGGTCAACCTTGGGAAGCCCTGGAGGTTCGATTGTACACTCGAATATGAGAATACTACATGCTTCTAGAGCAACTACGGTATTATATAGTATCTCTAGTGTCACGACTCAAGTAGCATTCACTTTTCCCGTGTATGGGACATGCAGGCGCCTATATGATTCAGCATGGTAGGCTCGCACTCAATCGTCGTGCAACGTCATAGCTTGCTCGACGGCTCATCCTCTACTAGGTGTGGGGTCAATCGTGGCATCGTGGACCTTGGTGCAAAAATACTTGCCTATGAGTATCTCTTTGCTCGACTGCTAAGCATCAAAGTACATCCATGGATGGATATCTAGATACGGAAAGGACTGGCAAGTCACATATCTGCCTTGGAACGGTCGATTTCTTCTACTGCATACATAGACCTTAAGTCTATCCCGATGTCTGAGTATACCTAGTATCACCAGTTGGTAATCAGACAAAAATTGACTGGTCTCGCACTAACAGCCACTGTGAAGTGCTTCTACCTAGTAGAACACGGAATGGCGAAACATGAGAATCTTGCCAGGTGCATATGCTTCACGCGATCTCAATTGCAAGGTTCCACCGAACATGCGTAGTATCTAAGATTTTCATAGTTTCTGATTTTCCAAAGAAAGAATTGGTCAAGTATCTCAGATGGACTCCGACAATTGGTTCCAAGGTTTCTTGTTACGGCTGCTACCTACCTAGGTAGGTAGGTACTGGGCACGTACATGAGATCAGCGTCAGCGACATCCCCAAAGATCATGGGCAAGAGAACCTGGAAGTGGGAAGATTTGACGTTCCCGGGGTCTATACGTAGTGGGGATATCCTTGCATGATCAGAATGCCATTCCGAGGTCCCATGGGATCCCATGGGATGCACATGGGTGTCCGGGTGGGACGCTCGCTTCCAAGGTTGTGGAGCCTACCAAACGTGGACGGTTTGGGCTGGGCATCCTTCAAGGTTGTCGCCCGGGCGCAATACACCAAGACCACTGGATTACTTATCTTCAAGTTCAGACCGATTGAAACTGCGCGATCATAAGCAAATAGAGATCAATGGCATATATACTCCATATGAGGGCTTGGGGTGTCAGGAATTTACAGTCAGAGCCTTGAAGGTTTGAATCAGAATCTTGCAATCATACCTACCTAGTAGGTACCCGCTCGGGAGCTATTTCGATCTTTTTTGAAGAAACTAAAGCTCTTGAAGTCATGATGGCCAGTGTGTAATCTATCGATAGAGCAACTTAGGTGGGGTTGGACGGTGATTCTACGTCGTTCCAATCGCCGTCCATCTCTCGAATAAGCCATTCCCGAACCACAATATATACATCTAGACCTGCTCACTGGAGACAGCCCCATTTGACGGATATGTAGTTTGTTACATTATGTCACCTAAATAAAGGTCAAACTTGAAATCTCGGACACTATACAAAGTATAACATGTCACTCACCTGGGCATCACTGTGGCCATAGATGGAACTCTGGAAAATGAGGACAATCACGTGATATACAGGCCTTTTTAGCTTACTGGGAGAGACTGACCGTGGACGTCAGCTAGGTAAGCTAAGAAATCGAGAGGAATCCCTTCCCCTTTGGAGAGTCTCTATATGCCCAAAGAGGAAACATTTCCCACCAAGAGGTGTCGTGGAAAGCGAAGCAAGAAAAACAAGAGCGGAGTGATGCCTGAGGCCTAGCGGGGGGAAACCAGCCGCCGCTCCGCCCTGCTACTGCCGGGAAGACCAGCTTCATTCAAGAACCTTCCCTTCTATCGTCATTCTTCCCTTCTTTTCTATCAACCTTGTCATCTTCACCTTACCTTCTCCCCTCCTACTTGTGCGTCAAACAACTCTAGGGCAAACGACCTGCACCCGTTTTCCCTGGTAGCTTCTTGACCGATCATCTCTCATCAGCTCTCACTTTCGGGCATTCCTATATTCTTCACGATTGAATGCCAAATTCGATCTTTGATTGCTTTGATTACAAGTTTGTAAGTAACGTCACGTTTCCCAGGTGCTGATCACGTTGAGTTGACTCGGTTTTTTTCATTGAAGCCGGGAAGCAGCACCAAAACGTCATAAGGCATCCTCACGCTCTCTCCGCGACACCGGTCGACACGACCTCCCCACTCCCCCTCTAGGAGACATCACATCTGGAATCTTCCAACTCCCTCATGTTTGACTGGTCCATCGGTCGCGATCATGGGGAGAATTAAGAAGGTAGCCAGCCAAAAGCATGAGGCTACAATCGTGAGTTATCCTCCGCCAGCCTGAGGTGCAACCCAACTAAAAAAATTTTTCCTCCCACTCTAGTCACCATTTCTACAAGAATTCATAGGACGCGCCACGAGTGTACCTGTTCCAGAGCTCCCATCGCTCCTCGGCACATTTCCCAAGCTATGGCCGTTTCCGCGCGGTGATCTTTACCACTGGATCAATGTCTTGGATCGGTTCGACGAGATTCTGGCCTCGGCCATCGACAAATATTTCTTGAATACCGGCCCTCAGACTCAATTGTTCACTCGAAGGGTCCTGGAGGAAGCATACTCGACCGATGAGAATACGAAGCCCGCAGAAGGTATCGACGCCAAGTTGAACGCTCTAGGATATGGGGCCGAGGGAGATCGAGAACTCCTGGAAGCCGTGCTAGACTTCTCGCGTCTCTTGCTAGAGAAGTGTGGTAACCGCAGCCTGTACAGCAGCAGTGATCGGCTTGGCGATCTTCTGAACACAACCTCACTGTCTCTGCTGCAGTCCACCTTGCGTCTAGCTCTTTGCCTGGCCCAACGTTACCATTCTCGTCAGCGCGGCGCTCATCAACAGTCCATTTTGCAATCTCACTACGCTCTTGACTTGGAGAAGTTGCAAAAAATCGCAGCGCCATTCCCACGCCCTGTTATTGCCAACAAATCGCCATTTGCCTCTTCCCCAGCAGTTTCTGCACAGGGCAAGGATAAGACCATACAGACCAAGATCAACGCAAATGAACTTATCTCGCTCGTGCGTGATTCTGATGGCTGGGAGGAATGGGGCGATGTCCGCATTCTCTATTATCCCTCAGGCTCCGAACAAGCCAGAACAACCTCTGAATATGGCCAGCCTGAGCAGGGCTCACATGTTCCCACGACGCCGACTCCACTGCGACGAACCGCTACCCACCCTGCTTCTAATCTAGGCCGTGGCTCGAATGTTGATGAGTCCCCCATCGCAACCCCATCAAAGAACGAAGAGGCATCGCGAGGTGGCACAATCCTGGAAATCTCCCACTCCAAGGTTTCTTCTGCAACTTTGGAGTCTCTCCTTGCTGTCAATTTGCCCCACCTCCCCCTTGAGTCGAAGTATGAGTTGCTTCACAAGCTCCGAGTTGCCAAGGCTCTAGCTGGCTCGCATGCCACGAGGGAACAGATCCTTTCCATCAGGGCTCTGGCAGTGACTAACCTCGCTCATGTCCAGCCGGAGAGCTCATTCCAGCAGAAAGTTCTTCAGTCTGACCTCGAACAGCCGAAACGTCTTCAACTTGCGTACCAGCTTGCCGAACTAGTCCACCTCGGTGCTAGTGGCGACCTTCAAGTTTCTCGGCCCGTACAGACTTTCGCTCTTCAGACGCTGGATGCTTTGGCTAAACACAAGTCTCGAGCCGTCGATGTCTGTGCAGCTTTGAGTGTCAATGTCAACCACGGAGTTCTCATGTTCCTGACCCGTAAAATGGTCAACGAACTAGGCTCGGAGAACGACGAGGCAGACGAGGCTTATCAAGACGAATGGCGGGATAGTTTGCTTGCGCTCTTGCGTACTCTACCAAGCTCCAGTACCCGTACCCCGGAGACTCTAGTTGCGGCTGGTCTAATCCCCATGTTTGTTGATATTCTAAACTTGCGGACCACCAAATCTCGCCGGGTTTACTCTCGCGTCATGGAGTTCCTCGATACGTTTGTGCATGCCGTTAGGGACGCATTGGGAACGTTGACTGCTGCAAAGGGCTTCGATGCTATGTCCGATCTGATTGAGAACGAGACTAAGACCGCCTTCGAGAAGGTCAACAGCGGAGAAGGATTCCCTACCCAATACAAAAATCCATCCGTCGACTATCAAATTCCTTACTTCCAACAGCAGACTCTACGTTGGATGTTCCGCTTCGTTAACCACATCATGCAGCACAACGGCGGAGGCTTTGACCGAGTTCTACGCAACCTGATCGATTCACCTCAGCTTCTTACTTCCCTCCGCCTCGTATTCGAGAATGCTCGCGTGTTCGGATCGCATGTCTGGAGCAACGCGGTCAATATTCTCAGCAGTTTCATCCACAACGAGCCGACAAGCTATGCTGTCATTGCCGAGGCTGGCCTTAGCAAAAGTCTTCTCGCTGCCGTTATGGGCCGTGAACTCCAAGTCCGAGAAAAGCCGCCAGCAGTAGAGCCCGAAGAGACTGGCTCGCAGGAGGATTCAGCTTCTCAGCCACCCTCTGCTTCCGAATCTGAAGGGAAGAAGAAAGGCCACGAATACCCTCTCATAAGAGCTAAGAACACACCCCTTGCGCCCGGAATCATGGCTGCAGGTGATGCTCTTGGTTGCATTCCTTCGGCGTTCGGGGCAATTTGTCTGAACTCATCCGGTCTGGACCTTTTCCAGTCCTCTGATGCCCTGGAGTGCTTCTTCGAGATCTTCGAAAACCCAGAGCACGTTAAATCCCTGAAGGATGATCCAGAACTGGTTCGCTCTTTGGGTACGACCTTCGACGAACTTGTGCGACACCACCCAGCATTGAAGACCTCCATCATGTCAGCTGTGCTTGTGATGGCTGCCCGTGTGAACGCCCTTGGTCGGATCAAAGCATGGGAGCAGGGCATGGGAACCAAGATGTGGACTCAAGATGGCAATGGAAAGACCAATCTCTCTGGGGATGTCTTCTCTCTGTTCCGCGAAATCGGTACAGATCCTGCCGCATCCACAGATGATCCCTCGTCAATTGGATTGCCAAAGCTCAATGCGAACAACACTCTCCCCAACGGCGGAAAGCTTACTCTTGGTCATCTGGATCATGTTCTACCTGCTCCAGGCCCTGATTTCGAGCCCAAAGACAAGGATGACCATGGGCTGTCGGCCACAGACTACCTGTTCCCTGCCCTACGTTTCCTGGGAGCCTTTTTTGAGAACCAGACAAATTGCACTTCTTTCATTCAAGCTGGCGGCGCCGAATTCATCCTGGATCTCGCGACTTTGCAAAGTTTGTCTTTCGATTTCCACAGCACCAACGCTAACCAGGAAATCACCGTTCTTGTTCACATGATGGCTGAAACAAAGCCTCATCTCATTGTTCCCTCTCTTGTCAAGCGCGCCCAGGATGCGCTGAACAACCTCTCGCCATTCTTCAGTGCACCCACAAAGACAGGCTTCTTCACCGAGTTGATCAGACCAACAGACTCGAAGATGCCAGCTACCGAGTCTACACCAGCCGCCAAATCTGGCACCTTCTTTTTGAGACATCTCAATGCGGTTCTACTTCTTACAGATGTTCTTCGTGAAGTCTTCGCATTGCCGTTGTATCAAACTCGACCTGGTCAGTCAACGTCTATTTTCGGCCAAGTCAACCTCGCCGACCAATACTGTGCTTTGATTGAGTCATTGTCCAACCTCCTCGCTTCATGTGTCTGGGAAGGTATCTTGCTCGAGAAGAACATCCCCGAGCAGTGGCTCAAGGCTACACAGGCCTCTGCCGACAAGCAAGACTCTGGAAAGCCAAAGACTAGTCCAGCCACCGAAGTTCCTCGTGAGCCGTCCTCAACTCCAGCTGCTCAAACTCAAGGAGAAAGCTCTGCAGCACCTGATGACGCTCAAGCCAAAGCAGGCCAAGAACCAAAGGAAGCTGATGCTCCCGTGGACGAGCAAAACCCTGCCTTTAAGAATGCTCGGACTCTAAGATATCTTTTGAGCGCTCTTCCAACCGCGATCACTGGATTCTTGCACAATCTTGGTCTTGGTATCATTGGCAAGAGACGCATTGATCCTCTTGCGAAGCAGAAGCAAAATGCTACTCTAGTTGCGGATGCCATTGCTGAAGGTGTCATCCGGCAGTTGCAGTTCACGCCTGCTAACTCCAGCGATAGCCCCAAGCACCGCTTTGCTTACCTGATTGTTGTTCTTTCTCACTTCTCGCACCTCCTTTATGAGGTCACACCGGACCGCCCTAGCGCAATCTACTTGACCACGGTTCTACTGGCATTCAAAAAGATCAGCGGGCTTAAGGTGCTGAAGGAGACCTGTGACGTCTTCTTGAACGACATCCAGTCTCTTCCATCTGCAGAGTCTATTCCCGATCAAGATAAGGAGCTTGCCGATCGACTTGCCTCAGGCTATGGCGGAATCAAGATCATTCTTGGTCTTTTTGCAGACCTCACAGCTGGGAAACTCATCGTGGATTCTAGCCAGACACAAGCAATGACCTCGCACCTTGAGCGTGACCGCGAACGCTCTGATTATTTCATGCCTGGTCAATTCCTAGTGGAACTCCGCATGGAAATCTTACCCATGGCCCAAGACTTGTGGAACTCAGACTTTGCCATTCAATCTTCTAGCACCATCGTCAGATTGTTGGTCGACATTTTGCGGTGTACTTTGGACGGCGAATATGAGACTGGTGCTGTTTCAAGAGCAGATCCCCCTTCTCTCGTGCGAGACGCCCCCAAGAAACCATTTACTGTCCACAAGGAGCGAGCCGCTGCCCTACTCGATAAGGGTCTCAATGACGTTGATCTGAACAAGGAGGCCCTTTATCGCTGCAATAATGTCTTGAATGCGGCCGAGGAATACTGTAGGGCACAGGAGTGGCTGCGAGCCCCACCCAGAGCTTCTCCGCCGCCAAATGACCTTCAGACTGGGGTTCCGGAGCCCACTTCAGGTCTAGATTCCCTTGAGGATACTGGTATCGAAGGCAGAGGTTTCGCCGGACCCGGAGCCAATATGTTGGATCGCAACACCCTGGCCATGCTTCTGTCTTCAGCCACTGGGAACCCAATTGGTCAGGTGATGCAACCGGACCAGGCTGGAGGAGATGGGGACGCTGAGATGCCCGACGGGTTGTCCAGAGCTTTGGATAGTGTTCTCAATGACAACGAGGATATGGAGAGCGATGACCGAAGCGAATCCCCCAATCAAGTCCAGCCGGGCAATTCGAACACCGAGTCGAGTTCATCTGATCCTGCTCGACAACCCCAAGGTGAACCCGCCAGACGCCGTGTGGTGGCAACTGTGGAAGACCTCGATGATAAGAGGACTAGCATCCGCGAGAACCTGATTGAGCGAGCTCTGGACATTTTGAATGAACACCATGATGTCTCTTTCGAGCTTTCCGACTTGATTACATCGGCCATCAAGAGGCATTATGAACCAGAAACATTCCGTCGTGACGTTGGCGAGACTCTTGTTCAGTCTCTTGTTTCTTTGCAAATGGAGAACTTCCAGACAGCCGGCAAAAAGATCGCTGCATATGCTCATGTTCTTGCATTGACTCTTCAAGATCGTGAAATGTACGACGCAACTCTCGAAGAACTCAAGGATTGTTTCTCTACTTTCCTCGGGTTCATCAAGTTGCCCCCGCCCGAAAAGCCAGACCAAGAGAGCTTCCCTTGGGTTGGACATGTTCTACTCATTCTTGAAAAGCTGTTGTCTGATGATTGCCAACCACCAAAAATTGAGTGGACCGCCCCAAGCCTTGACGGGCCTACTCCCAGCGCCGACGAGCCGGCTCGCCTCGAAGATCCTCTTGTCTCACTCGATGAGAAAACCCAACTTTTCGAAGCTTTGGTTGAAATTCTCCCAAGAGTAGGCAAGGATGACACATTGGCACTCTCCGTATGTCGTGTTCTTGTCGTCCTCACCCGTCAGCGTAGCATAGCTGCTCGCTTCGGCGAAAAGCGCAATCTTCAACGTCTATTCGTGATGGTGAAGCAACTCTCCAGTGCCGCCAATGACAAATTGCGGAGTGCTTTCATGCTGATTCTTCGACACATCGTCGAGGATGAAGCCACTATTCGACAGATCATGAGGAGCGAGATCGTTGCCAGCTTCGAGTCCAAGACATCTCGCCAGATTGATACCAATGGTTATGTTCGCCAGATGTATCACCTCGTGCTCCGAGCCCCCGACATCTTTGTTGAAGTGACGAATGAGAAATTGCGCTTGCTCCGATACGATACCCACCAACGCCCTCAAGTTCTTGGACTGAAGGCTGACAAGGACCGCCAGGCTCGGCGCACAGCCAAGCCCGAAGCCATTGCAGACGGCAAGAAGCCAGAGTCAAGTGCCACGACTGACGCGCCCGCTCCTGATGAAAAGGAAACGGGCAGCGATGACAAGGTCAAGGCTCAACCCAAGGCCACTGAAATGAAAGCTCCCATTGTTGAGAACCCCGACGGTGTCATCCATTATCTACTTTCAGAACTTCTATCTTACAAGGAAGTTGATGACAAAGAACCGGGCCCTGACTTTGAGAAGGCGACAGATCAGTCTGGTGCTCAGTCGGATGTTGAAATGACAGTGGACGAGCCTACTCCCTCGGTATCAAGTGCTGCCGATGGACAGGCGGCGCAAGGTCCCAAGAAGGCCGAGAAGCCTCAATTCAAGGCAGATGATCACCCCATCTACATCTACCGCTGCTTGCTTCTCCAGTGCCTGACTGAGCTTCTTTCCTCGTACAATCGTACCAAGGTCGAGTTCATTAACTTCTCCCGCAAGGCTGATCCGCTTGCCACCACCCCCTCCAAGCCCCGCTCTGGTGTCCTCAACTATCTGTTGAACGTTCTCGTTCCCCTTGGAACTATGGAGCATGACGAGTCTTTGACATTCAAAAAGCGTAGCATTACCTCAACATGGACTATGCAAGTGCTTGTCGCTCTTTGCACCAAGACTGGCGAGTTTGGTGGTGTTGGTAGGCGCCGCACTGAACCAAAGCACGAGGAGGATGAGCCCGAACTTGCATTCGTTCGCCGATTTGTTCTGGAGCATGCTCTCCGGTCCTACAAGGATGCCATGGCTTCGACCGAACCTCTGGATGCCAAGTACTCCAAACTCATGTCACTTGCTGATCTGTTTGATAAGATGCTCAGTGGATACTCCTTTTCCAACGATGCAGGGTTCCCAAGCTCAACTCGACAGCTTGCGAAGACCATGTTCGAGAAGCATTTCATTCCTACCCTCACAGCCTCAGTTGCGGACGTGGACTTGAACTTCCCATCTTCAAAGCGCGTTATCAAGTACATCCTTCGTCCTCTGAACAAGCTTACCCAAACTGCCGTTCTGCTCAGTGAAAATTCTGAAATCACCTCTTCTGGTGACAACGAGCATGATGAGATCTCCTCGGCGTCCTCTGTCTCCGACATTGAAGATGAGCGTGAAGAGACCCCTGATCTCTTCCGTCATTCCACTCTCGGTATGCTGGAGCCTCGCCACGACGAAGAAGAGAGTAGCACCGAGGAGTCAGAAGGGGAGGATGACGAAATGTACGACGACGAATATGACGAGGAAATGTACGATGATGAGGACGTTCCCGAAGACGATGGCGAGGTCGTCAGTGACGATGACGAAGACGGCATGGGTCCCATCGAAGGCCTCTCTGGCGACGCAGTCGAAGTCATTCTGGATGAAGACGAAGAAGAAGATGACGACGACGACGAACATGATCATCTAGACATGGACGATGACATGTACTCTGGAGAAATCGGTGGCGATCGTGACAACGAAAGCCTTGAAGACGGCGATGAAGACGAATGGGAGAGCGAAGAAATGACCGAAGACGAGGAGGAAGTTGAGATGATGAACCAATTCGAAGACGAGATGGCCGACATCAGACAAACTGGTCGCCATCACGGTGGAGACCAGCACATTGGAGACCTCTTCCGTGCCCTTGGTGAAAGTGGCGCAGGAGGTGTCGACCTTCATGGTGATGGTCTTGGTGGTGATATCCATGAAGAAATCCTCGAGGATCTCGATGAAGACGGTAAGTCCCTTCAATCCTAGCGAGATACTCTCAGTCCCGCATACTAATGTTGACTCTAGTGGATGACGAGGACGAAATGGATGAACTCGAGGAAGATATGGACGACTTTGACGAAGGAGAAGGGTCGTTTGGGGATATGGAAGGTAAGCTAATCTTGGGATACTACCTTCAAGGCACTGCTGACATCTCTTAGACGATGATATCCTTGAGCCATGGGGATGGGAAGGCGAGGAGCCCGCTATGCCCCGAGGCCATCACCACTCCCGCTTCCGAGGCGCTGCCCCCGCTTGGGCTGCTGTTACTGAAATCATGCCTGGTCGCCCGGCTGGCCTTGTCCCCATTCAACCTTATCACCGCGTTCACCGTACGCAGCTTCCATCGCGCGGCGGAAACGATGATGGCACCAACCCACTGCTGGTTCGTTCTGATCGTCCAGACGCCAATGCTCCACCAGGCGGAGCCGCCATTGACCCCATCGCCGGGTGGCCCCAAGCCATGGACCTTTCCAACGGTAACAGAGTTGTGGCCATGGATAGCCCTATTAGCTTCATGAATGCCATTATGCAGGCTATTGGCGGACAAGCTTCGCCTGGATTCGGCGTTGTTACTCGTCCCGACGGTATCCACGTCCATGTTGACCGACGCACAGTCTTGCCCGGTCGCATTCAAGATATGCTTGGAATTCCCCGAGGATCAGGCCCTCCAGCTCGTACCCGAGGAGACGACCCACACACCGCCGTGAAGTTCGGCCTTTCGACTACCAGGACCCGCTGGCAAGAGGAAGCCCGCATTCTTTACAGCAACCAATACGTTGAGCGTGCTCAGCGTGTGCTTAACTCTTTGCTGAAGGTTCTAGCCCCTCCTGCCATTGAGGAGGAGAAGAAGCGCTTGAAAGAACTTGCCGAGGAACGTGTACGCCAGAATGCTGAACGTGCCGAGAAGGAACGTCAGGACCGTATTGCCGCCGAGGAGAAGGAGAAGGAGCGCAAGCGCCAAGAAGAAGAAGAAAAGGCTAGACTCGAGGCAGAAAAGGAACAGCAGGAAGCTGAACGCCTGGCTTCCGGGGCCGATGAACCCATGGGAGATGTCCCAGAAGAAGACACTACATCCGAGGCCGGTGGTTCATCAGCCCAGCCCCAGGCTGAACCCGCGGAACCAACTCCTCGCATCACGGATATCAGAGGCCGACAGGTCGATATCACTTCACTGGACATTGACCCAGAATATCTGGCTGCCCTTCCAGAGGACCTTCGAGAAGAGGTCATCTTGACCCAAGTTGCTGAGCAGCGCGATCGAGCCACTGCCGCGGGCGAGGAGCCTACTGAAATCAACCAAGAATTCCTCGAGGCCTTGCCCACTGAAATTCGGGAAGAACTCCTCCAGCAGGAAGCGGCCGATAGACGTCGACGTGAACGTGAAATCGCTCGACGACAGGCAGCTCCCGCCGGCGGGTCTAGCGGAGGTCCTCCTGCCCATGCAGAAGAGATGGATGCGGCCAGCTTCCTGGCTACCCTTGACCCAAGCTTACGCCAGGCTGTCCTAGCCGATCAACCAGAGGATGTCCTCGCAACCCTGGGCCCCGAGTACTTGAATGAAGCTCGTGCTGTGGGTGGAAGCGGTCGCCGGATGGCTCAATTTGGTGATATGAGTGCTGTTGATTCCAGACGGACCGAGCCCGCTGGAGGCCAAGAGTCAAAGAAGGAACGACGCCAAATTGTTCAAATGCTTGACAAGGCTGGCATCGCAACCCTTCTTCGCCTGATGTTCATGCCTCTTCATGGCAATGCTCGCCACCAGCTAAACGACATCCTTCATAATGTCTGTGAAAACCGCCAAAACCGAAGCGAAGTTATCAGCCTTCTGCTCTCAGTCTTGCAGGATGGTAGTGTTGATTCCACTGCAATTGAGCGCAGCTTCTCCCATCTTTCTTTGCGTGCGAAGTCCTCTGGGGCTCAGAAAACGCCGCTCAACAATAAGCGAAACCTAGCCCTTCAAACTGCTTCTAGCGTCAGCAGCGAAATTACTCCAATCATGGTTATCCAGCAATGTCTCAGCACGTTGTCTTTCCTGTCGCAGTTCAACCCTCACGTTGCCTGGTTCTTCCTAACGGAGCATGATTCCACCTCGGCTGGCAAGCTCAAGTCAGGCCGCAAGGGCAAGGGCAAGGACAACCGTGCAAACAAGTACGCTTTGAATGCACTGCTCTCTCTTCTAGATCGCAAGTTGATCATGGAGAGTCCGAACTGCATGGAACAACTTTCTAGCCTTCTTAGCAGCATCACTCAGCCATTGACCGTGCTCCTTCGCCGTGAAAAGGAGCGCCAAGATGAAGCAGAAAAGGCTAAAGAGCCCGAAGTTGCCGAAGTCGAAGACAATACTGATCAGCCTGCCGAGGCCGCCGAGACGGGCATGGACACATCCATGACCGATGCCCCGTTGCCTACCGTTGAGACAACTGAAGTCACAGGCCAGGAGACCACTGAGGGAGAAGGCGCGTCTACTGAAGACAAGAAGCCCGCTGATGCACAGGAGGCTGCGGAGGAAGGGAAGCGCAAAAAGCGTGCCATCGAACCTCCCGTCGTTCCGGATCATAACTTCCGCCTCGTTGTTCACATTCTTGCGGCTCGTGAATGCAATGGCAAGACTTTCCGCGATACCCTTTCTACTATCAACAACCTTTCCGCTGTTCCTGGTGCTCGGGATGTCATCGGTAACGAACTCGTTGCACAGGCTCAGGCTCTCAGTGATACCATTTTGCAGGATCTTGAGGATCTTCTCCCCCATATTCATCAGGCCAAGACCGGTACCGATATGCAAGGTCTTGCTTTGGCCAAATTCTCCCCTGCCAGCTCAGACCAGGCGAAGCTTTTGCGTGTTCTTACGGCACTCGATTATCTCTTTGATCCAACCCGCGTGGACAAGACCAAGGGAACCGAGCCCGAGTCCGCACCCAAGGAGGATGTGCTCAAGAGACTCTATGAGAGTGCCACATTCGGCCCTCTATGGACCAAGCTGAGCGACTGTCTTACCGTCATCCGCCAAAAGGAGAACATGCTGAACGTGGCCACTATTCTCCTTCCTCTGACTGAGGCATTGATGGTTGTCTGCAAGAACACTACCCTGAAGGACCAGCCCTTGCCTCGTGGCAGCCGTGAGTTATCCGTGACCAGCGCCCCGGCTGAAACTGGCATTAGCATGGAGAACCTTTTCTTCAAGTTCACCGAGGAACATCGCAAGATCCTCAATGAGCTTGTCCGCCAAAATCCTCGCCTGATGAGCGGCACTTTCTCCTTGTTGGTGAAGAACCCTAAGGTCTTGGAGTTCGATAACAAGCGCAACTACTTCACTCGTCGCGTTCACTCGCGCGGTGCTGAGCCTCGTCACCCTCACCCTCCCCTTCAGCTCTCCGTTCGCAGAGCTGAGGTCTTCCTTGACTCCTTCAAGTCTCTCTACTTCAAGAGTGCCGAGGAATTGAAATATGGCAAGCTGAATGTTCGATTCCATGGCGAAGAGGGTGTTGATGCTGGCGGTGTGACTCGAGAATGGTTCCAAGTCCTTGCCAGAGGCATGTTCAACCCTAACTACGCGTTGTTCATTCCCGTTGCTGCCGACCGCACTACCTTCCACCCTAACCGTCTCAGTGGTGTCAACTCGGAGCATCACATGTTCTTCAAGTTCATCGGTCGCATCATTGGTAAGGCTTTGTACGAAGGCCGTGTCCTTGACTGTCACTTCAGCCGAGCAGTCTACAAGAACATCCTTGGACGCTCTGTCTCGATCAAGGATATGGAGACTCTCGATTTGGACTACTATAAATCACTCTTGTGGATGTTGGAGAACGATATTACCGACATTATTACCGAGACATTTGCCATTGAGACTGACGACTTCGGCGAGAAGCAAGTGATCGATCTCAAGCCCAACGGCCATGACATTCCCGTCACCCAAGAAAACAAGGAGGAATACGTTCAGCGTGTCGTTGAGTATCGCCTTGTCGGGTCTGTCCGAGAGCAGCTAGACAACTTCCTCAAGGGCTTCCACGAAATCATTCCCCCTGATCTGATCTCTATCTTCAACGAACAAGAGCTGGAACTGTTGATTTCTGGTCTTCCTGAGATCGATGTGGATGAGTGGAAAAACCACACTGAGTACCACAACTACTCTGCCTCGTCGCCACAGATTCAGTGGTTCTGGCGTGCTGTCCGCTCCTTCGACAAGGAAGAGCGTGCCAAGCTTCTTCAGTTCGTCACCGGAACCAGTAAAGTCCCTCTCAATGGTTTCAAGGAGCTTGAGGGTATGAATGGTGTTAGCAAGTTCAACATCCATCGCGACTATGGCAACAAGGACCGTCTTCCTAGTTCGCACACTTGTTTCAATCGTGAGTTCCTCCCAACCATCCCTGATATGCATGATTTACTAACTGTTGTTTCCAGAGCTTGATCTTCCCGAGTATGAAAGTTATGAAGACCTCCGTGCGCGCCTTTACACGGCCATGACCGCCGGTAGCGAGTACTTTGGATTTGCCTAAGGCGTTCTTCGGAGCCAAACCAAGCATTCAATGGCGTTTCTGTCATTCTTGATTCTTCTGTTTCTTTTCTATGGATATTTCTTTTTTTTACTGGAGAGGCCGGCACTGCCGGCAACAGAATTTTGTTATGAGGAGATGAAAATGGAGGCCGGAAGAGGTTTTGGTTGAAGTGCAGGTCAGCCTGATTCTTTTCTGGGTTCTCTGTATGTGTACTTAAATTGCTGCATTCCATCGTTATTTCTTTTTTTTTTTCATTCTACTTCTACTTCTTTAATCTCTGCTGTGATACTCTCCAGGGCTGTATTTACGTACTTTTTATACAAGTAGTCGTAGCCTAGGGCTTGCAGAAGTCTCCCAAGTCAACTGGCGAAACGACAAGGCGACTGAGCAATCACGTAAGACGCAATACAGGCTTAGATCATCAGGCGGTGAGCCTGTCACGTGGGAAAAAGTCATGCGGGGCGACGCGGAGGAAAATGATTTTTTGAGCCGACGGTTTCATCTTGGTGTATATGCTCCCTTGAATTGAGACATACTCTTGAATCATGTCGACCAACTCTATCAAACTCCTGACTGGTAACAGTCACCCGGAGCTCGCCAACCTGGTGGCGGACCGGTATGTCTCTTGTGAGCTTACGGAGAACAAGGGCAAGCTAACCCGGTAGCTAGTCTGGGCATTGAGTTGACCAAGATTATGGTCCTACAATACTCCAACCAGGAGACCAGTGTCACAATTGGTGAAAGTGTGCGCGACGAAGATGGTACGAACATCCCACCTTAGTGACATCAAGGGAACCACCCCACTTATACAACGTCCTCACAGTCTTCATTCTGCAATCGACGAAACCTAACGATATCAACGATGGACTTATGGAGCTCCTTATCATGATCAATGCCTGCAAGACTGCCTCGGCCCGCCGCATCACGGCTGTTATCCCCAACTTCCCCTACGCCCGCCAAGATAAGAAGGACAAGAGCCGTGCTCCCATTACCGCCAAGCTCATGGCCAACATGCTCCAGACTGCTGGCTGCAACCACGTCATTACCATGGATCTTCACGCCAGTCAAATCCAGGGCTTCTTCAACGTCCCTGTCGACAACCTCTACGCCGAGCCCAGCATGCTTAAGTGGATCCGGGAGAACCTCGACGTCAGCAACTGTGTCATTGTCAGCCCAGATGCTGGTGGTGCCAAGCGGTAAGTACATTTCCTGAAACCTCAATATCTCATATCAGGACTAACTGGAATCCTCTCTAGCGCCACTGCCATTGCCGATCGCCTCGACCTGCAATTCGCCCTCATTCACAAGGAACGTGCCCGTCCCAACGAAGTCTCGCGCATGGTCCTTGTCGGTAATGTCAAGGACAAGGTTGCCATCATCGTCGACGACATGGCCGACACCTGCGGCACTCTCGCCAAGGCCGCCGAGACCGTGATGCAACACGGCGCCCTCGAAGTCAACGCCATCGTTGTGCACGGTATTCTTTCCGGAAAGGCAATTGAGAACCTGAACGGCAGCTGCCTGAAGCGGTATGTACATCCAACGAGCCTTGAAAGGGTTCAGACGTCCTCGGGAACAGGATTTGGCTAACGGGGTTCCAGCATCATTGTCAGCAACACTGTCCCACTGGGCGACAAGCAGGAGCGATGCGACAAGATCAAGACCATTGATATCAGCCCGACATTGGCCGAGGCATGCCGCCGTACACACAACGGCGAGTCAGTTAGCTTCTTGTTCTCGCACACCGTGGGGTAAACCAGACAGAAATCAATTCCAATTCCATGGAAGAGGATCAACGGATCCTAATGAATATATTATCTGAACCCCTATGCGAACTTGGAAGAGGGAAACCAAAATACGATTGTTATGAGCCTTGTTTTGATTAGCCGGACGAGGATGTTAGTCCCCGGGTGTTTTATTGTTTGGAGGGAAGTGAGATTGTCATTAAATTGCATTGTGCATCTATTCCTTGCTGTGCAGGTGCTAGATAGAAATCCTTTTGAAGACCGCGAGGTCAATTTACACATGTGCATACTACTACTACTAGTTGCATGTAGAGTAAGGAGCAACACGTGATATGGAGCAGGAGCCCTGCCCAGGTGGTGTCCACGACCTCGGGGTGGGGGGCCTCGAGGACTAGCCCTGAAGTGCCCAGGTGTACGGAGTAGAGTGCGACTGGCACTGACTTCATAGCTTCGAGAGTGGATGCAGGTTCCAAATGCCGGGGAATCTACTCCAGACTACGGAGTCACAGGATCAGTCTACAGCAAAGAAATTGACAGAACTGAATATTGAAATTTGCATGCACTCCATTCAAAAAAAAAGGGACAAAAAAGGTAGGTTCAACACAGATATGCATCACGACTCCCTTGGCCCCGAAATCACCGTCGAACACAAGGGAGTATCAATCATTCAGCCTGCTTTGTACGTTTTGAAACCTGTTCCCCGTCTCTTTTGTTGTTCCCTTTTCTTTTTTATCAGACATGTGTCTTCCGCGCCCCTGGGGTGATCGAATCCTTTTTTGAAATTCCCCTCAAATCATCCCAAAGACGTGAAGCTCCTCCATTAAACCCCATCGCCGCAGAACGAAATCATAAAACCGCGGGTCCGGAAGTTTACTTGCGCATGGAGGAAGCTCTCCGCTTGCGGAGCTCATCGCGCTTGGCCTTCTCCTCGTGGACACGGTTGGCAAGGAGCTTGGCGTAGTCGTTACTAGATAGACAAGTCAGTTCCATATTCCAAACGTACAGCCGGTGCGGCAGAGAGGGGGATGTCTTACGCAGCATCACGGGCAGACTCAGCACGGCGGCGCTTGATGGCAACGCGTTGGCGCTTGCGCTGGAGACGCTGGGGAGTAACCAGACGCTGGATCTTGGGGGCCTTGGTGTAGTCCTTCTTGCCCTCCTTGGTGACGGTACGGCGGATGACGAACTTGCGGACGTCGTCCTTCTTGTCGAGACCGAAGAAGCGACGGATCTTGGTGGCACGCTTGGGGCCGAGACGCTTGGGAACAACGGTGTCGGTGAGACCGGGGAGCTCACCCTCGCCCTGCTTGACGATGGAGAGAGCGAGAACGGAAAGGTCCAGACCGGTGATGGCACCGCGGACGGACTTGCGCTTGCGCTCACCGGTGCGGCGGGGGCGGTAGCAGCTGTGGCCGTCGGCGAGGAGCAGACGGGTACGGGTGGGGAGGAGAACTGTTATTGCGATGAGTATGATGGTCGGTTTTAGGCTTGGGTTTATAATTTTCAAAAAAATTATTCCCCGTTGTGGGCTCTGTACGTACCACCCTGCTTCATGGGGAAACCTGTCAAATCGTTAGCATCGTTATTCTCTTTGAAATTCGCTCTCCAATGTCGAGATAGTGATCCCCGACATTGGATGGAGGGGTTATGTGTGCGTACCCTGCTTGTCGTTACCACCGGTAATCTTGAAGATGTAACCCTTGAACTCGTCGCCGAGAGCGTCAGCGGCAACCTGCAAAAACAAATTCCAATTAGCCAGTCGTCCTTATTCGTGTGCGTGTGATCATAGTCGAGTGGTGGTCGGTGTTTGGAGACGATGAAGGGGGAGTGCTGACTTCGGTGCCCATGCGCTTTTCCATGAAGGGACGGAGCTTGCGCTCATCGTCGACCTCGATGATCTTCTGCGACCCATTGGCCGGGTAGGAAACGTTAAGCTTCATCTTGACGGAGGCGGCGCGGTCAAGACGGTAGCGCTGATGTTGTCGACGGGTGAGGTTGTCGTCGAAGGGATCTGTAGTGTGGATTTTTTTAGTTCGCCGGCTTAGCGAGCGATTGTGGGCGCGTCACGTGTGGGAATTGGCTCAGGTCACGTGGAGTAGGGCTAAAATCTGTCGGTCATGTGAGGTCATGTGACAGGTTCCTCCCCGGCCTATCGATTTTTTTCGCCTTCCCGCCCTCCTCTCCCAGTCCCCATTCGTCTGCCCATTCGCCTGCGACGAGTTTATGCAAGATCCCGTAGGCCTCATGCGAGATATCTGTCAATACGAAGTCCAATCACAATTCAACTCTGGACTAACATTTCTGTTCTCATTCTGACCATTCATATTCGTACAGCGGTTTTTTGGGCATCTAACCTATACTCCCGACACATCTACTCGCCATTAAGCAGACAGGGTTACACCCGCTCTGAAACTAACACAAGCTTCATTTAGAGGTGTGGAGAACCCAAGACTCGTAGCACAACTTTTGAACATGGCCGACCGTGTCTAAGAACTGAAGAATGTCTCGGGTCCTGGTCTGATACAGCTCAATTTTTCGTAATTGAACTGTGTCTCGATTGTTTCACTGGTGTGTTTGACAATTTGACAGGGTACGCTCTTGGTCTAGAATCACTCAAGATTCAGCCAATCAATTATCCAAAACAGAATGGGTCCAACTTGGACAATGACCCGCCGAGGGCCGGATAAATCATTGATGTGCTATTTCTCTATCAGAGCAGGGAGCCTAGATGTGGGTAATTTCATGACTACCGTTGATCAGAATGCTTTTTGAATCTGGGGTATACAATGTCTTGGCGTGTCGTATAGATTGCTATATTGGGCTTTAAGACTCTCAGATACGCGGCGGAGATCCTCCTACCGCCTGCGTCTACGGAGTAAGTACAGCGCTATCTTTTGTGCAACAACCAGGAACAAGACAAGGGACAGGAAAGGACATGGCACTAGGCAGGGTTGAACATTCCCTTCCCAGTGCTGTTGCGAGATGCTCTCTGAGCAATATGGCCAAATCTTAGGATATGGAGTACGCGTACTCGTATACCCGGAAGTCCAAATAAGCCCCAAGCGTGATGATTTGCCCGTTTTGCCTGCGAGGCAAATCGGCTCTGCCCGAGCCACGCGGCCAGTCTGTAGTGCAGTCTCCTTCACCTGCTCCGGGTTCTTATTGTATTTCGTATTCTATTTTGCAGAATTTCGACTGTTCACATTCTACTATTAGTATCCTCGCTCTGTCTTTCGTTCTACAGACCCATCCGAGTTTGCCGGTCCCATCCTCCCGAGTTCGGAGTGGAGATATCGTCGTAATCTCCGGGCGATCTCTGCAGTGCTTGATTCTTTGGCGCTCCGCCGTGAGGATTTTGTCACATTCTGGCTCTGTCGCGTGACACTGTGATATATGATCAAACTGCCATTGGGGCATTGGTGGCGATTCTGAACACCTGCGACGGCAGATATATGATCTCACAGACCCAGGTTGCTTGAACGAGGGCACCCTCTCGGCCCTGGGCCTGCCATTCGCCATGGTCCGCATGTTCAGTCGGTTCTATGCGCTGTGTGCGATTGCAGTGTGCACGATTCTCACATCGGCGTGGTTCTTAACGTCACGACGGTTCTCTGACATCGTGCCTCTTCCTGTAGGCCAATTTCAAGTAGCCACCACCTTTGATCAGCGATTGGTGGTCTTCGGCGATTCATGGAGTGATAACTCCACGGCCAATTTACACGGGCCCGTTTGGACCGATTGGCTTTGTTCCATGGCAAGTCAGTCCTAGTGGGATCATCGCATCAAGTCTAACGGAGAGTAGATGTCCTGTCACCAAGAGAACCTGGCGCAGACGGCCAACCCCCTCCGAGGCAAGAATGTCGGCGCCGTGGTCGACAACGACGAACTCGATCTTCTGGGCCGGCTGTCGCAGACACGTCTGGCAGACTTTGAATCCCAGCTCGAACAATGGCTCGCGGCCGAGTCAGGATTGAGTCTTTCCGCAGAGGCCGTCCAGTCCCGACAAAATCACACCATTTTCGTGGTGTCGTTCGGGGTGTGGGACCTCTGGAGCTTAATCGGCAAAGACTACGACGCAGCGCGGCAGTCGATCGAGCGTCGCATCGCACGAATCATGGAACACCTGGACACACTGTCGGCGCGCTGGGGCACGTCGAACTTAAAGGTGATTCTGACGCAGACGGTTGACGTGACCTTCCTGCCGGGATTTGACGCGACCCGGTCCTCCAAGGACCCGGTCCAGCTGCTGGCGCACTGGAACCTGAAGCTACGGGAGGCGGCGGCCCAATGGACGCAGGGGACTATCTATCTCTTCGACCTGAATGAGTTCTTGATGGATCGCATCCGCGACTACCAGCTCTACGCGGCCGGGATCGAGGAAGCGAGCGGACTCGGGCAGAACCTGGACGGGTGGACGAACGTCGTGGAGCCTTGCGTTGCGAGTGGATTCCAGGTCATGATGTCAAAGGAACAGGAACCGTGTGAGCAGCCCGGGCAGTATTTATTCTGGTAAGTGATCGACGGCCCGCGCCCAAGTACCCGTGCTGACGGATCCAGGAACGAGATGCATCTGGGACCCTCTGCCCACCATCTTTTGGCTCGGGAGATGTATCGTGGGATTGAGGTCTTTCGATTGAACGCCACAGCCGGGATTTGAGGACAATGCGACGATGCCCAAGTGGATATGACGTCTCGCAAGGGATGGCCAGCAGCTACCCGGTCAAACAGATGCGGGCGCAATTTGAGGAAAAGGGCGAAATTTCCACAGTGGAGTCCGACTTGACAGATCTCACCGTCGTATCTGGAACGTGCACCCGAGACAATACTATACCGTCAGTACGGAGTAGGAGTATTACTACTCCGTACATAGGTACTAAATACTGGTATTAGTATAGTATTACCGAGACAAAAGAACTGTTTGCCTCATTTAACGGGGAACCGGGAATACCTGAGATCGGGTCACCGCATCCGGAAACAAAGAAAACAATGGCCCTAGCCTCTTGGCTGATTTTTGCGACAATCATGGATGTATACCACCTTTCTAACACCCTGAGGGCACCGTGTCCTTAGAGAAATTATACTGATAAAAAATATAAAAAAATATCATGAAAAATATGATAAAAAAAATACTCATCTGCCATGATATTTCTTTTTCCTGGTTGGCTCGGTCTGAATAGCAACACCTATTGTCGACGCTAGGCAGGGATCGCGACAAAGGAATCTCCAGGGCTCTGAACGCCAAACGCTATACTTCCCTTTGTTTCGCTTCTAGTTCGGTTGGGCCATTTTCTGGCGATTATAATTTCCTGTTTTCCATTTCTTTGTTCTCACGCACATCTTTCTTTATCACTTCGGCCTCCCCGTCATTATACTTTGGTTTCGCCTTTGACAGAAAGGTCGCCTTCGAGCTCTTTCACCCACTTATTTAAATGTCTTACGATCGAGTGCTCCCTAACCCCGTTGCTCATCGCTATGAGACTGCTCAAGTCCCAAGCAATATCCTCGATCATACTTTGAACGATCTCAAATCGGTCGCCATGCAGGACTATGATTCGCGTGCCGTCCACATGATCTCCAACCCCGAGAGAGTCAAGCCCGGGCCCATGCTCTCCACCAAGGAGCTGCCTCTGCGGGATCGTTCCGATCGATCCTCCTCCTCCTCCGCCGGCAGTAACAGTCCCGTCAAGGCCAAGGACTGCAGCATGCAGTTCTGTCTGTGCCAGCCGGATCCCAAGATCCCGAGGCCTCGTAATGGTGAGTCGATAACATCCATACCGTCGTCAGAGCTTGGCAAGTGCTTTTTTCTTTCGAACGCTTCTCTGCTTGGGGTCTGGGGTTCTGTTGCATCATTGAACATGTGCTAAGTGGTACTCCCAGCTTTTATTCTGTATCGGCAACATTATCAGGCAATGGTGGTGGCTCACAACCCGGGGCTGGCAAACCCTGAGATCTCCAAGATTATTGGAGAGCAGTGGCGATCACTCCCGGACGACGACAAAAGTAAATGGAAGGCACTTGCCGAGGTATGTGACACACCCTCCTTCTCTTCCATGTCATGGCTCACACGGAATTCAGGAAGAAAAAGCTCGTCATCAACAGCAATATCCCGACTATAGATACCAACCTCGGCGCTATGGTCGAGATGGCAGTGCACGGAGTGCAGTCGGCGGCATCGGCCACAACCCATCTGGCTCGTCAACGTGTCAGCGATGTGGTGGCCGATTGATGAATGCTCCTGCATCGCCCATGACCCCATTCACACCCAGCAGTGGTCCTGGATCTCGTTCGGCGACTGGATTCTCATTAACCTCCCCTCATCCAAGCATGCCACGAAGCCTCCAAAATCGCGAGAATGATCTCTCCAAGTCCGTCAAGCTCGACCAGTTTGACTCACGGGCTCGCCAACGACACTGGGAAGAGCCGGGCGGTCGATCTCCTCCAGACAACAAGCGACGCAGGGTCTCTCAAGGCTCATTCAAGCCGACGCTGCATCCATCCTACCGAGAACGTAGCCCCAACAGCGCGATCCCAAACACACCACACCCCATGTCACCCTGGAGTGCTCGACCAGATATGCCCTCCCGTCAACTCCCAATGATCCAACCCCCAGGATCTTTCCCCCATCCAAGCCCAGATCCAAGCCTGAAGCTTCCTCCTCTCCAAACCGGCTCCATGACACCCGCAACCCCACAAGAAACCCTCAACACCAGCATCGAAACCACTGTCATGACCATCCCCTTCCTGAACAAAATCAAAGTCCTGGCCAAGATATCTCCTCCCCTCCTCCCCTCCTTCCGCGAAGGCCCTCCAGCCCGCGGCCCCGTAATTGCCATCGACGGCCAAGACCCGGCCCTCGTCCAATCCACAATCGCCTATCTGGACACCCTACTTAAAAAGGAATCCAAATACCACGTCCGCACCTTCGAAGGGCCAGAAATCAACCCTCGCAAAGAAACCCCCATGACCGGCGGCACAGTCGACTACCTCAACACCATCTCCGCCTGGCACCGCATCTCCGACGACATCGTCAGTTTCGTCAAATCCATGTCCCGGGCAGGGTCAATCGACCACGAAGAGGACCCCGCCAACATCTCCCCGCGGACCTCCCTCGTCCCCAAAACAGCTTCTATGTCCATCCACTCCCCCGCCCAGTCCTCCGAATGCTCGGAGGTCAGCGCTGCCTCCGTCTCCTCGCACTGTGCCGTGCCTGTCGCGCTTGTTCCGCGCTACCAGCTCACTACGGCGGATGCTTTTGCCTGTGCGACGCCTATTCGGGACTCGTACGCACCCCTCGATCACTGGCAGTGGATGGCTTCGCTGTGGCGGGCGTGTGTTGGTCCTGATATCACAATCTATGTTAGGGAGTGTGGGAAGGAGGAGGTTGAGAGGAAGGGGGCTGTAGAGGTCCGGTTGCAGGATGCCAGGACTGTTGTGTTGAGAAAGGTTGCTGGCAAGGATTTGGAGGAGAAGGCGCTCAAGAGGATGGGTTTTGAGATTGAGGATTGCTTGACGCAGTAGATTCAGAATTAGAATGTAATAATGCATTGGAGGCGTTCCAAATTTTCTTCTTTGAACCTGTCGTGTCAACCTCGAAGTTTGCATCATGGATTTTGTAGCGTTGGTCGAGATATATACTTCCAAGGTTGTGCCTTGCGTCTCTATAGATCGCCGCGACCTCGGGATGCGGCTTCGGTGGAGATATATTTAACGACTGCGCAGGTGCCGACTCCACTGCCCAGGTGGGCACCAGGGCACACTCGAATCCCATTGATCTTCGACATCCATGGATGTTCAACCTTTGAGAAATCCAAGTAAGCTCTGCATACCCTGATATTCCAGGAAAACGTGATGCAAGATCATCCAGCTCATCTTGAATCACGGCGAGCAGGTTTCAAGGTTTCATCCCATCACAAGTGGGTCAACTCCACAAATAGCTGCGAATTTCAAAACTGAACCATCTCCATCTCCCGCTTCTACGATACTTACCCAGACCCAAAGATATCCAGGTATCCTCCCCAACAAGGCTCAGGTAAAGCTGGCGGTGAGACGGCAAAATCCAGCCTCGAGTCTGAGCGGTCACCATTTCTGCCGTTGTCCCTGATCGCCGTACACCATACTGCTGTTCGCCCTGGAGCCATGGAGTCATTGGATGTCTTTAACTCGTATCCAAACAATGACCCCATCGTCCTGGACCATCCGCCCTCGGGTCTTCCCTTCGCGGAAGAACAACCCGTCGTGTACAAGGTAGAGTCTGAGCCATCATTCACACCTCTCACCGAATCAGGTAGATATAGGGGCCCTTACATACCAGTTGGGTCATTGAGCACATCGGAAACATCAGCAAGCTATTACCCGCTGAAAGAACTCGCTGCTTTAGAGAAGAGTGGCTGGATCCGCACCAACGCCCCCCATTTCAACAATAACATCCAAGTCTTCATTCTACCAAATGATGTGCAAGGGGCATCAGCACAAGCATCAAAAGCGAGACCCAAAGCTAAAATCAAAGCTCTCATGACTAAGATTGATAATTCGTCTGATACATGGGCTGGACTATCTGATGCTCACCCCACCCAGTCTGGCAATCTGGACTCGAACCCAGAAGACGAAGATGAATCTCTATGGTACATTTTCAATACCTTACAAAGTCCGGATCCCTGTCCTCAAGATATGAAGAACACACCATCCAGACATGCAATGGAAGCCTTGCTTGACGAGTCGGATAACCCGGTCCAGGGCCTCACAACAGCGCTTTATCCCTACCAGCGGAGATCGGCCGCTACGATGATTCAGAGGGAGGCACAGCCGGCGATGGTACTTGATCCAAGATTGCAGGCTGTGTCTGGTCCGACTGGAACAATATTCTACTATGACAAAGTGGATGGCACGCTTCTGAAAGGAAAGAGGCTGTATTCGGAAGCTTGCGGAGGTTAGTTGGCCTGGTGGGATTGTCATTTTCTGGACACAATTGTTGACCTTTTCACCAGGAATCCTAGCAGAAAGCATGGGTTGCGGCAAGACATTAATTTGCCTCGCTGTGATCCTGGCTACTCGGGGCCATTTTCCCATCATTCCTATCGAGTACCAGACGTACGAAAACCCGATTAGAAGGAAGACAGGGTCCTTGAAACAGATGGCCGCTGCCACTGCTGGTCGCTTCTCTGTCCCCTGGAAATCATTTTTCGAAAGTCTCAGCAGGGAAGGAGAGTTTCATGATAATTGCGTCAAGGCGTGCATGGAAAACTCTGGTTGCTATAACATACCGCCCGATGTCACGAAGAATCCGCCCAGAAATAGTACATCGCCATACACCCGGGATGCCGCCCAGCAAGTTCGGCTTTGCTCCGGCACGATTGTCATTGTTCCACCGAACATGGTCGATCACTGGGAAAATGAGATCGCGACTCATACCACTAGCCTGAAGGTTGTGGTTTTGCGACAAGGCTCTGATCGGACGCCAACCGCGGATGAATTAATGGATGTTGATCTCGTACTATTTTCCAGAACTCGATTTGAAAGAGAAGTTCCAGAGAAGAAGCACATCCAACGCATGGGAGACAAAGTTGTTCAAGACTCCCCGCTTCTTAGTCTCCACTGGCTGAGAGTCATTGTCGATGAAGGACATAATGTTGCAGGTCAGAAAACAAGGCTGACAGATATGCTGAAACGATTACACTTCGAACGTCGCTGGGTTATCTCAGGAACCCCTTCGCCTGGGTTGTACGGCGTGGAGGTCAGCCTGGCTTCCCAGGAGGCAGACACCAGCGGGACCGAGTCCCCTGGGGAAGCCACTCAAGCCATATTGAACAAGCGAAAAAGAACCGGAAATGCCGCCGACAATGAGCTGAAAGCTCTGGACCACTTGCGGGAAATGGTGATTCATTTTCTTGATCTCAAGCCTTGGTCGAGTTCAAGCCCCGGTGACTCTGCCAACTGGACAAACTACATGAAGCCCATCGGCGCAGGCAGAAAGCGTCGAAAAGCCCCTTCGCTAAGGCCGACTCTTCAAAGCCTTGTCGTAAGACACCGAAAGGACGTGGTTGATCAGGAGAAGCCTCTTCCAAAGCTTTACAACAAGGTTACTTACCTGGCTCCGACATTCTACGACAAGTTGTCGATCAACATGTTCCTTTTTACGCTTGCCGTCAACGCCGTCACATCTGAGCGCGTAGGCCCGGACTACATGTTCAACACCAAGAATAGAAAGCACTTGAACCAGGTCATCGAAAACATACGACAGGCAGGCTTTTGGTGGGCTGGCTCAACAAAACCATCTGACTCTATTGATTTCGCCCGCAGATATATGAACTCCAATCGTGAAAAAATGTCACCATCAGATATCAAGCTTTTGGATGATGGAATTCACATTGCAACTACAGCAGTCAACTCCCCCAACTGGGCAGGTTTCAACAGTCTACACGAACTTGGTGTCTTCGTTGAAAATTTCCCAGAGGACTACCGTAGCTCATGGGCAGTTGCAAACGGCTCATGTGATAATCCCTTACTGATGGGAATCTCCCAAGCCTGCAAAGCCCAAGAGTACGTGACGGAACATCTCCGCTCCCCCGATCCCGCCGAAGGCCTTTCAGGCGCGGGCATCAAATTTCGCCGCGAGATAACAAACCATGACAATCGTCCCGTCTGGGGCGCACCCGACCCAGCCAACACACCAATGGCTCAAAGGCAACTAGCACAAACCGCCAAACCCCCCAGCAACAAACCCGCAAAGAAAACCTTCGAAAAGAACCTCTACCGCTCACTCCCAGAAACCTCACCACTCCAACAAACCCGCCTAGTCGGCATCGCATCATCCAAACTCCGATACCTACTCGACAAAGTCCTCGAACACCACCAAACCGAAAAAATAATCATCTTCTACGAGGACAGCAACACCGCATACTGGGCCGCGCAAGGCCTAGAACTCATCAACGTCGAATTCCGCATCTACGCAAATACCCTGAGACCACAGCTCCGCACCGAATATCTCAAACTCTTCCGGGAGTCCGAGGAAGTGCGTGTCCTGCTAATGGATCTCGGACAGGCTTCACATGGATTACATATTGCGCAGGCATCGCGCGTCTTCATCATAAGTCCGATTTGGAAACCGAATGTCGAAAGTCAAGCTATTAAGCGAGCCCATCGCATCGGCCAGACTAGACCTGTTTACGTCGAGACATTGGTTCTGGAAAATACTCTCGAGCATCGCATGCTTAGTCGTCGGAAGGAGATGTCCGAGGCGGAAATGCAGCTTGCGGAAAAGGGTCCGCTGGATGATAATACTATGAGTGATATCATTCAGAATGAGCCGTTCTTGTCCCTGGATGATGAAGCTGGGTCCGGTATGGCGCGTCTGGAGTTCCCGACTGGGTTCTTTGATCGACATAGACTACCGATTCCGGACGATGAAGTGGTTTGGCGCCGCGTTCCTGAGAAGCGCACGGTGGACTTGACTGGGGCAGATGATGAGTCTACTTCTCGATCTGGAGCGCCTGGGGCTAAGCGTGCTCGAGTTGGGTTTGCGGCGGATCCGCAAGTTATCGATTTGGATGGATCACCGGATGCCTCTCGGCCTGCTGATGTGTCCGCACATATTCGGGCTTCTGTCCCCGTTCGACCTCGTGTTGGTTTTGCCGAGGATGTGCAGGCTCCGGAGGGCCCGTCGCCGATGCTGGGCGGCGAGAATAGGGAGAAACGAGTCTCCATCTTTGGGCCATAGTGTCTCGATATGCTGCATTTTAGCGATAGATCCATGATACCAATAATCTTGTTCATGCCAAATAATCCTGTACCTCGACGTCGTCTCCAGGCTGCAGGGCTGAACTTCGCCCGCTGCTATCAAATCCGATAACGCCGATAAGATAAGATCCAACCTTGGACCTCAACCCCTCATGAGGTCAATTCTTTCACTTCCAAGCACAACACCATGGCAAACAAAGCCGTCATAGTGGGCATATCAGGCCCCTCAAGCAGCGGCAAAACAACCCTTGCCCGGCTCCTCCAACGCATCTTCAACGGCACCACAACCCCAACCGCGCACTTAAACACCTTCATCATCCACGAAGACGACTTCTACTTCCCAGACGACAAAATCCCCTACACAACCACCGCCTCAGGGGAAACAATCCAAGACTGGGATACCGCAGCCGCAATCGACCTCCCATTCCTAAGCCAGGCACTGCAATACGTCCGCAAGAACGGGACTCTCCCACCCCGCCTCCGCAGCAAAGAAGACCAAAATGACCGGACGGACTCCGGTGTTCCCGAAGCGACAATCAGGGAACTAAGAAGTGTGGTTCAGAGCCGGATAAATGGAGTCGGGAGCATTGCGTTCCTAGAAGGGTTTTTGCTGTTTGCGCCGCCGCAGGAGGATCATGTACTTCGTTCTGTGCATGATGCTATTCAGCTTCGTGTTTTCTTGCCTGCGGCTTACGGGCTTGTTAAGGAAAGGAGGGAGGGGAGGAGTGGGTATGTGACTGTTGGGTCTGCGCCTGTGCAGGAGGGGGAGAGGGAGGTTGGGAAGGGAGGGGATGGGGAGATTGATTTGGAGGCCGAGGATGATAGGCCGCCGCAGAACTTTTGGGTGGATCCGCCTGGGTATGTGGATGATGTTGTTTGGCCGAGGTATGTGCGGGATCATTCTTGGTTGTTGGTTGGGGATGGGGATGGTGTGGAGGGTGAAGATGATGCTGAGCTTGTCAGGAGGGTTGGTGATGGGACGAGGGTCCGGACGGATGTTGGGATTGAGGTTGCCCCTGGGGCTGGGAGTGCTGAGATGGAAGATGTTCTTAGATGGGCTGTTGACTTGGTTCTGCGGTTCTATGTTGATGGTCGACAATGAGTTGTTTTGAGATGTACACGATTCTCATACGCCGAGGAGCGTTCTGTGAGAGTGGGCTCTGTGATACTCCCTAGGGCTAGCTAGACACAATCTCGATCTTTAGTCACAGCCAGTGGCTTGATATCAGTGAATTGATCATAACTTTTCCATTGTGCCTCTGTCATATCGATATGATATGATATTTGAATACTTAATCTGCATTTTTAGGGGCAATCCTTTCCCTCCGTTGCTGTTCCATTTCCCTGATGACCACTGATAAAGATAATCGATACTGCTTGTATGTCTCTGGTCTCACCCCTGAATGACTGGACCTCTCCATCCGAGAAAATAGTCAATGCGGTCCCTCAGTGGCATCGTATCATCGTCTTCGATGTCTTCGATTCCAGCCTGAAGAGGCTCAGTGTTAGGTTCCGACGCGATCATTAGTGGGTGAATGTCTTCCCGCGCCGATCCAGTATAAATGGGAGGTGTAGTGACGTCGCTGGTGGTGTCTGCGTGGGAATTATCGCAAACTCGAGGAAGAGGGTCTTCTCTGAGAGGGAAAGCCGAGTCAAATCCGACGTAGCCGCGACTGAGAATGATATAAGACCAATAAGCCGATGGGAGAGTGGCCAAGAACCAGCATGCGTAGAATAGGAATTTGGCCAATCTCCATGTCGCCTGTGACAGAACAGAAAAGGTGCTGCGCGGCTTGTCCGGCTCCTCTGACATGGTAACGGCGGGAAGAGGCTCTATGCTTGCCAGATCAACGCTAGACTCAGCAAGAAGTACTGCAGTCGAGCTCTGTACATCATCCTGTCGGGCAAACCTGTGCGGCGGGGCGATAAACGGTGATTTGCTCAGTCGCGCAATGTTCGGAACAGTCTGGGTCGGAGTGGGCTTCCATGGTCTCGCAAGAACATACCGCTCGCGGTCAACAAAGTCGAAGTTGTTGCGGAGCTTCATTTCAGCGTCATTCTCAAGTGTGTTCTTGATACAGGGCGTGATCAAAGCCTTTCCTCGGGGAACCCTGATTTCCCATTGCACGGCAAACATGTCCAATGCAGCAGGTGGACAGGTCATCTCGATGCGTGAGACCCCAATTTCTGCATCCGCAGGCGGATCTAACAGCAGATTGTAGAGAATGGGTCTTCCCGCGCTTTTGAAAGACTGTGTTTCGGTGAAATGACCACTCCATTTGCCGTCAGGACCCCCGTGCACGTACATGCGAAAGCTGCATTGCTCACTCCAGAATCGGTGGTTTATGAGACTCACAGAGCAAACGGCAGTGTACTCGATTGCATAACCCGATGAGTTCTGGAAGATTTCAGAATGGAGCACCGAGTTGATTCTATAATCGTTGATAAAGCCGTAGTGCTCAGCATTGCAGTTGCGAAGTGGAACCACGAGATTCTTGCCCGGTATGAATTGAGCCATCAAGCAGTTCTCGACCACAGTGTTCCGCTTGAACGGCAAAGTACCGAACTCCATTCCCCGACCAGGATTTGTACGAAAGTAAAGATATCCAGAATCGGAGGAGCCGAGCGTGGGCAGACCCCTCAGGTCCAACTCCCACCAATCCGGCGATTTGCCCTTTCTCAAGGTGATTTCGAGAGTGATATCAATTTGGTAAATCGTAGGGTGAATTCCAGGCGGTGTCCGGAAATAGACAATACCGTCTTCGAGGACGAGCTCGGGCTCCGGGGAGATGTCACTCTGGTTGGACGAATGTGGCAACACTGGAGACTTTGAGATTGCAGTGAAATCACGAGTACTTCCGTTGGGTTCGAATGACCGTGTTGAGCCTTCCTCTTGTCCCTCGCTGTCTTCCGTGCCAACTAGACTTCCATCACAAGCACGCAAAGATTCGGACTGATCATCTCCCATGGCAAGATTCTCCTCAGTGAGATGACTTTCAAAAGTAGTTTCATCCTCGACAGGCTTGACATTGTCGCAGTTTTCATTCTTACTGGGAGACGTATCCGGGCTGAGAACGGGGGTTTCGTAGTCGGGAAGGCTGTCGAGGGGTTCACTCCCGGTCTCGGTGGTGGGAGAGCATACTTCAGGACTCCGGTCTTTGAATCTCACGCTGGGGGCCGTAGCCAAGGGCCCAGAAGACCGAAGCTTCTCACAACACAATCCATCCGTTTCCAAGTCGATAAGCGGCGAGACGGGGAGAGGTATGGAGCTGGGAGTAGGTGTATCTATGGCACTTGGTGAGTCGCATAGTTGATACTCCGCGGAGTCCGTCTCTGTCATGGGTGCCTTGTGCCGGCTCACAGAATCCTCCTCGTCCGGATCGATCGAGTCAGGCAACGAAGCAATAGTGGCAGATCTCTTGCGGGACCTTGGTGGCATCATCCCGGTCACTCTTTCTGGTGAGTCGGCTTTGGTGTACATATGTAAGATACCGACAGTCGGATCAAAGAGAGTCGCGCGTGCTGATCTGCCATTTGTGTGAGACCGAGGGCTTTCTGTAGGGGCATACTGTGAATCAAGATCCTGAACGGCAACAACACTTCCGAATTCCGAGCCGTTGAGGCTATGGTTGTTTGGAAAACACCTGGCGTGACGCGGAAAATCGTCGGCGTTGGGCCCTGCCTTGTGGTGCTCGGGCGTTTGACTGGTTTTCTGGTAGACAAACTGTGATGGACCTTTGACGACATTGGAATAGTGCACGTTCAGAATGGGCAAGTTGAGATTTGGGAGTCCCCATACCTGACAAGGTGGTCAGTTCTGTTTGCTTGCAGCGATTATAGTTCACTTACGTCGATGTTGATAGTGACGCCCACGGGCTCATCTGGGTTGCCGTTCCAGTCGCAAAAGACATCGAGGTTGTTGAAGACATTCGAAGGGTTGAGTGACTCCATGGCTTCATGAGGAGAAGGGTGAACAAGGAAGAGGTCAAGCGAAGCAGAGAGATGAAAAAGAGGAACCTGGGAAGGTGAAGCTAAGATGAGACGAACTGCGGAAGGTGCCTAGTGCAGGACACGAGGAAGGAACGTTCAGAATATCGATATCGAGTGTAGCATTTCCTCCTCATACTTCGTCAATTAAAAAGAAAGAGCTGCAAAGCAACCTAGGGGCCAGTATGTACAAGAAGGGCTAAAGAATAGTCTTGACTTTTCTCCCCATAGAACCCTTTTATGTCCGCCAGCGCCTGTAACAATAAAACAATAAAACCCGACTTGAGCCACCCATAAGCATGAAGTATAAGAGAATCAATCACTCCACCCAGTCTATCCAGACAAAACTATAAAACGATAAGAAGCAAATTATTGGGGAGTTCCATTGGAGAAACCAGGATGATCATAGGCTGTTGGACCGGCCACAGAGCCAAAGCGATCTTCTTCTTTGACCATTTGAGACGGAAGGATAGGGGTGGTCGCCTGAGTTTGGTCGTAGTATCCACGTCCGTTATGGTAGTCACGATTTCGCTGCAACGGGGGCAGAACCGTCGAGCTAGCGGGCTGTCCGGACCGGTATCCTTGGGCCATCATCGCTCCAGTCGAATCCGGGGTCTGTTACGGGTCCAAAGTCCTTAGCTTCTACCTCTCACTGGTTCGCGGAGGGGTGTCGTACAGGTGTCCCAGGCTGGTTCATCGCCATCAGCTGTCCCACGGCGGCTTGTTGGCTAGTCCGGCTTTGACCGGAGGGATCGGGCATTTGGGATAACCCGGTGGGTTGGGGAATGCTTGGCTGGGGAATGCTCGAATACATCTGATCCACGTCAGTTCCGGGATCCTGGGGGCCGATGGATGGGCTACCAACCGAGTAGTCGGGCATCACTTGTCCTGCCGCGTAAGAGTGCATGGGTGGTTGGTAAGTTCCTGGCTGTCCGGGATAGAGAGTGGTGGTGGGCTGGCTATATGGCATTCGACTGTCCGCATCATAGATACCTTGCTGCCTACCATAGTCGATTGAGGTTCGGTGACGCTTGACCGGTGGTGGACCGTAGTACGAATAATCCCGGGTTGTTGGTGGATAGCCCCCATACCCCGTCGCTGGGGGAATCTGAACCGGTTGGCGTTCCGGAGACCGAGCAGGAACAGCTGCAGGGAATTCATCCGGCCGGGGAGCCGAGCGTTTCCTACACGGCGGTCAGCAACCGACTCTCGGGGTTGGGGATCTTGACACCTACATCATGGTCCGAGGCTCCTTGCGAATGCGCAGTTTGACACCTTGGTCTGCAAATGAGCGCGAAAGGAAAGTGGACTCCATCATTCCCGGGAAACTCTTGGGAGGAGATACTGGCAGCTTGTCAGAACTCGCGCTGCCCATCTGTCGGTGCAACCCTTACCTGTAAATCGTTCCGAGATTATGGTTTTCAAGTAGGAGACATTATCTCTGCACTCGTTAGCATCTGCCTCTGGACCAGGCTGTCTCCAGTGGGCGTCACTCACTTGCGCATTTCAAAGAGGGTGAACTTGAGCCGGAACTCGCCCTCCAGCTTTACTGAGAGGTCTCCGAAGACGAAGAATCCTCCATCTAACATCGCCCCGTCAGCTCACGAAGCCCCGGATCCTCCTAGAGAGCCACGACTCACCACTGTTGTCCACGTCTTTCAGCCGGTGAAGGGACGAAACCAGGGTTCCTGCTAATGCGGTCGACGGTGCGACAGGCACAGGACGCTCCTCTGTAGGGTCATAGAGACTGCAGCACAGGAAATAATACGGGCTTTGCAGATAGTGTCTGCACGAGTCAGTTGGGAGCTTCCCGCGCACGAGCGGATTGCAAGCTTACTGGGCCAGGTAGGTTCCCTCCTCGCGCACCCGAAGCTGAACGATCGGGGGCGGATCAATCGGCTTACGCTCTGTGAGTTGTTAGAGAGGACGCTCGGTCTCCCGCGCAGGTGGGCATACCTTTTTCCTTGCCCCCCGCCACGCGGGCCCTGTTGGGCTGCTGACGAATAGTCAGGTCAAAGTCCGAACTGGTGTTGTTCAACATTGTCAGTGGGCCCTGGTTTACGGCGTAAGAGTTGGCCAGACGCAGCGGGGAGACCGCAACTCACCTCTGAGCTTCGCGCGAGAGAGAGGCGTCTGAGAAAGTCGATGCACTCATCAAGACCGAGAGTCACGAGAGAGGCGGAAGCGGTGGAGAGAACCCAGTTTCAGTCAGGGTGTACCAGCGGGAAGAATCCTCGGACAGACAGAGACCAGAGGGTAGTGATCTGTGGTTTTACAGAGAAGAGAGAAGGGAAAGAACGGGTCGGGCAACGAAAGTGCTCTGTACCAGAAGATAAGGACAGGATACCTTGGACGAGTCACGATGTCGTCTGGAGGGGAAGCTGTAGTGGGGTAATGGATTTTTTTTTTCTTTCCGGAACCGATCTAAACCATGGACAAGGACAGACAGACAGAGAGTGTGAGTGAGTGGGAGAGTCGTGTTGTAGAGGGACGAAAACGGAGTGGTGTCGTCAGTTTGCAAGCGGCAAGAGCCAACCGAGCGCGGTTCCAGACAAAACCTTAAGCTGTTTCTGATCTCCGGCTCGTTTGGGGTTTTTTTCCCTTTTTTTTTGCTTTTTCTAGCGCAGCTCGGTCCTGGCTGATTTGCAGAAAAATGAAAAGATCAAGGTCTCTCTCTCGGGGAAATTTCATCAATTTCCAGCGGAAAATGCTAAAAAATCAATTGGATCACAGTCTTCCAATTCTTTCAGTCAACGACAAATCAGATTGCAGAGTTGACCGCACAATCAAAAAAATCATAAATCACTAACCTAATGGGACCCAATATGATTAATAAAAAAAAAATAATAATTCCTCGGGGGTTTTTCTTTCCAAAAGAGTTGGATATGCCACGGTGGTAATGTTGAATCCGTGGGCAGTGGTGGATCATAAGGACAAGTGTGACTCTTGACCGTTGAGAACCGAAGAAATGAAAAAAGAAAAAAAAAGGGAAGGGGAAAAAAGGAGCCAAAAAAAAGAAAAAAAAAAAGGCGGGATTGGGCAAAAAGTGGACAGGGTTCAGCTGCCCACGGTCGAGGCGATCCGGATACACTTTTACCAACCTGAGCTTCTCGCTCTTTGTCCCTTCAAGGTTGGATGGCGCCGGCTATGCAGGTGATCAGACCCGGTTTTTTTCTTGTCTGCCGCAAAGGTGCTGGTCTAAACGCCAGGTGGACTCGGGTCCTGGTCCGGCGTCTAAGCATTCCAGTCAAAAGTGGATTCGGATATGCACGATCCAAAGCCGCATCGCCTATCCCGAGCTGTCCGGGGTCTCCACAATATTCCCTACTGCACCATTAGCCGTGATTCAAAGGCTTTCAAGATTAGGAATGCTGGGAGCTCTCGGTATTCTGTCACGCGGCTATAACTGCCGCGCCTGACTGGAAACCATGGAACCGTGGGACGTCTTATGTCATCCCGAACAGAACCCGTGGGAAGCCCGTGCAAAAAGGGGGACTGACCTTTGTTTTGCTTTTCGCATCCGCAACTCACAAGGAGTCCAGGTCGATATGACGAGAAGATGATGCGAGATGAACAAAGCGTCACTCTCGCACAGGCGAATGATGCGCTTCGTCGACGGCGCTGCTCAAAAGGTCGAAATCCACGAGGCTCACGCGTGGCGAAGCCCGAAAGCGCAACCCGGGCACCTTAAGCCAAAACGATACACACATACCGGGCCATGATGGGAGGGAGTTGAGTCGAAGACGTGGGGAAAGAGTGTGTCGTTGGAAGTGGACAAGGAGGTTTTTTTAATCGGAACAACGCACCACTGCAAGGCCATCTTATGGATGACGTATCACATTATCCGGCCATGCAGGTCGAAATCCCGATCAAGCTACTGTGTGTTGACCATCGTTGCCGGCCTGTGCGCACGGAGCTCGATCAAGCTATGGGGCAGTTCATCCGAGCCCTAGATCGGGTCGCATCCCAGGGAAAAAGGAAACATTCAATAGAAAAAGGTCTTGGGGTGGGGCTTTGGCTGCACGGCGCAGATCGTTCGTCACAATTCACCGGGAGCTCTAGGACTACGTTGCGCACTCGACCCTCCTGCGGCTGACGTACTGTACTTTTAGTCTGGTCGGGGCTGAATGGTGCACCGGTGGACCCCGCGGTTGGGTCGACCTGGCGCCTTACCCACCGTCCATCCCGCCTCTCTTGGCATTGGCGAGTGCTCCAGCTCGCATGAGAGCCTAGGGCGAGGCGGGACTGTCGTATGAAAGAGTGCTGCAGGTACGGTTGATGACAGGCGCAGTCAGAGTGCAGTCAGACCCCATCTCCACTTGAACATGTTAGCAGCAGAGACGATCATATGCAAGGGTGAATCAATTTTGAGGCCACAAAAGTACTGATCAGTCGGCAGTCCTGACCCACACGAGGCAACTGCCAGAGTTCAGTGGGCCTAGGTGGCATTCTTACCGAAATCAAGGCGATTTGATGCTGCTGAAGTTAACTTCTCTGGGGGAAGAGTCCAAGAATTAAAAAATCAACCGCCCAATCAGGACTGGGTGAGAGGGGAAACGGAAAACCACAAATCAACGGGTTCGGGCATTTGTTTGCCGGTCCGGGTCTCAACAATGGCACTGGTCCAGTGCATGCATGGTCCGGACGATAGTTCCTGGGAATGCAGATGATAGGCCTGAAAAAGATCTTGGTTCCCCAAATGCACATCATCATGCGAAAAGCCCAAGCGCTGACCACGACCTGTCACTTTCTTTTGACTTCCGGGACCCGACTCCGACGCCAGGGCAGAATTTGTCAAGTCTTCGCCTGGGAAGGCTCAAGGCGGAGAACGCCATGTTCCCTGGTGGACCATGGCCATGGCCAGGTCGTGATTCAGCAAGGAACCCTGCTCTGGAATATTTGAATGGGATACATGATGCCCTTGGTAGGCAGGGGAAACCAGGGAGAGAGGACGAGAAGATTAGAGCGAAAGTCGGGGGAAAAAGGGAAAATTAAAAGTGGTCATAAAGAAGCGAAATTTCAGAGAAAAATTTCCCCAAAGTACAGCGCACTGAGAACCCACAACCCTGATACGAAAAACTGGTTAGTGTCGGGGGATTCGTTCTTCTTACTGGTTACAGTATGGTACAACACAAAAAAGGAAAGCTAAAAAAGGGGAGCAGGGTACCTAAGTGCTTGGGAAAGGGGACATTAGAGAAGACACGGGAAATCTTGGGTCTAGGAACTAAACGATCAAACGATCTGACAGCGGCACATCCAGTGCGAACCCACGGACGAAAGCTCCTAGGCGCTACTATGTTTATGCTTAAATGTCTGGTTCCGTGGTGGTTTGGGGTCCGTTCCATGGTTCCAAGGTCTCCTTGACAGCTGTCCGCAGATCGGGCTTGTCGATCGAAGTTGTTTATGCTCTTTTTTCTGCCCTGCATGGCATGATTTATGATCTCATATTCCCAGTTTTTGTTCCAATCCATCTGATCTATCCGATCCAACTTCACGAGTCTAGAACAAGCGTAACATTTCGTAAAGATAGCTACCCATACTCCGTACTACGGACATACCGCTACGTTCCGTACGCAACTCACCTTCCTAAAAAGGGTAAGCTAAAAATTGGAAATTCTCCGAATCCCAGCATTCGAGGTGGATCCCCCTTTCTTCATCAGGAGTACAGAGTACAGTACTGTATTGCAGTACACAGTATCAGCGTGTGTTGATTAGGACCTGTCTAAATCTCGGAGCTTGGCATGGGTCCTTGGTAAATAAAAAATATTGACGGGCGCAGATCAACCACGCTGTCGGGATGGGCGTTTTGACCCTTACATATACGGGTGCTCGGTCCATGCGAAACTTTGAGCCCTTGGTCGCATTGACCAATACCTTGTCTTCAAGGTTCAGGCACGTACGGAGTACTCCGTGCAAACAGGCCTGTCAATATGATATCTCGAGAGGCCTAGCGAATATATATATAGCAACGCGGTATCTAGCCATGGATCTGCGTCTGAGCGTTCCCAAGGTTCTTCCCGGAAATATGAGTTTCCAAGGTTTGTCTACATCGGCATAAAGGGTGCCACCTGGGTATCCATGGATGTTGTGCACCTGGGCAACTTGAAGCTTCCAACCTTGGAAGGTTCCAAAGGCTAGAAGCACAATTTAACCTTGGAAGTCTCCTACCTAAGTAGTAACTATCTGATACTCCACTTGGGTATACTAGGTACTAGGTAGTCGATCTGAAATTACCGAAGAAATCCGAGCAGTCAATGCATTAGAATAAGATTGGCAATGTCACAATGTACTCATTCGTCGCAACTAGATAAAAGAACCCCCCCTGGATGAAGGGGAGAATCCACAAACGCCTAACACCACCGTTCCTACTCCTTGCTGGATGACATCTTGAAAATAGCTAGTCAGTAGGCAAACAAGGAAAGGACGAACGAGTACTGCGGAACGCGTAAGCTCGCCATCCTCCAAAGACCCTAGCATGGTCTTCGAATGGAAAGATAAAATCAGAGGAGTATTATATCAAACAGTTGGAGAATGCAGTCTCTCAAAAGTGAGATAGAAAACAGAAAACAAACGAGGAAATTTCGTTACAACGCCCTGTCCACATGCGTAAATGACTTTGCAGGCAAAAAAGAAGAAAATGAAATCATTTGCGCCTCGTGAAGCCCCGCGGGGAGGTCGTCATGTTTGCATCGCGACATCCCCGTCAACTTCGTACTCGGCGTCATATTCAGCGTCGGCGTCGGCATCAGCATCGGCATCCTCATCTGCGCCAATGCCATTCGTTGCTGGAATCTCTTTTGCGCCGTTGCCTGGTGACTTGGAGGCAGAGCCCGGCTCGGCGGGGATCACAACTTGAACTTTTTCGACCAAGGCTTTGCGATTGACCGACCGAGGAGTTCTGGCGTTCTCGCTGGTACGACGGGAGAGTGCCGTATCCGGAGATCGCGAAGGCTTCTTTATTTTTTTCTCGGGGGTTTTGGGTGGCGCCTCAGGTTCGGAGGGCTCCACATAAACATTGGCCGACTCATCGCCATTAGTCTCAACTGGTTTGTCTGTGACGCTGTTGCTGCTTGTGGCCTTTGGCTCTTTTCCGTTCAAGCCCAAGGCTTCACCAAGAGCAGGGCTGGCGTCATTGACCGGTTCGTCAATCACTGCCTCTTCTTCGACACCTTCGTCTTGTTTTAATTCGATCCCGTTGGCCAGGGAGGGTATCACCTCAGCCGCAGGTGATTCAGTGAGAATGGAGCTCCGTCCCCGACGAACACTGCCGCCAGGAGTGAGCGTTGCCAAAGCGGAGGGTCGTCGAGGGGTGCCACGACCACTTTGGCGGGAGATAGTGGGGGTGATTGACGCGTTGTTGAATTTGAAGCTGCCGGATGGTCGGCCGGGTTTGCGCTTAGGAGGCGCCGCGGTGGGTACAGGGGGCCAAAGTTCAAACCGAGAGGGAGGAATACCCGCTGCGGGGTTGGGCACAGTGAGAGGTTCGGAGTTGTCTGTCGTAGAGTGGTGAGAGCCATTGGGCTGGAGGGCTGTAGTGGAAGGCGGGCCGGCAGAGTCCGCAAAGGAATCTGCGCCTGCCCCATTGAGTGCTATGGTATTAGCCTCGTCCAAAGTCGCCTTTCCTCCCAACTCATCATCGTCCTCTTCGTCAGGATCATCACGAGGAGCGACGGCATGGAGGGGAGCCCGATCAAAGTGGGTTTGATTGCTGCGACCCATGATGTAAGGCGTCCAAAGAAGTGCATCTGGGTTGAGCTGAACATAGCCCTTGCTTTCCCAGCCACTGATGACCTCCTCGTAGTACTTGTGATCGAGACGAATGGCGTAGGTCTTGGTGATAGGATCCCGAACCAGCGCTCGAAGTCCCTCTAGGGCAGAGACAACATCATCTGCTGTCATTCCAGTTCGATCGGAGATATCTGCGATGCTGATCACGCCAGTCAGGTCACGGAGTTGGTAAGACAAGATCAGTCGCCAGTAGTTCCGATATGACACCAAACCCATGTCCGATAATGGCTTCTCAGGCGAGCCATTTTTGCCTTCGATGCGGGTGAGAAGATATGAAAAGTCGATAAGGAGGTTTCCGTAGCCTTTGCGCTGATGAATGGGGAGAGTGAGGATACATGAGACATTGTTCGCCGAGCTTGGCCGTTTTTCTTTGCTGAAGTAACCGACAAAATGGCAGCCCAAATCATCGAATTCAGTCATGACGTAGAAAAGGAAGGGCTCGACATCGTAGTAAAGAGTTTTGGAGCCAAGGAAAAGCTTCGCAAGGAGGCAGAGGTTCTGACAGTAAACCGGGTTTTTTCGTCCATCAACCTCAAAGATCGAAATCGATTTATCACGGTAGATTTCGTCACCCGGAGGATGTTTGGCAGGGCACTTGAGTTTGTGACGCCAGGCGACATAGTCCGAATTCATGTACTTGAGGCAGAATTCACAAATGTACAAAACTCGGTTGCGACTGTATTCCTCCGGGTAGGGCGCGGCGTACCAGGTCTCGATCTCATAGCCGCCGAAATTGATTGATTTGATCTTCGAGGGTGGGCCTGAGACTTTTTGCGATGCATGTGGAGTGGCCTCGCCGTTGAGCTCCGATTCTCTTACCTTCTGCTGCCACTCCTCTTCGGCCTTCAGGCGAGCCTGCTCAAACCGGTCACGGTCAAATTGAGTTGGGAGTGTCTTAGACGTGTCTTGTTCGGCCTCTGAAAGTATGCCTCCATATGGCTTGGATTTGGGATCATCGGTCTCACGGTCGAATAGAGTGATGGAGTTGTAAGATACAGGGGGAAGGGGGACGAAATGTGCCTGAGGCTCTTGCGCCACGGGTGGAGGTTTGGGCGCTTTCTTTTTCTTGCGCTGAGGCCGAATCTGTGCACCTGTGATCTTGGACATTTTGCTTTCATCGAGCCGGAATCCAAGGATCAATTTCCCAGGCTGCTGAGCTACCACGCGGCAGTGGTCTCGGTCAACAGCCCGAGTGCGTCGGACGCGTACCGAGCGTGTCCGAGCAGGCGAGATAGCATCGCCAGCAACAGTTCCGCCCTCGAGGGCCGCGTCGCTTAGATCTGGGTGCCCAGAATGGAAAGAAGTCCGCCGGAGTCGCTTGCGGAGAGTGGGTACGTGTTCTTCAGCCTCAATGGAAGAAGCCTTACGCTTTCGGAGCGATCGAGAACTGTTGAGCATCTCGTCATTGACACCAGTGTCAAAGATGGTATGAAAGGGTTTATCGCGCGAGCCAGTGTGTGCAGGCAGCAGTTCTTTGGGAAGATTTGGCACTTCACTCTGAGTTTCTGCCACGGGCTCTATGGGATCAGGTTGCAGGTTGTTGCTGATACAACTAAGACAGCGCCACGGATCTGGACATCGGGGTGTTAGTTGAATTCTGTCACTGAAGACACATATTGAAACACAGAGGTTTGTTTACGTACCCTCGGAATCATTGAAAGCTTCTTGCTCACGCGCGCATTGCCGATGGGCTGTTGATATGTCAAGTCAGCAAATCTCAACGCCAATACAGAGGGAAAGAGCTTCTTGTGCTCGCCCGTGGAAAAAATTCACGTACAGTGATCACCACAAACTAGGCAGGTGAGCCACTCCTCAAAATCTTCACTTGGGTCATGCTCCTCATCTTGGGTGCAAAATCTGGTTTCCTGCGGTCAGCTCTGCCAACTTTCACTTCACCCTTGGTTCCACCTGGAGCTCTCAAACTCACAAACAGTTCGCGCGACTCCGGATATCAGCCTCGGCGTCCTCACGACCGTTACTCTCCGCCTCCCAGTCTTCTGCTTCTGACTCATGGTCCGTTGAGTCGACATCCGAAGCATCACGTTTATTTTGTTGGAATACCGGGTCGGCATCGCCAGCCTCAGATTCCGCATACTCTTCATCCGAGGCTGCCTCCCCGTCGGGGAGCTTCACTGCCCCAACAGGCTCCGCATAATCGTTGTAGCCAGGCTCGGCGTCGCCGTCTTCATTCAAGGCACGGCTGCGCGATGTGTCCCCATTCGCAGCATCGTCCAGGCCATCGCCGTCGGCTTCGCCAGTGTATGCTCGGTGAACAGCATTCTGCAGCTGCTGGTCCATCGCATACAAGTCGGTTTCCTCCTCTCCCTCCGCATCAAGATCACTGTCGGCCGGATCTACAGGCGGGTCGAATTTGCCCGGCTCATCGTTTGCTGGCGGCACCGTCGCCGCCATGGTGAAAGTTGCCGCCACCGCCAGATTGAGCGTAGTAGAGCCCTGGGTATGCGCCTTAGCCAGCCCGGCCGTCTATTGCGTGAAGGAAACTAGATTCGATCCGATTATAGAAGCACCCCGCTGACGTCGGCGCTGATCCGGGGGTGCATCTGGATCAAAGGCGGGTTGGGACGTAGGGAGAGGCCAAGCCTAAGATTATTCTCAGCACGGATGTAGTTTGGCAGTGATCCTGCAAGTCGCTTGGCGCGAAATAGAAGCTAGACAAACAAGAGTCAGTTCGCCGCTGGGTGGCTCGAGCCATCGCAAACGCGTGTCGCAAAACAGAGGAAACTCACCCCAAGGAAAACCAGCAGAAATCTTGATTCAAAAGCGTACCAGGCGCGTCGAAGGACAGTCCACACACCAAGTTCTGTCTCTTTTACAATCGAATGCGATCCGCAGCGGCCTTAACGCCCCTTGTCCTGTGAGTGTCGTTGCAGCGGTGCTGCGCTGAGTCAGCACTTGGGCTAAACCACTTCGGGCGAACGAGACCTCAAGCCCGTCGCTGAGCGAAGAGACACTCCCCTCCACCCTCTCCGCCATATACCCACTCTTCTCGATCCGTGAGAGGCTTCACGGCTCTTGATTCCACTCCTACGACCTTTTCCGATCACATAAATACCCATTCCGTCGCACACAATGGGTGTTCCCTTCGAGGCCCTGCTCCCTTATGGGATTATCATCACCGTACGTGCCATTGGTCAATCCACCCCGGGGCTACAGCTCACCAACTGCTTTAGATGTTTGGCGTGAGTGGCTACGGCCTTCACTACGTCAAGCGCTTTGCCAACGACGGCAAGAAGGCGCGCTGGAACCGTGACCTCTGGGACAGAGTAAGTTGGTTCATTCCTTGTCGGCTGCGGTCGGAACTTGTACAGACCATGTTTACTAACTCTTTCACAGCAAAGTGAGTTCAAACCGATATTTCCGCCGATTGAAATGTACCCAAGAAGCACAAGACTAACCACTGCGCACCCCGATAGTGATGGAGAGAGATCAGCGTATCACAGGCTCATTCCGCGGGCAGTCCAGCAATCACCAAGCGCCCACTGGATTCGACGTCAGCAACCCATGGAAGGTAGGCATACAATCTCCCAGCAATTTCTACCACGGTGCTGACCCAAGAACAGATCGAGAGCCGGATCTACTAGATTCAAAAATTGCAACCCCATTTCCTTTACGTTCAACGTTTGCGCCTTTCCTGGTCTGTGATCAAATATCCACTGCAGTCTCACTAGAAATGCTGTATCATATCCTGCTTTCCGTCTCCGGTTTCTATTGTAGTTCTTCCCGTTGATCTCAAATGATCTCCGAGGTCATGCCTTGAATTCCTTGGATTTCATCCTCGTGGAAGTGCATGTCAAAGTACTTCGCCAATGCTGCGACGCGATCCCCTTCCGACTGCAAAGTCTCCAGGACCTCGGTCTGCCCACGTATTCTCCGTTTGACCTCGCGTCCCGCCATCACACACTGGCCCTTGACCTCCGATCCATCTAGGCTCAGGAGCATCCGCGTGCAGATCACAGTTTTGATAAACATGCTAGTTCGGCTTTGGCTGACGGAGAAGTTCATGACCTCGAAATCCTGCGGCAGGAACTCGATGTCGGAAAAGCAGAACTGGGGCAGCCAGGCGCTATCGGGGTTGTATCTCACTTGATAAATCCAAACTTTCTGGCTTGGATTCTCGAACTCGGCGATACTCTCCTTGACCAACCGCATCTCGGAGGGCGCGATGAACGCAGCAGTAGCAAACTCTTGTAGCGGCAGCGGAGAAGTGGCACAGTTGTTTCCAAAGCCGACGTCAGCCTTTGTCGTTAGTAAAATCTTATGTGGTAGTGAATTTTTAGCAGCACTCACCATATACTTCTCGCCTTGGATGCATACGATCAAGACCATATGATTACTTTCGTGAGACAAAAGTCAGTACTGCATCCCTCGCCAGTTCTGAGCCGAGAACTTACAATGCCAGGTAAAGCCCATCGTCCACACCTTTGACTGCTGCATGACTGACTCTGCCCGCTGTGGGGTAGACGGTATACCCCAGCGATCGCAAGACAATCAGAAACATGCCAGTGCTTTCCATGCAGTACCCATCATGCCGCCGGCTTACCATCTTCTCAAACATCCATTTCGGGTTGAGAGAGTTGGTATGGTGCTGCGAATAATGCAATGCTGAGTTGCCCCAAGGAATAGCAGCGATATGACGCCTTTGGAGTTCACCTAGTGTGCCAAGAGCATCTTGGTCGATGTTCTGACGAAGATTTTGGAGACGGCCTCCAGAGGTTGAGTATCCGATGCGCTCCAGATACAATTCCAATTGCTGTTCGCTGTATGTTGGCCTCGAAGTCATCTTTCGGAATGGTATATACGCCGATGGGATATGACTCTTCAAAATCTTGTTCTGGTTGGAACTGAGCTCCCGGTATTTTGATTCCCCCTCGCGGGGCGGTCCCTTGATGACCAATAGCCCAGCCCCGGGGTCCAGGGCCCTCCAGGGCTAGGGTACTATATGTATACAGTGTGAATTCTACGGGGCTATGAAGAATAGACGTCTCCTAAATTAGATACTCCATCACGAGTAGAGCACACAATGGAGCATGTCGGGCCTTTGACGAAAATCTGAAAAACATCCTCGGTTATCACCGCAGGCCAGGCTCTCGTCGGATAATAGGAACATGAACAAATGATTGTGCTCGAGCCACACATACAATGCTATATAGAGACATCTGCAGAGTATTTCCAAGATTGTTTAGATGGACATGCGGTGATAGAATGTAGATTAAGTTGTAACGATAAATATGCATATGATGTATTCGTTCCGATGTCCGGACCTACGGCACATGTGCTTCGATCAGCACTAGGACTGCGGAGTTAAATCCGTTCTTCTCTTTGACTCGTTCTTCATAGATCCCACTATCTTGTCTTCTCTCTACACTTCTACAACAATGACTTCATTGAATGAACAGCTTGTGACCTTGGTCGAGAACTATTCCCCTTGCGATGTTCGTTGGCTCTCTAATACATCTGTCTCAAAACGTTATACACCTAATCACACGACGTATAGGTATCAGATGCTTTGATTAAACTACAGAAGCCATCAGACGGCGAGGTCCCGCGAGCAGGCTTTTTGGCTGATCTGGGTATGCAGTATTCCGAGGCTAGCAACACAGCCGATAGAACAAGACCTCGGAGGCCAGCCCTAGCAAATCACTCGATTTGAGCTAACATAGACTCAACAGTCCCATTTTCACCCATCACAGGGCGCAACGAAACGACACCAAGGATTGCAGCCCCAGCAACAACGTTCAAATTCCTACCCAAGGATGCTAGCCCACCATCTATCGCAACAGAAAATCCCCAGAGGCACGGGTTCCCGCCAGGAAAGCATTGGGTAGACCATGTCGGCGAGTATGCGGCCTCTGATTCGTCCGGCGTGGGATCGATCGTGGTCATTGAGCAGCCTGAAGGTCAGTACTGCGCTGTGACGGGTGGCATTATGGCGACTCGGATGAAGGCCGTGGGGATCAAGGCCACAGTTGTCGGTGGCCGGGTCAGGGATCTAAGAGAGCTCAAAGCGACTGGACTCCCGGTTTGTCTCGATTTCTCCCATTGTCAGCATCGTTACTGACAAACATATCCGCGGGTATAGATCTGGGCTCGAGCTAGCTCCACTGTTGGAACTAATGCCGAGGCTAAAGCGGGTGCTCGCGATGTGCCAATTTCGATTGGTGGTGTCACTGTCTCTCCGGTAAGCTATAGGATAGATAAACTCCTTATGGGCCTTGATAACCAACTGCCATGGCCTAGGGTGACATTGTCTTTTGTGATCCATTAGAAGGGGTGGTCGCGATTCCTCGTGAGCTCCTCGGTCAAGTACTTGAGCTCATGCCTAAGTTGACTGCCATGGACGACCAGGCAAAAGAGGCTGTTGCGAATGGGATGAGTGTCACTGATGCTTTTAAGAAGTTTCGCTCATAGTTCCCTTCAACACAGTTGACGAGGGAGTTGACCTAACTAAGAGAAAATATCGAAGCTCCCGAGGCCTGCGACAACTCGTCCTATATCGAGCAGGAAGTGTGTATCAATGTAGGAACATCCAATTTTGTGATATTCAAAGTATTCAATACATGACAGAGAATATGTGTGTATCCAAATGAAATAACAGGTCAAAAATCGCTTCTCAAAAAGTAATACAAAAGTGAATATCGTCTATTCGGAGACCCAGACAGCGGCCATACCCATACCGGTACCGACACACATGCTAGTAACACCGATCTTCTTGTTGGTGCGCTTCAGCTCAGTAAGCAAGGTGCTGACCTGGCGAGAGCCAGTGCAACCAAGAGGGTGACCGAAAGCAATAGCACCGCCCTTGGGGTTGATCTTCTCAGCAGGAATGCCAAGCTCATTGGCACACCAGACGCACTGGGAGGCGAAAGCCTCGTTGATCTCGTAGATATCAACATCATCCTTGGTGATGCCGGCCTTCTCCAAGGCAACGGGGATAGCCTTCCAAGGACCAACTCCCATGAGGAGGGGCTTGACACCGACAATGCTGGCAGCAACGTACTTTCCAATAATCTTCTGGCCAAGACGCTCGGCAGTGGATCGCTTCATGAGCAGGACGGCGGCAGCACCGTCGGAGATCTGAGAGGCGTTACCGGCGTGGATGGAGCCATCCTTAGCGAAGGCAGGCTTGATCTTGCCAAGTGACTCGGCGGTGATGCCCTCGCGGACACCATCGTCAGCCTTAACGGTGATGGTCTTCTCCTCGCCGGTCTTGGGGTCAGTCCACTTCACGTCCAGAGGGGCGATCTCCTCGTTGAAGAGACCGGCCTTCTGGGCGGCAACAGCCTTCTGGTATGAGTTGGCAGCGAATGAGTCCTGTGCAGCGCGAGTGACCCCACGGTCTTTGGCCATGTTCTCGGACAAGACACCCATAGGGACCTTGCAGTTGGCAGATTCGGGGTGGCTTTCGAGGAGGTCGGAGAACTCAGTCACGGCACCGGGTCTATGATATAAATTGTTAGATGAGTACTAGATGGGATTTCGATTTGAAAACATACCCATATTGAGAGGACATGCTCTCCACACCAGCTCCGATTCCGACCTCGATCATGCCGGACTGAATACCGTTGGCAATATCAGCGATGGCTTGGAGACCGCTGGAGCACTGGCGGTTCAGACTCTTGACGGCGGTGGTCTCGGGGAATCCAGCCACGAGAGCAGCAGCACGGAACTCGGTAGCACCACCACCGGGGGCAAGGACGGAGCCAACGGCGATATCCTCGACGGCCTTGGGGTCAAGACCACTCTTGTTCAGGACAGCCTTGAAGACACCGGCAAGCAAATCAGCCGCAGCGGTATCCTTGAATCCACCCTTACCACCCTTGGTGAGGGCAGTACGCAGAGCACATGTCACGACAATATCATCGGGGTGTTTCTCGGTAAGAGCGGCAGCTCCCTTCTTGCCTCCAGGGCCGAAGTGGGAGGAAACCTGGTTCAGACGTTGTTGAGCTGAAAACTGTGTTAGCCTACTGTCTCCGGGAAGCCCGCGGCAAGGGAAATAGCTGTCTAGAAACAGCAACCTTGAAAGGCATACACTTACCGTTAGACATGACGTCAAGGTATTATAGGAGTATGGGGGTGGTTTGGGGAGGTTCGGGGGGTTAAGAAGTATAAGGAAGCCAGTCAGAATATCCGGGGAGGTGATCTCTTATAGATCAGGCGGGTAACCGGTGATACTTCCCCTTTCAACGACCGTTGCTGGCCGCTGGTGGCATTCGAAAGTACCGAGGTCCACCGTATCATTGATAATCCGAGCCCGGGTCACGGGATCCCTCCCAATGTTCTGCGGCGTCGGCATGTGAAAAGCGTCCCCGGACTTGCACATGTCGATGGACGTCATGCATCGGGAATGTGATTCTCTGCTCATTTTTGTCTCGGTCTGCTGTGAGGCCGAGTATCTACCAACGACGGTTTGTTTTTGTACCTATCGTCCCAAACGCGGCGGTTCACCGTCTCCCGCTGAAGACGATCTACAATCCGGGGTACTACGTACACAACCTCAATAAACACAAACCTGATTTTCAAGATACTACCTAACTACTTAGTGTAGGAGCCTTGATCATGGCTCTCTAGCACGCGATATTATAGACAACGAGGGACCATCTCCAGTGGGACTTTCTGCTGAGTCCTTCACCGTTGTCGCATGCGGGATACGAGTTGTATCGAGTTCCGGGTGAAAAGCAAGATGTAGCTGCTCTTGAGACTCTGAAGTCACAGGACTTCTCAATGGTATACTGTAATCACTCAGCCTCGGCCATGTGGCTTCGATATTATTTCTCTTCTTCCAAGGCTTCTTTTGCGGCGGAGAATCCGAAAATTCATGGGACAGTGTACTAGAAGTAGCCGCACTGAGACCGAGAGCAATTTGCATCTTTCGAGAGAGCTGTGAATCCATGAACATCTTCGAAAGGCAAGGCATACTGAAAATGAAAAAGCCGCAAGTCATCTCAGCACAAGCCCAGAAAATGAGTGGACCGATGAGAGACATGTTGTCGGCTTCCTTGGCAAAGATGACTGTATGAGCTAGGCGGAGGCACGCTGCAAGCACGGTACTATGACAGAGTAAACATTAGCATGTTGGATGAGGAAAGGCGAAAACTTGACTGACAGGACACCAGCCCCGAAAATGACTGAAATTCCCAGCTTCTTCCGACAAGTCATCTGTAGACTCCAGATAATTCTTTGGGGCAAGAGAAACATGGCAAAATCTGAGATCACCTGGACACTTGCCGAGATAAGCATCACCTTGGGAAGAGAGTAGCATTTGCTAGGCAAATAGAAGTTCCAGATGGCCTCGTGTGGGCGACATTGCATATTCAACAAGATGATACAAGCAATTCCCCAAGCACACTGGATGAAACTGACCAAGAGGCATCCCCACCAAAAGAAGCTTTTGGAACGGTCGATGGAGATAAAAATTTTACCCCAGTCCAGTAGAATAGCGGTCTTGATCAGAGGCAGCACCGCAGAGTAGCCACAGCTATACACCAGGATCAACTGGGAGGATGAGCAATGATTCAATGACGTGTTCTTGAATTTGACCTACATATAGAGGCCTAATCAGATCTTCATTATGGAGATCCCAAGTTGAAACCCCATATCCCGGGGTATGAATTAAAGAATATGCGGCATAGGCCGTGCCCCAGTAGGCTCCCTGCAGTATATCAGTCGGAATGACGCTAAGGCGAAAAATAGAACTGTGGGGGGAAAGGGGCGTAGAGCGTACATATGCACAGATCATCATCACTATATGAAGAAAAGGCTTGTTAATCGAGTCCATGGAATGCACGTATATTCGTTGATTGATCAGGCCAACGTACCTTCTTCCACCCGCAGCCTCTTGTCCAGCCATATCTTCACATAGGCTCGTAGAAAGAGGCATAATGTCGCCACCACCATACAGATGGTGTTCACAAACCAAGCAAGAGTATTATGATTGGGAGGATTATCAAAATTTGGTGTGACGCCAGCCGGTGGTGGAAGTGCTGGAGCAGCCAAAAATTTGGCCAAGGCTTCCTCTGAAGACATTTTGAACGCCAATTGTAAGTTTATAGCGACTCATGTTCCATTTAATCAAGGGCAGAGGACTTCAGCGGGCCGTAATCGGAATAGGAGCCATAGTTTTGGGTACAAGTCAGACTTGCGATCACTCATATACTAAAGTGAGGCATCGAGTGTCTATGACAGGTCGGCCATCGTCCGCGGATCCTCTTCGGGAATACATGTACGGCATACGGAGTACGTACAGGCCAATTTGTGCTTACACTGCAAGCCGCGTGGGCACTGTTATCTGGAGCGAAATCGGTGTGTCCGAGAGTATCTTGAAACGATGTGAACTGGATCATACAGTAGATCGATAGTTATTCCCTGAGTCGTTGGTTCAAGTGTTATTCGTGCAGATTAATCACACTCTCAGGGTATTGAAATTTATCGAATAAGACCAGAATGTGTCACAATAAATTCTCGTCCTTTTACTACAAAATTGAACTCAAATAGATCTTCGCCAAAGTGATATGTCTTCTCGTGCAAGGGTCATAGCAAGAGATCATAGCGTCTTAGATCCTCACACTTCTTCACGCCTGATGGCCCGTGTTCAAAACCCCACAGCCACTTGGATGCTTTGATAGGTCTATTTCCCCGTTAAACATCAGAAATCACATGAAATGCGAAAATGCGGGATCGACTTTTGACACGTCTGCTGTCAAACGAGGCCAAGACGTTAGACTAACAGCCCGCCGACGGGACGTTTCAGGCCCCCGGGGCCGTCACTGGGGCTACAAGCACAGAGTGCTACTACACTGGTACATTACAGTGAGAAGGAGTGGAGTTTGTTTTGATTTCCCACGAAATGCTGCATTTCCACTCTGTGTGATGCCCTTATAGTAACCAAATAGCCACCATGTCGGCATTGCATACCTCACCAAGTGCATAAATCCGGTATTGACCCTCGAAGCTCTTATCTAGATCCCCTCGAAGTCATTTGTAGTCGAGACCAAGCAGCCTCAACATCATGTGGAACATCCACATGAGGAATAAACCCTCGGCCCCTGGGTCCGTAGCCCTCACCATCATCTCTCAACCTAGGAATCTCGCCCATGATCAGCTCCAAAAACCGAGTCTGCGACCACAATTGCGACTCCCCAGCCCAGTCCGAGTATCCAAGCTCTCCATTTTGCGACATCTGCACAAGCGGTACAAAAGTCGGACAACTGACGATCGAAACCGACACGCCCTCATAAGCCTTCTCGAACGAGGCTTTAGTGCGAAGCATCATAGTAGGATCTTGAATCACAAGACACGTAGCTGGCAGGAAACTAGCATTATCAAGGACCCCACGGCAAAAGGAAGCATTCTGACCACAATTGGTAGATTTGGATTCAACCAAGATCCGACATCCATCGCGCGTGATCAAAGAGCGATCATAGAATTCGTCCAGAATCCGCTCGAGGACTTCAGCTTCGGAGAGACCGTGTACTTGGTCTGCGATTCGGGAAAATTTCGGATGCGCTTTCACGGCATCGTAGAGCAGCTCCGTAGAATGTCCAATGCCTCCGCAGAGTACGAGGACTTTGGTCAAAGATGGATTCTGTTGGAGGGTTTGGAAGAGGACTTCGGCGCTGTGGAGAACGGCTGATGCACATATCACGATACAGTCAACTGGTGAGGCGGAGAGATCTTGTTGATTGTCGCTGAGGAACACAGATAGAGTATTGATGTCTGCGACTGTTTGGGGGGTTGCCATTCTGCAATGTCGGGTTGAGCGGTGGTGGGGAGTGGGAAATCGTAGGCCAAAACGCTGAGACGAATCGGTGAACTAGAGTCAGCGTGGCGGTGCTCCAGAGGTCTTCTGGTGGGTTCGACTATGCTTGAAAAGTGACTTTGATATCAGATAATTCAATATTCATACTTTCATGGAGGTGCATTGACATCTACCTGCACAGCTCTCGGAACGTCCGGTGGAACCGGCATCACTGCCTAAAGAGGCTATGGCCACAAGGGGACTCCGGAACCACCTGGGCACCACATTATATTACGCAGAGGGAGACACACTGAAAAGCGAAAACCAGTGACGATTCATTTAATTCTCATAGCTGTTCATAATTTGTCATGAAAAGGTCCTGTCGGAATAACAGGCGTCGCTGTACCAGGGAGAGACAGGAAAAACCGTAGTCTCTCCGCCGCCTGTGCCAATATGTGGCTTCATTACATCAAGTCCGCAGGGATTCTCTGGACAAGGAAATGCGATTGCAAGCAAATAACACCAAGAATGCCAGCGCCAAGAACAGGCCATAAACTCCAAAGGTCAAAAAATCAAAAAATACCAACAAAAAGATTGCGGGCTGCTTCTGGTTCAGCCAAAACGCCGTGTCATGAGTGGAAGCCAAAAGAACGGAGAGGGAAAAAAAGACAGGAGTAGAATAGAAGATTCGTAAGATCGAGCCCGGGGGTTGCGCGCCAGGGTCTCAAAGCCAGCTGCGCAGGTCGCTGGACGGGGTCGTTGGACCTGGAGCTGGGCGGTTTTCAAAGTCCAGAGCCAGTTCCAGCTTAGGGGGGCGCTCATCAATGAGCCCCTTCCTTGGGCTGCCGGGGGTGGCCTTCTTGAGGGATTTGGTGGGGGAGCCAGCCTCGCCAACACGGGGTGGTCCCTCGCGCACGAACGTGTATGGCCAGCCATCGGCGGCGGCGGCGGCGACCCAGGTTCGCAAACAGTCGTGCACGGAGGCGTAGAACTTCTCCTTGCAAGTGCGCAGACTACCGCCCATGACCTTTTCAAAGCCGGAAGCTCGGAGCTCATCGCGGAGCTGGTTGCGCTCGTCTGGAGTGGGGAGCATAGCAATGAGGGCATTCATAAGATCAAGGTGCGCAGCAAGGTAGTTGGTTGCATCCCATTCAACGCCGCCGACGTATGGAGCGGCGGGGACGGGAGGACGAGGGGGAGGGAAGTGGCGCTCACTGTACGGGCGAGTGTCCACAGGGGCCGCCTCGCCAAAGACGTCCTCGGCCTTGGGGAGAGGAATGACATTGAGATGGTGGAGGAAGATCCAGAAAACTTCCTTCGTCACATTCGTTACTTCTTTGCACCAAACCCGATAAGGTCGTGATTGGTAGATGTTGGCAATGAAGGACAAAGGCTGATTGTCAGCCGCAGGTGTGGGATCCTTCAGATACGAGAGAATTTGTCTGGCACGCTTGGTGGCCTGCTCGCCGGCGGGGGCGTTGGAAAGCTGCGTGAACAAGAGGTTTGCGATGATCCCCCGAGTAGTAAACTCGCTAGGACCTTTCTTCTCCTCGTCGAAGACCATTTTGAGCAGAGCAGGGAAAAGCTCACCCTCGATGGCAGAGAGATGGGCCAAGGCCACAGATGTAGTGCAAAGCGCCTTCAGACAGAGCAACGCCTCGTGTAGGAGAGTATCCTCATGGTCCTCGCTAGTAAACTTGTCAGTAACAATTCAATGTAGGTCAGAAAAAGCACATACCGCCAAATCATCTTCATGATACGGTAGAGAAGCTGGACGATCTCGTCCATGCCTCCCTCGGTGATGAAGTCGTTCACCCACTGAACTGTCTCGTTGCGCAGCAGAAGACGGAGCTTGTGCATCTTTCCTACCTCGACCATTTCTGGCTTCTGGATTTCTCTCAAATAATGCACGAAGTCGGAAGGATCCGCGGCAGTATCAACCGCAGCTGCTTCAGCCAGAGACCCCGTGGAGGCGTTGGCAGAAAGCGTGGTGTAGACGCCTACAGGCTGGGAGAGATCAACAGATCGCGGGCGACGGTTTGATGCCTCACTGTCCCGGCGCAATTTCTTGCCAGGCGACGAAGGACCCTTGGAAAGGTTAAAGCCACGGGTGCGTGAGCGTGATCGAGACCCTTTGCGATCCTGAGGTTCAGCGTCTTCCTTGGCTTCTTTACCGCGTCCTCTCCGGCTATCACCAGTCCCTGAACTGACAGGCGTCATGTTCTCGGTGCGGTCTTTCTGAATGAAATCAGCCTTGATGTTTGTGTCAAGAGAGCGCATCTTGTCTCTCATGTTGTGAGGAATATTTCTCGCATCCTAGACATAGGTTAACGACTGAGCGGAGTGAAATGTAGAGTAAGATCAACAAACCAGCAACTTCTCGAATTCACTTTCAAGATCCTTGGAGTTCAAGTGCTGGTGCACATCTGCATCTCTTTCCTTGGCATTAAACACCGAGATGGCAGCTTGTACACGGGAGAGTCGCTTTGGGGGCTCGTCTTGTGTCACTGTAGGAGCCGTCTTCTGCGGGCTGGGCGGCGCTCGACCCTTCGTCGAAACATCGTCGGATCGCTTGGGGTAATTGTTGTCGCCCGAGGTTGCTCGCTGTATTCCAAACAAGTCTTTCACCTTGCGATTTCCGGATAGAATGTCTGACTTCGGGCGAGGCTTGGCGTCGCCTGGTTTCGAAAGGGACGGCTGGTGGAAATCATAGAAGTTGCGCTGCTGACCTGGTCCGTAACCCTTGGGTGTGTATAGGGATACTTCATCCGCGACGGTTCGGCGTGGTTCGGCGGTGGAGCTCGGTCTTGAGCGGCCGATGGGCTCCCTGTGGAAAGAGGCGGAGTCTTGCGAGAAGGCGGGGGATGGCATGTTATCGATGAGGTCGGTGGGGCTCCGGTTCTCCTTGTCCCGGCTCTGCTTGGAGTTTGAGCCATCTTTGCGGCCTCGCTGCGATCGCTTGAGGATGGCTGACAGACTGTTGGATGATTTGGCCTTCTTGGGTGAAAGGTCGTCACCTCCCTCGGTTGGCGTCTCCTCTGACTTTCCATCTTTCCTCTCCATGTAGCTTCTGAGTGACTTTAAAGAGACAGCGCTCTTGGTCTTCTTGTGAAGGGCCCCCTTCCCTTCTCGGCCTCCACTCTTCGGTGGGGCTCCAATGTCGCCCACGTCGCGGTTGGGGACGATTTCGCTCAGTGGGCGATAACCGGTTGGGGTCTCGGACGGCTCGCCGAACGAGAAAGGCGGATTCTCTGATGGCTTGCTCCGTTGCAGCGGTCGGGGCCCAGCATCGTCCGCGGATTGATTTCGTTTATGAGATTTGGGAGACATGATGACGCGGAACATCGACGGTTTCGTAGGGGATCGGCTCGCATCGTCGAAGATCTGGGGACCAGATGTACTCGCCATTGCTATTCTCTTTGGCCAGCAACTATCTGCTGTCAGAAGGCGGGGGGAACAGACGGGTAGTCGCAGGTCGAACTTACGGGAATGCAAAACAAACGCAGTGAACAACGCAATGACAAGGACAAACAAGCCCGAGGGAACAAAAAAGCAAAAAGGCGGAGGGGGGGGGGATTGAAAGTCCTTATGGGTAAAAGCAAGTTCGGCTGCCAACAGCAACCGTCATCGATCGAGATGTAAGAGATGCTGGAGGAGTAAACAACGTGCGGGTAAAGAGGTTGCGCAGGGCAACCATCTGCAGCTGGCGGTCAAGATGGGGTTTATTAGCACCTATTAACCTTCTATTGATCTCCTATCACATTGGTCCATGTCATATTGCATATTTATTGTCGGCTCTAGGCCTGTCCTTGCAGTGTCTCATTATTGGATTGTGAACCCGACTGACCGAGGACTGACTAGGTACGGAGGACAAGACCGAGGACGGGATATCTGATAGATAATTTGGATTCTAGCGGAAAATTAAAGAATAACCTGAGAATATCCCCGGGGCTATGACCTGTAGAGGGTGTGTGCAGATGTATATATATCCCTTGCCCGTCCCCTGCCTGTGTGCTGGAGTTCCAAGTTTACCTACCTAGTAGTACACTTGAATCGTCCTCCATATCCACCATCCCAGCCCTGACGGTTCCGATGCCGGACTGTCCAACACATGCAGCTTCGTGTCGGGTTCCAAGGTGGTCCCAGGTTCTGGCCATCTCATATGCAGACGCGTGCAACTGGGAAGCACCAAGTGGCATTCCGATGGCCGTTTGCGACCGGGATAGGGCCATCATATTATATGTACTCACATACCCAAGTTCAGACATCAAAATCCAGAATCCAGATACTTCAATGCTCCAATTCAGGAAGATCAACCGAATTTGCCGGGAAGTGAAGAGATGAAGCGAAGTCAAACATCGGGCATCGGGCACTTCCGGACTCTCCCCACCACCACCTCCAAGGTTCCTCCGATACATGTTCCCTTGGCAATTCCCCAACTTGTATCTATCCCTGTGCCAAGAATCCTGCAATGAACTGCCCCTCGCGGAACGACGATACTCTCGCTCATCCGAGTTGGAATCAGAGCCCACCGCCTTTCAGCGCGGACACCACCACGCGGAATGACTTCAATGGCCTCGCGAATTCCCGCGTCCATCGCAGACATGCTGCCAGCTCAGATACGGCAGATGATCCAGCGTCAACTGAAAATAGACCGCATAGCCAGCAAGAGCGCGACCCGGGGAAGGAAAAATCCCCCAGTGGCGAAGTGACCGCCGCTGGGGGTGATTCACCCCCGGAGAGCAGGTCACCTCGCCTTCCTTTTTCTGAATATCTACACAGTTTGGTCCTGCGCTGGGCCCAAACCTTGGTGAAATTTGGTCGTTTTATCGGCCCTGGCTTTCTCATCGCCGTCGCCTACATTGACCCGGGAAATTATGCCACCGATGTCGCAGCCGGTGCGCAATTCAAGTACGCATTGCTGTTTATCGTCCTGCTATCCAACCTCTTTGCCATTCTGTTGCAGTCTCTATGCATCAAGCTAGGCTCGGTGACAGGATTGAACCTCGCAGAGAACTGTCGGGAGCATCTTCCAAAATGGGTAACTATCTGTCTGTACATCCTTGCGGAAGCCGCCATTGTCGCGACAGACATTGCAGAGGTAAGCTTGTTCGTTAAACGGTACCTGGATCGTAAACTGACAACATTATAAGGTGGTTGGATCGGCCATCGCGTTGAATCTACTGTTGAAAATCCCTCTGGTAGCTGGCTGTGCCATCACACTGGTAGATGTCCTCTTCATTCTCATCTTTTACCGGCCTAATGGCACCATGTGGGGGCTCCGACTATTTGAATTCTTCGTCATGGCCTTGGTACTCGGTGTGGTTGTATGCTTCTGCATCCAGCTTTCCCTCATCCAAGACCAATCGATTGGTGAAGTCTTCCGAGGCTATGTACCTTCCTCGGCCATCGTCACATCGGAGGGGTAAGCAAAATGCTATCTGCCCACCATCCCAAGTTACTAACGCTGTATGCAGGCTTTATCAAAGTTGTGGAATCCTGGGGGCCACAGTCATGCCGCATTCACTCTTCCTGGGAAGTGGTGTCGTCCAGTCTCGTCTGAAAGAATTCGACGTCACATCTGGCTACGTGGAGAGTACAGTAACTTTGGGTAATGCCGATGGTGAAGTCAAGTACCGTCCATCCATATACGCTATCAGAGGATGCATGAAATACTCGATCGTTGAGCTTTCACTATCGCTTTTCACGTTCGCTCTGTTTGTGAACAGTGCGATTCTCATCGTCGCGGGTGCCTCCCTTTACAAAGTGCCTGGCGGCGCTGATGCGGATCTGTTTGGTATCCACACTTTGCTGTCCTCGTCCATCTCATCTGCTGCTGGCTTGGTGTTTGCCCTCGCTCTTCTTCTGTCGGGTATCTCGGCTGGTATCGTTTGTACAATCGCTGGCCAGATGGTGAGCGAGGGGATGCTGAACTGGACTATCCGACCCTGGATGCGCAGGCTCATTACTCGCTCGATCAGTATCATCCCCAGTATCATCATTGCAGCTGCGGTCGGAAAGGATGGTCTTGACAAGACTTTGACAGCAAGTCAAGTCGTCCTCAGTGTGATCTTGCCGTTTGTTTCTGCGCCTCTCATCTGGTTCACCTGTTTCAATCGCTACATGACAGTCCGAACCGAGGAACCTGGCGAGAATGGTGAAGTCGAAGTGGTGACGGTCCCGATGAGGAACAGCCTCTTTACCTCGATTCTAGCTGGTGTTGTGTGGCTCGTCATCGTTGTTATGAATGTGGCCCTGTTGGTCCTTGTGGGCATGGGTAAAGCATCTTGATTGAAAGTTTCGTCACAATGCATTGCATATGGGCGGTCCGTACTTCCAGTGAGGCTGGTAGCTTCTTGTTCTTACTTGCCACCGTACCCTGGCGGATGCGGGAGTGTACGACATAGCCCGGGGCATATTCTCACAAAGAGCTTGATCTGAGCATAGTTTAGTGCAGGCTAAAATAAACCATTCATCCAATAAAACACCAGTTCGTGCTGAAACGCTTAAAACAATTTCATCCAAGACCACCTGCAGCCTCCTTAACCTTATGTTGCTCGGGCGGCTCATCAATGAACTGTGGAGGCGCAACTTCATCCTGTAAGAAGCTCGGCATGGCACTCTCGCCCATGCTGCTTTCAAACATGGACTCCTCGCCCAGCGCCTCCAGCTCGGCATCCAGCTCAGACTCGTCAACATCCTCAGGAACATCATAAGCCCGAGAGATACTCTCCTGGATCTCATTCCCGACCTCCATCAGGTCCGCCATTTCGTCCTGCATCTGCTCGATCTTATCCACGTCAACCTTCCCGTATTGTTTCTTGAGTTCCTTCGTCGTAGTCTTCATGGCATCCACCGTAGTCATCACGTTCTTCAAATTATCCTGCATCATGCCCGCCTGCTCCATGTTCCACGACTGTTGCGAGAGCTGATCGCGCTGCGACTCGTATTGTTTCCGTCGTTGTAGGACCTTCAGCGCTTTCTGTCGGAGTGCATTCTTGCCAGGCCCGTCGCGCATCTTGGACATCTTCGTTTGATATGCAGAGAGCTCGGAGTTGAGCGCCGCTAGCTTGACGTCTATGCTGGACACTCGAGTGTCAACCTGTGTTGTGGTGAGTGGGGGTCCATGAGGGGGTGGATGGCCAATAGGTCTCAGTGGCATACATTGGAGATGGCGCTGTCCAGAGTCGGCTTAGGAGCCGTACTCTTTGTACCAAATAATCTGTTCATGGTGGGTTGGGTATATTGTTGGAGTTGGAGGGGGACAAGGCGTAGGCAGCGGACTTGGGACCGCTTCCAGACCACGCGTGGCCAGTGCTCGATAGAACTGCGATCGGTGGGCCGAGAGGATCGTTACCCGATTACTGGGACAGGCTACTGATGAGACAAGGTGATCACAAAGACCATAACACTGAGATCCCTAGACTACACATGTGGCCATGCATTCAACTCATGCGGAGCAACGTCAGTGGAGGCCTGAGGCGACAACGAGAGAACACGTGATGCCGTCCTATGCCGACCTCGGGAGTTCTACTGAGAACAGATGTAGCTGTCTGTTTGCATCTGGAAGGGGTTGGAGGTCAGAAACCCAGCGGAGTGAAGTAAAATTGACTGGATTGTCAGATGAGAACAATCAGCTGGAACGTTTCAGGGTTGAGTCCTATGTCAGGAGTTGGGCCACGATATGTAGGACAAGGACCCGAAGGTATCGAATACTTCCGGTAACACACAAAAGTGGCGGGGAATGGCTGTACCGAGTACGATGATCCTGGCCAATGCAGCTGACCTCGTAAGAGATCAAATGGAAGAGCCCAGAAGCCGATTAAGACAGGAATTTAAGAAGCGTCCAGAGCGACAAGGTAGTTGAAATCAATCTATGCCCCGAATAATCCATCTTATCTGCATCTAGTAGAGTGTTATAGCCCTGGTAGTGTGAGGTTGATCCCCGCGGTGATTACATACTGCGTTTCCGCCCCTTCTGGCTGTAGGGATCGGTAATTTGATCACAGCTCACCTCTTCTCCCTCTACAGCTGCTTCCATGATGGACAGGTGTTGAGTCGCCATCCCGTGTGCCTCGAGTCTTACTTGAACTAAACTCCACTCTTCTTTTCTTCCCCCCTCTCACCCCCGAACCCACAGGTTCTAATTTCTGTTCTTCGTCATTCCCTCCAGATTGAAGGTACGATCGCTCTAGGAGTCTGCTTTCTACATGAAGAGCTCCTGTCAATTCTCTTTCCATCCTGCAGCCTGGCGGTCTCGCTCTTGGTCGCGTCGCAATCACCCGGCGAGGGTCCGCTTCACACCGGGCACGCACCATCGGGTCTGCGGGTGATGCAAGCTCGTGAACTGGATCGCTAACAGACTGCTTCTTCACACAGCGCTAGCTCGCTTCAATTTTTTTAATACCCGTTCTACCCAGCAACGCAAGCTTCAATCATTTATCGGCCATCAAGGTCAGGCATACCCCACTCGATCTGCGCGACCTGGCCTCTGTGTGTGGACACCACGCTTGCCGGTGTATCGGCCTGTCGCGCAACCTCTCCTGAGACTTCGATCCTTCGACCAACCCTTGTACCATAGACTGCTCCGTTACGACACCTCGGAGACGAACGAAACGAACCATTCCATGAATCATTCCCCTCGGCTATATACTTCATCATGTTTTGGCGCTTTGGGGGATATGCGAGTGTCTCCACCATCGATACCCTGCTCGATAAACCCGATGTCACCCTCGAAGAACTTCTGGATGAGCCAGAAATCATCCAAGAATTGAAACAGCTTAATACAAAACTCATTGAATATCTGCGCGAGGATCATGTCTTGAAACGGCTTATGGACTACGTGATTGCGCCAAGCTTAATCAACGATGATGAAGAGAATGACGAAGACGATTCCACCGCCCAAGATGACTCCGATAAAAACAAAGACGCAGAAGCACCCGCGGAGCAGGAAGAAACAAACGAGGAGAAGGAGGCCGACCCGTTGAAGGATATTCTTGACCCAGAGGACCTGGAGAAGATGGAGAAATCTCGGTTGAAGCATTCTTATATTGCATGCGAAGTTCTCTCATCCGAGACATGGTCCATCCTCGAATCCATGATGGCCAATCCCTCCTACTTGCGCGACTTCTGGGGCTTCCTGCGACGGTCCCCACCTCTCGATTCCTTGCAGGCAAGCTATTTCACCAAAGTCAACGAGACGCTGCTTGACAAAAAGACCGAGGAAATGCTAGTATTCCTTAAGTCCCTCGACGGAATTGTTGAGGCACTCTTGCAACACGTCGATAACCCTATGGTCATGGATCTTCTCTTGAAGATCATCAGCTTGGAGAAGGCAGAGGGTGGTCAAGGCACTGTTGACTGGCTCAAGTCTCAGAATCTCATTCCCACACTGTTGTCCTTCCTGTCACCGGACCGCCCGGCTTCCGTTCAAACCTCCGCAGGTGACTTCCTGAAAGCCATCATCACAATTTCTGCCAATGCAAGTCCGAATGATCAGTCATGCATTGGACCCAACAGCCTCACGCGCCAGCTTGTGTCCACCCAGTGTGTGCAGCAACTTATTGATGCTATGCTCAAAGGCGGCAACCCATTGACCGTCGGTGTGGGAATCGTCATTGAGGTCATCCGCAAGAACAACTCCGATTATGATCCCGAGACTATTGGCGGACCCGACACGATGCTAACCACGTACGATCCAATCTACCTCGGAACGCTTTTGCGTCTCTTCGCCAAACATATCCCTCAATTCATGGCTCTCATCCAAAGCTCCCAGCACACCATTCATGACGGAACCAAGCTCAAGACTGTCGAAAGAGGCAAGTTGAGCTCCGCATGGGGTGGTCAAATCGAACCACTTGGTTTTGATCGTTTCAAGACATGTGAATTGATGGCCGAGTTGTTACATTGCAGCAACATGGGACTTCTGAATGAACCAGGAAGCGATGAATATGTTAAGCAGAGAGACGAGGAACGTGAGCGGTTGATCCAAGAAGGGATATTTGATCCCCACCACGACGAGCGTTCTGGAGTCGACTATAATGATACCACAGTCGATTTTACGAACGACTCAGCTCTCGGATCTGGATCTCCTGAAGATATCAAAATCACGGAAGCACCACATGTTGGCGAAGAAGAGGGATTCGAGGATGTTGGTGCATCTGGTGTTCTGGCTGACGAGCAAGCCGGGGGCGATAAGATTCCCAGTGCAATCTCGCAGCCATCAGAAACGATCACCGAGCTTCCTTCAACCACCGCCACAGAGCCGAAGCCTGAAGATCAGTCAAACGTGCCTCAAACCTCCGAGGAACCCAACACGCCATCATCGCCAAGCATCGGTCTTCCTGATCAGGTCGACAGTATGAAGCTCGGAAATGAGCCACCAAGCGAGTCCCAGGTTGAAGAAACCAGCAAAGAAGAGCCCAAGGCCTCTGCCCCTGGAGATGTCCCCGCTCCTCTCTTCTCCAATGATACCGCGACGGACAAATCGGAAGCTGCCGTTGGCCAGCCAGCAGAGGAGCCTGTGGCTGAGGAACAGACCGAGGAAGCAAGCGTCATGAACGATGGAGGAGACGAAGACTCGGCTGAACAATATATCCAATTGGACACTAATGGGCAGCCAGTGGTTGGCGATTATCTGAAAATCCAGTTCGTCGAAAACAAGGTTGTTCCGACTATCCTGGTTAGTATTCCTTGCCATATTTAGCATAAAGGCATCGCGGCTAACCATCAAAAGGGCTTCTTCTTCCGTTTCCCTTGGAATAACTTCCTTCACAATGTTGTTTACGATGTTATCCAGCAAGTCTTCAACGGACCTATGGAGCGTGGCTACAATCGTGCCCTTGCAGTGAATGTCTTTGACACTGGTCGCATCACCACAGCCATCGTCGAAGGCCAGAAGCGCAGCGACGAGACCCAGAAGACCAAGCAAATCCGTCTTGGCTACATGGGACACCTCACACTGGTCGCCGAGGAAGTTGTAAAGTTCAGCGAGCGTCACCCGCCAGAGCTGCTTTCCCGGTCAGTCATGGACAGTGTATTGAATCCAGACTGGATTGAGTACGTGGAACGGGTCTTGTCGGAGACTCGAGAGCGAGACAACGCCATTCTCGGCGGCGTCCGCCCGGATATGTCTGTGGGATCTCGGCAGACTAGTCTCAACAACAACAACAGCTCTGGGCAGGGCTTTTCGAACTCCAACGCCCTGTCAGATGCAGGCTTGAACGGAGGACTCGGTGGCTCGACCTTCCAGAGCTTCGACCTCAACCAAGGGAGTGTGTCCGGTGGGGCATTTGGAGGTGGTGGCACCTCCCTCCTCAGCGGCTTTGCCAGCTCGAGTGACGACGATGAAGACGAAGAAATGGAGGATCAGGACGACAGGGATACTGGCCATACTGAACAAGGAAACTCTGATGATGTGGGTAACCTATTCCCAATTGACTTAGCATAGTGATACGGATTTCGTAATCGATTCCGTGCGCTATATTCGACCACCCTCCCTCTCTCCCTACCTGCCTGGCTCAATTTGATCAATGAGACACACCAAGATGGGGGCGATACCAGGGACGATGTTCCACGCCACAACCTGGATTGGGGATGTCTTTCTGATGTATTGTTCTCTTTTCATGTTTCGCCCACTCATGTTGACCTCATTGCCCTTCATCTATACCCAATCACACGAGACACGGCATCAACTTTCTGGCAATGTACTAATATTGTTTCCAGGTGTCGACAAATTCAGCAAGCCAGCCCATCCCCATCCTGCCCCCGCCTCCAGCGCCCCTGAGTCTGGGTCCGTCCCGGGCACGGCGACAATTGGCAGCACGTCTTGCTGCTCAAAAGCAGCAATCGTCAGTATCTGGAGAGGGCCAGGGTGAGGACAGAGACGACAGCGAAGATCGAGAGACTGGCTGGTCAAGCAATCCCTTCGTGATTGCAGGCGTCGACGATGACGCCGAAGGAACCAACTCGGCGTTCCCCAACAGTGACTTTGGCTCCAACACCAAACACTCCCCAACCTTCCCCGAATCCGGCTTCAGCCCCCCGGATTCCCTTTCCACCAACTCGTCGGACGACGAAAATGACGGCCGCCCGGAGTCCGTGCGACGCCAGGTCCGCGTTCCCCTGGAGGTTGAAGACGAAGATGACGACGAGATGGGTGAAATGGTAGGACCCAGCAGCATTGGCATGATGGACTCCGACGACGAGGATGAAGCCATCATCAATGAATCCCTTGGTTACTCCAACCTGTCGGGACCCGGTCGGTATAACAACTTCCGCCGAGCCCGAGCCGTGAGCTCTAACTACGAAGAAGAGCAGAATGACAGCAGCGACGGAGAAGATGATGGGTTAGTTGAGATCTTGGTCCCTGGTCGTAAGTCTTCGACCTCGAACTAAGGGGATCTTTGTATATACACTTTCCATCAATGGGGTAGCCATGAGGTTCTGCATTCTAATGATCGTGATCTGAAGTTGTCTGTCTTCGCCTGCAGTTTATCTGCAAATGACTCCCCCTTATTGATTCCACAGTTGTCTACTTTTGGCTTTCGCCTGCCCAGGTGTGTACGATACTCAGAAGCGAATTCATGCTTTTTAAATTGTCGACAGCATGTACCTATGCATATGTATTGTTCGAGATGTAGGTAAGTAGCTGTAGTTCATATTTTGAATCTCTGTCTCTTCAATCTCGATGTCTCCCGAGGTCTGTATCCCTTCTGTATCCCACTCGACGTGCGGCAAAAAAAAGCGGGCCCCACCATCGCATCCCGCAATTCTTTTTTTGAGAACCCGACACTATCAGATCACTTCCGAGAACCTGGTGTCAAGACGCCTGTACTTAACGAGGACCCAGGAATTCCTTTTATCACCCGTCATCATGGCAGTCGCCGAGTAGGTCAAGGCCCGCACTACGTCATCGTTGAAAGTAAACGATATCTAACTCCAGCAGATCTGTTGATCCAACATTGGAGGCTCACACCGAGCTAGTCAATTGGTTTATTCAACAAGGTGGCACAGTCGATAAAGCCGTGTACATCACTCAAGATGCCTTGCGAGGCGTGCACATGCAAGTCAAATCAGATTTGCCAGACTCCATCCCCAGAGAAACGCGGGTCATCAACACCCCAATCAGCGTGTCTATGTCTTGGTATAACGCCGTTGGATATGAGTGCCCCAAAGGCTCCTTTTCTAAACACGGCGTGGATTTCCCACGTCAATGGATAGATGAGATTGGACCCGAAGAGACTTTCGCTTTCTTCCTCATGGGTCAGTACCTGCGTGGATCGGAGAGTTTCTGGTATCCGTACCTGCGCACGTTGCCTCAGCCGGGTCAATTGACTACACCTCTCTTCTTTGGGGAAGAGGATGTGGATTGGATCCAGGGGACCGGTATTCCCGAGGCAGCTGTGGAGAGAATCAGGGTCTGGGACCAGAAGTATGATGATGCAGTTACCAAGCTGGAGGCATTTGGCTTCCTTGATTGCGGAGAGTTTACATGGTAAGTCTCACATTGATGCACCAATACAAGATGCTAAGAGTTTAGGGAGCTGTATATGTGGGCCTCGACCATCATTACGTCGAGAGCATTCTCGCCCAAGGTTCTCTCTGGTGCTGTGGAAGCTGCTGATCTGTGGGAAGACCGTGTTTCAGCTCTGCTGCCTCTCATAGATCTGCCGAATCACCGTCCAATGGCGAAGGTTGAGTGGCGAGCTGGCGAGAAAGATATTGGTCTTCTTGTGCTTGAAGATCTTGCCCCGGGCCATGAAATCTCTAATAACTACGGCCCTCGCAATAATGAGCAATGTAAGCACACCTCTTCCACCGAATATGTTGAAATTTTGAATGCTTGGACTGTCACTGACCATGGGCATAGTGCTCGTCAACTATGGATTCTGCCTTACCAACAACCCGACTGACTACCGCATCGTCCATTTGGGCGTAAAGCCGGACAGCCCGCTTGGACAAGCCAAGGCACGTCAGTTGGAGCTGTTCCCCGAAGTGGCCAAGAACAAGGAAGACCACTATTACATTTTCAATCCGTTCTATCCTCTATTAGGACCCGACACCTCCATGGAACACTCAATCTTTTCACCCGCATTGTTCAACGCATTGACAGTGATGGAGTCCAATGCCCGTGAACGTGACATGCTTGAGATCACCGACGCAGGCATTCAGATCACACCTGCATATGGCAATGGTCATAGCATATATGCCGCGCTAGCACAGATCAGCTTTGAGATGATTGCCCACGCTTATAATCTCAAAGCCAGTGCACAGGGTCTAGCACTGCAACCAACAACTCTGAACCAAACCCACGCACAAATATACCGCAAAGGACAAATCTCATTAGATTATGCAGCCTTGATCGTGGCAACTTGGACCATCACTCGTGGCCGTGAACATAAGCGCGGTGAAAGCTGGGAAGATACCAAGGCCCTTCTGTCTGAGCTTATGGCACGAGTACCCGCCGGTCTGCTCTCTGACGAAGTCCTATCCAGAAGTCGTGTGCGCATTCTAGAGCGTCCATCCATTGTGGCTAAGAATGGCGAGCTATTCAGATTGGGAGAGTTGTTCAGCCTGCTACCGGCCGAGATGCAAGGCCCTGCTGGAACGTGCTTCCAGCATGTTCTGGGTGTGGCTAGCCAGGAGATTCCACCAGTTGCCAGTGATCCGCAGACTCTGTTCTCGATAGTGATCTGCTTGCTGGTTGCAACCTTTAACTCGCCCCAGGCACGCTCTCAGCTCCCATCACGTCTTGCCAAATGGGTGTCTTTCCTGCTTGAAAAATACTCAATTGCTGCCGTGGGCTCGGAAGAAGCTAATCAGCCACTCCGTATGCTGCAGCAATATTCCGAGGCCGCGCAGCTGGGAGCATTGGCTGCTGGTGACGGTGTTGATTGGCTTTCTGAAAGTAGTGGATGGCTGGAGTCCAACTGGCTTCAATGGGCCTGGACAGTGGCAGGTGCAGAGATGGTGATGATTCCCCTCCAGTCCTTGGAGGTTCTGAACATGGAGGGAGAGCCATCTATGCTGAAGCAGGCTTGCCTTTATGTGCCACAGGAGTAGATTTAGATACTGAGGCAGGCAAAATATCTCCCCTTTCCATAATAATGGTGCAACATAGCCAGGGAATCAGTAAATTTAGAGTCAATTAAAGATTGATAGGGCCAAAGGAGCCATATGAGAATTGTATATGGTACCCGAAGCATCTATTATAAATAACAAAGGCCAATCCCACCAGTAGGAATGTGGATTATGCAAGCGATGTTGCTGGACAATTTGTATGTCGTGTCTGTGGTGTAGAACCGAATTCACAAAGGGGCAGGATACTGCCATGTACAAGGCATTAGACTGAGCAGTTCTCTTGTGCAAACTCACCACCTGGAGTGAATGAGAATGTTGTCGAGGACGAGATATACCTCGTCATCCGATGGCCGAATCGGGATGTTTACTCAGCACATATCACGTGCCCGACATCCACCCAATCAAATCAGGGACAAAGGCGGATCGTTCAGCAAGCGCAGGAATTGCCGTGAGCTCACTCCCTTCCCTCTCCACGACCCTTCAATTCCCACCAAGTATCGTCACTTCCGCCGTCAACATGCTTTCTCGAGCGGCGGCTCCTACCTCCTCCCTCTCCCAACTCTCGTCCCGCTCCCTCCGCGCCCAGGGGGCGGCCGCCCGCTCCTTCGCAACCGTTTCGGAGGCGCCTCCCGTCAAGCACCATGGTGGACTCCGTGATCAGGACCGAATCTTCACCAACCTCTACTCACACCACGGAGCGGATCTCAAGTCAGCAATGAAATATGGTGACTGGTACCGCACCAAGGACATGATTGTGAAGGGTGATGATTGGGTGAGTTGTCGCACAATTCCAATTGAGGGCCCGGGAAATATCAATTGCTAACGCTCAGTACAGCTCATCTCAGAGATCAAGGCCTCCGGTCTCCGTGGCCGTGGTGGTGCTGGTTTCCCCTCCGGATTGAAATACGTAAGTGGCATATACGCAAATCGGCAATTGTGACGAGATAACCGGGCTGACCCGCGACTCGACAGTCTTTCATGAACACCAAGGATTGGGACAAGGATCCCCGCCCCCGCTACCTCGTCGTCAACGCTGATGAGGGTGAGCCTGGAACTTGCAAGGATCGTGAGATTATGCGCAAGGACCCCCAGAAGCTGATCGAGGGTTGCTTGGTGGTCGGCCGTGCCATGAACGCCAACGCCGCGTACATCTACATCCGTGGTGAGTTCTACCACGAAGCCACTGTTCTCCAGCGGGCCATCAACGAGGCCTACGAGGCCGGTCTTATCGGAAAGAACGCCTGCGGCTCCGGTTACGACTTCGACGTGTACATTCACCGTGGAATGGGCGCCTACATCTGTGGTGAGGAGACCTCGCTCATTGAGTCAATTGAGGGCAAGGCTGGCAAGCCCCGCCTCAAGCCTCCCTTCCCCGCTGCCGTCGGTCTGTTCGGTTGCCCCAGCACAGTCACCAACGTCGAGACCGTTGCCGTGACCCCCACAATCATGCGCCGCGGTGCCAGCTGGTTCTCTTCCTTCGGTCGTGAGCGTAACGCCGGTACCAAGCTTTTCTGTATCTCCGGCCACGTCAACAACCCCGTCACCGTCGAGGAGGAGATGTCCATCTCGCTGCGCGAGCTGATTGAGAAGCACTGCGGAGGTGTCCGTGGTGGCTGGGATAACCTTCTTGCCGTTATCCCCGGTGGTTCCTCCACCCCCGTTATTCCCAAGTCCGTTTGCGACAACCAGCTCATGGACTTTGACGCCCTTAAGGACTCCCAGACCGGTCTCGGAACCGCCGCCGTCATCGTCATGGACAAGTCCACAGATATCGTCCGTGCCATCTCCCGTCTGTCCACCTTCTACAAGCACGAGTCTTGCGGTCAGTGCACTCCCTGCCGTGAGGGTAGCAAGTGGACCATGCAGATGATGCAGCGCATGGAGACCGGAAACGCCCGTGAGCGTGAAATCGACATGCTCCAGGAGCTCACCAAGCAGGTCGAGGGTCACACCATTTGCGCTCTGGGTGAGGCCTTTGCCTGGCCCATCCAGGGTCTGATCCGTCACTTCCGTCCCGAGCTGGAGGCCCGTATCCGCCAGTACGAGAAGGAGCTCGGTGCTGCTCCTTACGCCGGTGGCTGGCACCCCAACAGCCGTGCTGAGGGCAAGCTCATCTCTCCCGGCATGTAAACGCACTTCTCTATCTCTCCTATACACCCCTTTTCACCTTGTGTCCCTCAAAAAGAAGCAGGAACGGTCTAGACCTCTCTTATTCTTCGCCCTCTCCGGCCGGTAATGTTCTCTTCTCTCCGTCTGGTCCGGCCGGGGAGTGTGGTGTCTCTATTTCCTTTACTATGTTCGATCCCCTCTGTTCCTCTATCGCGCCTAGGTTTTTCCTTTCTATTGTACAGTCGGTAGCAAATTTGATGCATTTGATGTCTTCATCGTGGTCTCGACAGTATTGGAATAGATATGACCTCCATCGACAGATCTCAGCTGTGGTCGAGCTGAGCACCATTGAACCACGGACTTGTGCCACCACTGACTAGACATCAAGCTTCCAACTCTCTACCTAGGTATATCCAACATGAAATTTCACTGCACAGGTGCCCAGGTGTAAGCGGGCTGGTCATAAATGGATGTGAAAACCGACAGACGTTCCTACCACAATGAGTTCCAATGTTCTTTCCCTCCATCGAGTACATGAGCAGCTTCTCCGTCCAAATGTATCTTCCCCTTGTAAGCCCTGGAGAACCTCAAAACTCGTCGTTCGTGGAAATGACAAAGGTACGTGCACCCCCCTCGGGAGGTCAACTGGTGTCAGTTGGGCATTTACTGACGAATACTGTGGACAAAGTGTAGCTTCTGCAATCGCCCGGGGCATGACGCCCAACATTGCTGGAGGGTCCAGGAGTTGGCTGCTATGAACAGAGCAGCGGTGATGATGGGGGTAAAAGAGCACTCCTTCCCCCAGGAATACTACTAGATCACTGATGTTCTTCAATGTCTAGGCACGCCCCCGAAATAGACGAGGACCTCGGTCCTCTGCGTCGAAGGACGCAAAAAGAAGTATGTATTGCTCTATCTAGCCCGATGAGCTGCCTTCGACCCCCTCACGTCGTGTTATAGTATATCTAACATATTTGAATAGGACGCGGCCGAGAGAGGGGCGGTTTCCCTGCCTCTTACGGCGCGGCATCCCCCGGCGTTGCTGTCTCTCCCCACTCCGCGGCCGTGGCTGAGGCCGCTATTATCAACTTGCCGGCGGTGCCCATCGATACCGCACCTCCTGTTTCCGCTGTGTGTACCCCGGTGCCTCAAGTTATCTTGCCCGTACGGGCTAATCGCAAGGGCAAAGAAAAGAAAACCCGACGCAGCCATTGAATGGTCAAGTTCTGCTCTCTGTTTGTATTCTTTTTTTCTATATGTATATTTCATATGAATAAAGACCCTGAGGTCCCCTGGGCGCTTACCAGATGAGCCTCAAACCAAAGCACTACCTACACGAATCCATAACTTATCCATGAACCAGAAACAGGTTTACTTCGTGAGTACTCCATTCTTATACATACACAATAAGCATGAAATTCCGAGCACCAAGGCTACCTAGGTACATCACATGCATTCTTCGGGATATTATATGGCGAGTCTACCCCCAAAACTTAGAGCTTTATTGCAGTAGAATTCTTCGAAGATCTGCTGGAATTGGGGATTGGCTCGTTTCCTCCGGGATGACATTATTGTTTCCCGTCTTATTGATTATTGAATATAGAGAGCTGACCGAAGCAATAAGCCATGAGGCAGACCTCTGACTCCCTCCTATCTTCTCCCGATATTAAAACAATATAGGACAAAACCATTAACAGTATAGAGATACTGATATCAAGACTTTGCGCACATTGGAAAGATACAGGTGTTCAAGGGAATAGATGGAGGTAAGCGTGCAGGTTTTGTGAAAGCCGAGAGACGTTCCTGCCACAATTAGTGCTTTCCCAACATCTAGTATATAAGCAGCTTCTCTGTCAACTTGGAAGACATGGATAACTTCCCCCTACAAGAACCCCAAGAGTCGTTGTTCGCTACCACGACAAAAGTAAGCGCAACCCTCTTCATCTTGAATGACGGTAGCTCCAAGAAATCATACTGCAGAGGCCTCGGGGCCTTGGAGAGGTCAACTGGTGTCATTTGAGCATTTACTGACGAATACTGTAGTGTACCTTCTGTCACCGCGCGGGCTACGCCGCCCAAAATTGCTGGAGAGTCCAGGAGTTGGCTGCTATGAACAGAGCAGCGGTGATGATGGGGGATGGGGTACTTTTTGCGGTCGTCCGGGACACCTTTCGCACAATTGCTGGAGAGTTAAAGAACTGGCTGCTTTGAATCAGACAGCCGTGATGATGGGGGTAAGAAAGCACTCCTTCCCCCAGGAATACTACAGATCACTGATGTTCTTCAATGTCTAGGGGCGACCCCCCAAAAAAAGACCAGGACCTCGGTCAGCTGCGTCAAAGGACGTAAAGAAAAGTATGTATTGCTCTATCTAGTCCGATGAGCTGCCTTTGACTCCCTTACGTCACATTATAGTATACATCTAACATATTTGAATAGAAAGGGCCAATGGCAAGAAGGCTTTGCCTCCGCGCGCCGCCTCCCCCGGCGCGGCACCCCCCGGTGTCGTGTCTCCCGGTGTCGTTGTCTTCCCCCGCGGCGTCTCGCCCCGCGCCCCCTCGCCATTGATGACCCCAACTGTTCTCGTTCCTCGCGTGAACTTGCCCTCACGCAAAGGCCGCCGTTAAGTGTCTTTTTTTTTTTTTTCATGTATATTTATATTTTTTTGTAGTTAGAATTATTCTATGAATAAAGACCCTCGAGTCCCCAGTCAAGGGGACCTCGGGAGTTTTGGCTTTCAGGCCCTACCTACGGAGTACTCTGGGCGTCACGTAGAAGTATAAGATCTATGGTGCAATACAGCACAAGTCCGTGTGATGGAAGGGTAAAGGGGCCCGGGGGGTTGGTTGGAATGAGTAATATTCAGCAAAGGTAGGCGTAGAGTACAAAGGGGTCGTGGAAACCATTGAAGATCATATGGGGAACAGATGAAGTAAACAAAAGGAAACTGTGCTTGGGAAGAGCGTTGAAATCTCAAACTGATGCAAATTATGGAGGTTCTTTTTTCACACTTCTTAATGGCCACCCGCCATGATAATACCGTAGTAGCGACGACTCATCTCCGCGGTTTGCAAGACACGAGCATCACCAGTCAAAGGAAGTCCGAGGATAGCAGACGACTGAACAGATTGAACATCTTCATGGGTAATCCAAGTGGCGACGGCTCGGCTCATCTCCTTGAACGCAACGCGCTCCTCAAGGCCTTCCAAGCCGGTGTCCTTGATGCGATCACCCATAGCGACGAGAGCATTCACCAACCGGTTGAGACGAGTAGGATCACGTCGGCCAGTGGTGGAGTTGACCAAACGCAGGAAATCTTCGTAGACACCACCGCCAGAGGCCCAGCCGCGCATCTTGCGCTCGGGACCATCACCGAACCCGGAAACCAGGGCACCGAGAGTTTGGTAGTCACCCTCGATGATAGCGCTGGGAGCGACGATTCGGCAGAATGTGGCGTGGGCGTCGTTCCAGTGCTTTCCACGGATAAGGCACTCGACCTCACGGGCAGAGTCGCCGGTGTCGCGGGCATAAAGAGCCTTGGCAACCCAGATCCAGGCCTCGGGAAGCTGAAGGTCGGTAACAAGATATTGCCATCCGGCATCGGCGGAGCCGTCTGCGGTGAAAGGCTCGGGAAGTTGGGCTGCGAATCGGGCAAGGGTGTCTTGGACGGTGCGCTTGCGGTCCTCAGCCTGGGAGAGATGCAGAAGAACGAACAGGGCCTCGGGAAGATCACCACCTGCACTGAGCTCTGAAGCAAAGTCCCAGACGAGGTGGTCAGCCTGGTGCTGGTCGATCTTGATGGTCGCTTGTTGTCCAAGAGTAGCAGTGAGGACGTGATGGAGCTGGAAGGAAAGTCTGTTGGAGAGACGATCACCGGAGACGGACTCGGGGAGTAGAGATGCCGGGAATTGAAGAGATTCGGCGCTGTCGCCACGGGTGACCGAGAAAGCCTTGAGCAGAACCCACAGAGGCGACTCACGGCCTAGAGTGTCAGAGCCAGGCTGCACACGAGCACCGTCCAGGTGTGAGGGGTGAGGGAAGGCAGGTTCATGTCCGGTGGCCAAGTCTGCCAGGAATTTAGACACAGCGGCCTCAATCGGTTCTTCTTCCGAGGTGCAGTACCAGAGACGAAGACCAAAGGCCTGGAACCAATCTAGATCGAAGCGTTCGGTCAAGCCAAAGGTAGAAGCTCGGTCCTCCAGTGCACCGCTCGACTTTCCCTCGCTGCGGAGGGCATTGCCGGCAATCAACTCGTAGAGCGCGCGTACAGGTTCACTCATTTCCGAAAGCACATTGTTCTGGCGCCACACTTCTATCTGGTTCGCAATTCCTGCCCGGGAGGTAGCATCACGACCAATCTGTGCGACCAATGTGGCCAAATGAGGGTTTTGACTGTCCACAAGGGTCTTACACGCTTCCTCCACTCGGTGTGCACAGAGTAGATGAACGGCACGTTCCACCGGGCAACGAATCAAGTCCAAGCTTTGAGCGTGCTTCTGACGAACAATTCGTTCCCAAAGACGGGTGAGTCGGTCCTTCTTGATCCGGTGGGAAAATTGCTTCCGCAGCCGTGGGGGTACACCGGCCGAGATATCGTCCTCCACATCGTCATTGAAGAGAGTATTAAGGAGTTGCCAGACGAGGCGTTCTTCCTCGGACTGGGAACGAGTGGAGGGGGACAAAGGGAATTGTGACAAGTCGATCTTGGCCATGCGGACCAAAGGAGTTCCGTCAACACGTTCGATGGTAGCCTGGCTCCGTTGAACGTCAAGCATTTCTTTAGCCTATTAACTTGTAAGTATCTCAAGAAAAGAGCAAAAGATAGAAAGGGACCATGGACATACCTCGTTGGATTTGCTGTAAGTCATCACTGCGATGCTTCGCTCTTCGCTGAAAACAGTTACGCTTTCTTTCCAGGTTTGATCAACCTCTGAGATTGTCTCTTGCATGTCGTTTCTGGCGCAGACAAGTGAGTCCATAGGCCCCCACCGTGGTTTGAAAGAGTCATGGAAAGCGGCGTCGGATTCGGTCATTTCCGTGGCGTCACCAGCAAATGTCTTGGGTTGTTTGTTGTATGGCCACTGTAAAAGGGAAGAAAAAGGTTTAGCGTATGCGAGATCACATTGGTTAATAACTATCTGGGGTAAATGTGCAGTGGCTTAGGTACATGAGGGAATGGGGAAGAACATGAACAAAGAAATCACAATCAGTAGGAAAAACAGGGGATTCTAACCTCGGGACCCTTGGGCTGGGGCTTGGATGCCTTCAGCGGAGAGGGAGCATTTTGTTTGCGCGGCTGCTGAAACAAAGAGTTCATGAGATCAATGCTGTTCGAGAATCCCTTCTTTGGCGATAGATTCGTGGCCTTTGTGGACGACTCGTCGTTCACCAGGTTTCGATCGAGGAAAGCATCTGCTTGCATTTCACGCAGGGCGTCACGGTTTTGCTTCCGAGGGCTGATAGTGCGCTGAAGCTGCTCGGCCCAGTCGCCACTAAGATCAAGCTGAGGCCTCGCAGGACTGCCGAAGTGTTTGGAGATAGGGTGAGTGGTCTCCAGATCACCATTGGTGCTCTGGTAGTCTTCGTGCTCCACGGTGCGATGAGGAGTAGGAAAGGCACCCGCCATATCCATTTCATCTGCCTCATCTGATCCAACAACCGAATCGCCAGATCGTTGGCTCTCGGTGACGATATCGTCGTCATTCTCAGTAGTTGAACCCGTGGAGCCTTCCTCTAAAAAAGACTGCTCTGTCTCACCCTCGGAAAAATCCTCTTCCTCTGTACGTGTAGCCTGACCGGCAAATGAGCCAGGGACAGAGCCAGCAACGAGGTTGCGCTTCTTGAAGTCGAAAGTGTCGTCGTCAACACCCATCTGCGATCCAACGAAAGACTCATCGATCGAGAAAGTAGTTGACTGGTCGAAGCTGACGGATTGATCAAAGCGGGCCCTTGGAGTAGCATGTTCGGGGGCAGGGGCACCCAGGGCACTTTGGTCAAGCTCACCCTCCTCTTCCTCTTCATCGTAATCCAAACCATAGGTCGTGAAATGAGGCACCTTGAAGATCCACGTTCCGGTTTCGGTCTCGTAGTTGATGAACTCGGTGTCGCCCACTTTCTGGAGACGTTCGATGTGCTTCTCGAAGAGAGGGCCGGTAGTGAGGGGCGAGTTGCTCTTCTTGTCTCTGCCGCGGGGCCAAGAGTTCTCGATGCGCAAGGTTGAGGGCACATTCAGACCCTTACCCCTGGCAGGCTTGATGGACTCATCAGGGTAGACAGTGATCTTGCGAAGGTTGATATCCACCAAGCCATCGAATAGGTTATCAAGATCGATACCAGTTAGGTCGACGGGGCCATCGAAGGTGACGGATCCACAGTTCTGACGTCCGACAGTGAAGTCGACGACCTTCTTGAGCTGATCGCGGCTCAGCTTGCTGAGGTCCGCGCGGGAGGGCTGCATCCAGTAATCACCAGGCTTGGGGTCACCGCCGGGGATGAAAGTAAGACGCTTGACCGTAGCACCGTTGGTGGTAGCCAGTCCATTCTCGGGAACAACAGCCAGATCGCGGCTAACGGACTCCATTTCCGGGCGATCGGAGGAGGCAACTGCATCGATGCCGTTAAGGCTACCGCTCTTGCGGGTGGAACGAAGGAATCCAAGCTCCTGCGCAGACGGCTCAGGGCTTGCGGGCTCGGCACGAACAAGTTCGCCTCCATTGGCACCAGAAGCAGCCGAGTCGAAGCTGACCTTCTTCTTCAGCTTTTCGCCGGACTGGCCAGCGTCTTCTCCGTTGGTGAGAAGGGGAGCCGGCGCGGCCCGAGAAGCAGGGCTAGAGAACAGGTCGTTCCTCAGTCCACGGTCAATCGTCAGGCGCTTGAGGCCGGAGTTACCACGCGTGCTGCCGGCTTGAAGGGCACCAGGGGAAAGAACGCTATCAGACTCGGGGTCGAAGGTTTTCCGCAGGTTGCTGGTGGAGTAACTCTTGCTGAAGCTACGACCAACGCTACCGTTGATGCTACCACGGAGACTGTTGCTTCCACCACCGCCGAGGAGGCTGTTACTCAGGCCAGAGGGGGTACCAGTGGTACTGGCGGGTGAGCCGTAGGTAGAGTATGAGAATCCATAGCCACGCTTGGGAGGGGTGATGAGACGGTTCGCAGCATTGGGCGTGATCTTGTAGACCGGCAAGGGAGTTCGCTGTTTCTGCTTCATGCTGGAAGACAGCGGAGTTGCGAGGGGTCCAGGGGTCGATCCAGTGGGGGCAGGCAGACCCGAGAAGATAGACTGACTTCCGTAAGGGTTTCCATCAAGGAGAGAGGCCTGGAAGCTACCCGGGGCAGGCTGCGACTGTTGACCAGGCTGAGAACTTCCGAACATACTGCTGCCAGCCGGTTGCTGCTGTTGACTTTGACCACCTCCAAACAAGGATCCACCTGCGTTTTGGGTTGTATTGTTCTGAGTGTTGCCGAACAAACCGCCGCCGCCGGAGTTGGTGCTAGCACCGAAGCCGCCGAAGCCGCCAGGCTTCTGTGTCTGGTTTTGGGAGTTACCGAAGAGACCACCACCGCCGCCAGTGGCTGGTTGGGTCGTGGAGGAACCAAATCCGGAGAATGCGCCTCCAGCGGGAGCTGGGTTGGATCCAAACAGACCTCCGCCAGCTGGCTTTGCTGGCTGGTTTTGTGTGTTGCCAAACAACCCACCGCCAGTTCCTGCTTGCTGGGTTTGACCACCACCGAACAGCCCACCCCCTTGTTGCGGCTGCTGTTGCTGTTGATTACCTCCGAACAGTGAGGTTCCTGCAGCGGGTGTCGTACTACCACCGCCGAGGAGGCCGGTACCGGTACCCTGCTGAGTGTTGGTGCCGAATCCACCACCGCCACCAAACAAGGATTTGTTCTGGGCCTGAGGCTGGTTTTGTTGTGCAGTGTTGCCGAATCCACCGAACCCGCCTGTAGTTTGCTGTTGCGAAGTGCCACCACCAAATGGCGAGGCTGTTGCAGTGGAGGCTCCAAATGGATTGGCAGCGCTTGTTGTTTGAGTGTTGTTCCCGAACCCGAATCCACCACCAGTGCTGGGGCTGGCACCGAATGCAGGCTTGTTCTGCTGTTGGTTGTTGTTCCCAAACAGGCCACCGCCGGTGTTACCGAATGCTCCACCAGTATTAGTCCCAGTGTTGCTTCCAAAGCCTCCAGTAGTTTGCGTGGCACCGCCGAACATTCCGCCTGTCGAAGCTGCCGGGGTGGTACTGGCGCCACCGAATAGAGTACTGCCTGCCGGTTTGGCCGCTCCTCCAAACAAAGGATTAGAGTTCGTGGAGCCAAAGCCGCCCGCTGTTTGAGTCGCTCCGAAGCCAGTTGGTGCACTTGTAGCAGCGGCGCCACCGAATGGAGTAGCACTAGCACCGAAACCACCTGTGGTAGCAGTGTTGTTTTGGGCACCGAAACCCCCAGTGTTACCGAAGGCCGATGAACCGAATGCGCCGGCCTGGCCACTGCCATTGCCGAAACGACGGCCTTGCTGGTAATCTGCTAGACGCAGTTCCTCGAATGAAAATTTGCTGTAAGGTGGCTGGAAGCAAATGCTTTGGTAGTGGTTTGTGACGCTAGAGGCGTTATCTTTCTCGGTAAAAGCGCTGAATGGGGTACCTCCAGTGCCTTCGCAAGTAGCGGCAGCACCCGGTTGTGAGAAAGCAGTTCCTGAGCCACCAAAGCCGGTGCTTGGGGTGGTAGTAGCGCCTGCAGCTCCGAAGCCACCACCACTCGAGCCGAATCCACCAGTTCCAGTGGTTGAAGCACCAAAGCCAGTTGGCTTGCTCGCGCCGAACAGGCTTCCACCAGTGTTGGAGTTGGTGTTGGTGCCGAAGCCGCCAGTGGTTCCAGAGCCAAATCCACCTGTGCCGGAGCCGAAACCTCCAGTGGCACCGGCAGTCTGCGTATTTCCAAACATGCCTCCGCTATTAGTGGTGTTTGTTGCGCCGAAGCCACCAGCGCGGGGCTGAGATCCGAAAAGTGAATTGGGTTGAGATTGTGTGTTTGTTCCGAACGCTGTAGAGAGACAGAGGTTAGTGACCGAAATAGAAAATTTGACTGCATTAAGTATCCCAAGTCCATGAGCCAAGTGAAGTCCCCGGGTACGATCAGGACACGTTTTTTCGGCAGGCGGGTCGTCCATTTTGATGATTGATACGGGAGTCACAGCGATCGTGGAAGTTCCGTGGGCACAATTTGGGACGACATGAATCGAAATTTGGCAGCTTGCGACGGCTAGCCGTGCTCAAAAGCACCGGGAACGTGGTGCGAATCCCAGGGGTTGAACGTACCTCCGCTGGTGCCGGTGCCGGTGGCAGTGCCAGATCCGAAGCCAGTGCTTGTGCCACCACCAAAGGCACCGGTGCCCGAGGTTCCAGTGGCGCCTCCGAATGGGGATGCGGTCGAGCCAAAGCCTAGAGAACGGAGGGGATCGCGGTCAGAGGGACTGGTTTTTCGAAGATGCCCTGGCATTCCATATCTTGTCGAGGTGTCGCCCGAACATCCAAGGTATTCACCGGGTTATTTGAATTGACTTGGCCCAGATCGTAGAGTCGAGATGTTTCGCCTTGCGCGTGTTGCACAATCGCGGGTCGAGGTCGAGAGCACCGAGTGTCGAGATAGGAAACGCCGAGGACAGAGAAAAGGGGAATGGATTCCAGGTTTCCCAGAAGTTTCATCGGGAGAGAAAAGAAGAGAAATAACCTACCTCCGCCAGTGTTGTTGCTAGCTCCGAAGCCAGAGCCTGTGCCAAAGCCGCTGCTCTGGTTGTTGGACCCAAACCCTCCAAATCCGAAAGACATTGTCGGTTGGAGTTTCCGGGTATTCACGAAGTCATAGGTCGATTGCGCGCAGGTGAATAGTATTGAGATTAAGGATCCGGGGCAGTTGACAGGGTTGCGCGGATGGAAGGGCAGAGAGAGGGAGAGGACGCGACAGAAAAGAACTCAAGTTTGAAAGATTAGTCACCTGGGCAGTTAGGCACGCTCCCCGGGGTGAGAAGGACCGCACGATTTCTATTGGTCGGAGCTCTCAATATCTTATGTCATCCGCTGATTCAGCAGTCCAATGTGAGGTCACCTGAGCACCTGCCCAGTACGCTTTAGGCATCTTTCCTCCGGAACTCTGATCCCCGGTCACTGCCTTCTCATGATCCTAGACGGAATACACAGATGAGGAATTTACAATCACCTTATTGAGGCAACAGACATCTTCATCAATTGACTCCAAAATGAAACTTTCACTGCTACCTGAAGCTATCTAAACTCAGCATATGCGAAGTCAGCTGGCACAAGGCATCTCTGACGCTCTCCAAATGCGTAAATCCCCAACATCGCCCCGGTGAAATTTGCACCAACCGGGGGCGGTGCCGTGAGACTCGCGTTCGAGGCAGACCCAATCCAATGAATGTCGGGTTCTGTGTCTTCGCGATAGCCAAATCTATATTCAGCACCACACTGAATAGTGAGAGTCAATGTCGTCGCAGGCCCCAGTCTGCGCTCCACTGGATCACCCTCCGATGGTTGGAATCGGAGATATCTCCCGGTGGTGTCTTTACGGATCCCCAAAGTGCTGTGCGTGAAATAATTCATCCAAACCACCGTCCCGGCTTCGGTCTGATTTGACGTGGGGTGGAATGATAGACTTGTCTCCCACGTACAACACCGGTGAGTTTGTTTCCGAAGAAACATAGTCGGGCAAGCCGGTACCGATAGGTTGTAAGGCCCGCCGTAAAGGCGGAGGTTATTGGGCCTCTCCGTCAGCGAATAGTCCTTGATCAACGGCGTGTCTTTTTCAATCAGTCAGCATTTCTCGTTTCTCGCTTTTGACAAGCACTCACTTTTTCGATACCAGCCCAATTTCATTTGAGGTCTCGAGAATTCATCTTTCCAAGCGACAGCGGTCTCGGTCTGGTAAAGTCCAGGACCGCGGGAGGTCAACCCGATTTTGGCACCCCCATTAATGACCGGCCAATCGTCTATCCACTCCAAAGGTGCCAGAAATGTCTCACGCCCTACTTAAGTGAGTCTTATGACCAGGCAAATATTCCAGCGACACATACCTAGCACCGATTCCTCCCACCTACCGTCCCGTCGGACAGGACGAACGCCGAGCATAACTGCCCACCACTGGCCACGAGAATCTTCTACCAGATCGGCATGTCCTGTGTTCTGTACTTCGTCTTCCACTCCATTCCGCCAGAGAGGATTGTTAGGACCTAGTTCCCACGGTCCCATGGGACCAATTTCGCTGCGACTGACCCATTCACAGTGGCCACTTTCGGTACCTCCTTCTGCGGTAAAAAGATACCAATATCGTCCGCGTCGAAAGATATGTGATCCTTCTGCAACACCGGATGAGGACTCGCGGATAAGCTTAGGCTCGGACGTTGACCTCCCGGTGTCCAAGTCCACAGTGCATATATGGATGGCAAAGTCTTTCAATCTTGGACCCGGGGTTGGTTCGAGCTTTCGATAAGTAGACGACAAGTACACCGTGCCGTCATCATCCCAAAAGAGCTACCGAGAATAAGTCAATGGCTGATCTTCTCTTTCGTGATATATTTGTGTCAGCTTACATCTTGGTCAAATCCAACCTGGTCAAAGTAGATTGGGTCGGCCCACGCCGCTTGATCCCATATATTTGTAGTCTTAACGCAAAATCCCTGAGGCCAAACTCGATCATCCGACTGCGGCCTATATCGCTGGAAGCTCGCTGCAACAATGTAGTAAACACCTTCGTGGTAGCGGATAGTACTTGCCCACACACCTCCTCCCGGCTCGGGGGTGTGGATCTGTAGCTGACTCGGACGCGTCAAAGCGTGACCAATCAAAGTCCATCTAACCAGGTCTTTGCTGTGGTAAATAGGGATACCTGGAAAGTATTCGAATGTAGATGTGACCAGGAAGAAATCGTCGCCGACACGCACAATCGAGGGATCAGGATTGAATCCTGGGATAATGGGATTGACACAACTCATGTCCACCTGGATTTCAATGTTGCATTTTCCAAGGTTGGAAAGTTCCCGTCTCAAGGCGCTCAGTTGTTGGTCGAAGGGCCCATATATATAAACCAAGACATTGCGATTGGTGGAGAAACAACGGCCTTCAAATCTTCCAAGGTTGGGACCCTGGACACTCCCGAGGTCTGACCTCGGAACTAGCCCTTCAAGGTTCGTTCGAGTTACGGGAACGGCCGTAACCTACTTAACCTTCCAAGGTTGTGACCTAACCCCAGAGTACCCACAATAGTGGGGAATCTGCCAGGTGCCAATGATGCTGTTCCCTGGACCAGGTAACTGCAAGCCTACAACTATGCCAAACCTGTGCTTATGTCGAGCTCTAATGATAATCGATCGGCGACTGTGGACACAGAAAACGACTTAAGTATTCCCAATAAGTAAAAGCAAGCAAGCAAGCAAGACGGCTCAGAAGAAGACATCAAAAGGGTCCTCGTTCTTCTGTGCGAATTCACCAGGGCTATTCGTAATTGCACCATCAACCGGTTTCATTCCTTCATAGCGCATGAGGGTAGGATGAGCCCTAACAACATGCTCCCACCGTGGAAATTCAACACCTTCGTCCGAAACGATCAAGGTGTAATGTTGTAATGTGCTTGCCCTCCGCATCCTGGAACTCGACGGTCATGTGCAAAGGCGCGTCCGGGTCGGTGCCACCGCGGTGAAAAAGAGGTAGGTTGCTACCTCTTGTCAGAAACCACAAAAACACAAAGTGCAAATAGAGAAAGTCATGGTACCTTTTCACCGAGGGAGACCTGACAAATGCGCTTGAGAATTTTCGTGTATCAACTTTGCTGTATTCCATCACGGAAGTATCCGAAATGGTCGTTCGGTGGTCAGGATTCGAGTATCCGATGTCTACTGGATTATCGATAGCCATTTCGTAAAACTTTGGGGATGTAGAAAGTCTGCTGTACTACAAGAGATGATCTAGGAAGATAAACAAGGCTGGTAGAACTATCAGTCAATGTGTCGGTTGAAGTTCGGATGGACATGATTTGAGTCTTTATATCTGAGGTTTAACAAAGAGCCTCATGTTATATTCCCTGCCGGTCTCTCTTTCTTTGGGGAATGGGCCCTTCGGCCTGACAAGATTCTGGGAGCTCGATGTCATCGAAGTGATACAGCTCTCACATATGCTAGGCGGTATTTTTTACGGACGGGGACCGATTGTGTGAAGTTCGGGTGCTCATCTCAAAAAGCTCCTATCCCAAAGCTTCTGCAGTTTCAGATAACTCTCACTCTCCCCCTTCACTTGGTCAATACAAGAAACTCCCATCCCAAAGCCTCTATAGTTTCGGATAGCTCTTACTCTCCCCCTTCACTTAGTTAATACAATGAACTCCCATCCCAAAGCCTCTGTAGTTCAGATTGCTCTCACTCTCCCCCTTCACATAGTCAATACAAGGAGCTCTTCTCTTGCCTTACTGATCGTTAGCGAGTAGCTAGCTCAACACCAATGATGACTTTGGCTTCTGTTATTATTACATGCATTTCCCTTTTCACCATTGAAGGGAGATATAACGGAGGGTGGCGGCCCAGGGGGCGTACAGAATCTCCAGAGCCTCCGTAGTTGCTGAGTGATTGGTCTGGAATCAAGTGATACGACGGGGAAGACATACGGAGTACAGAAGCCTCGCAATTCGGGCTTGCCAAGACTTCGTTTTTCAATGAATCCTCATCCATATACTCCGTATTGACTGGCATTCATGGATCGGTCATGCGCGTTTGTCATTGAGCTCATAGTATTATCTATGGGTGGAAGAGCCATATCAGTTTCGCAAATGCTTGCATGAAGATGACCCGAATCTTTGTAGTGTCAGTGCCAGGGGTTCGTGGTCAGGCAGGGGTCCCCTGCAGGTGCCCAGGTGCAAATGAATCCACGAATTCGACCAATATCTTGGTATCATGGATACCTAGGTAGTAGTCGCACAGTCCTGGAGAACAAGGAACAAGATGAGATAATGTACGGAGTACTCCGGGCTCCACCAGGGCTCAGGGCTGTTGATCCATTTTTGACATGTCTTTTTCTTCCAGTCTGAGTCGTAGCGAGCCTGGACTATAGACCTCATTGATTAACGTAGAACGGGCAACATTTGAAAGTTGCCAAGGGATGCTGTTTCACCAGTGCATGTGGCTTATCGTGAATCAAAGTCTGGAAGAGCATATCCCAGACATCACTCTAAACTATTCTCGAAGACAAAGCCCATAAAATACCCAGGTGGAGCATCAATTCAAAGAAAACTCTTTAATAAAGAGAATACTGTATGCTATACATGCACGAGAAGACTTTTGCATGGCTTAATCTGGGTTTTGAAATGGACACGATTGATATATAAATCACAAAGAGATTTGGATCTCTTTGTACTTTTTCGAGAGTACATTGATCTATGAATATACCTACCTACCTAGAATTGTATTGAAGTCTAGAATTGATGCCTGATTGTAGGCGCGCAGGTGTAGCCATCTATGGATAGCCAGAAGGAAAACAGGCCAAGTGCCCAGGTGGACCGAAAGGAGTATGTAAAGATAGTCATACATAGGTAGAGGTCATACATAGGTAGAGGCCCTTAAGTCTTTCAGAGTGTTTACACTGCCAAGAATGGTCAGCGTTTGACAAGGTTCAGCACTTCACAAAGCCCGAGGGTCCACGGCTCCATCCAGGTGGGTCCAGTTGAGGGGATCAGACACATGTACATACATAGTAGTAAAACAGGCGTTTGCCCGGGCCCCCACCCAAAGATGGTACCTGAGGATCCATGGATTCACCCATGTACATGCTGCACGGAACAAACAATACCACACCGGTCTTTGCGCTATAAGCACCTGTGGACATTTCCCTTTAATCACCCAAGGTTGCCCATCCAACTTACATCTCTTTTTCTGAATTTATCCTCAACTGAAACTCACCTGGGTTGGCCTGGAAGTGACAAAGATGACCACTGCTAAGGATCCAAACCGGCGAGCATCGCCGTGCTCTTCACCGCACGCCGAGAGCCCCCAGCAGAGCGTGACCACTGCCGAAGAATCAAACCGACCAGCGTGTCCGCCTCGATGTCCTTCACCACACGTTGAGAGCACCCAAGAAGATCTGACCACCGTGGGGGATTCAAACCAACCAGCGCCTCCGTCCCCTTCTCCGCACGACGAGGACTCCCAAAAAGACATCGAAGAAGGCAGGGCTGCATACCAACCTGGCGGATTCCACCCTGTATATATCGGTGATGTATTCAACAACAGGTACAAGATATTGAACAAGCTTGGGTATGGCAGATATTCTACTGTTTGGCTTGTTCAAGATGTTCAAAATCAGTAGGTGAGCCCTTGTCTTTCTTCAATGAATGGCCAATAATAAAGGATAGGGGACATGAGACTCGTGAATTCCTCGCGCTGAAGGTCCTCAGTGCCGAATGTTACGGCGACGAGAAGGACATCTTCGAGAGAGAGATCCTGAAGCACCTGAGAGATTGCAATCCCGAGCAGCTTGGATACAAACAAATCTGCCATCTGGTGGATGACTTTGAACACAAGGGTCCTAATGGAACCCACATTTGCCTCGTGTTTGAGGCCATGGGAGAGACTCTGGACAGTTTTCAAGCCATGTTTCCGGAATGCAGAATTCCAAACCTGTTGACACGAAGATTCGCAATTCAGATGTTACTGGCATTGGATTATGCCCACGATCATAACGTCATCCATACAGGTAATCGATCCTGCACAGCCCACGAGACAATGGTCAAATTTGGCAGAAATACAGGCCTAACTTTCCTATAGACATCAAACAAACCAACATCTTTGTTAAAATACAGAATCACACTCTCATTAAAACTGGCTACCTTGCCAAGGAGTCCCCCCCGCAGCAGGACAAGGACGAGGAGCAATATGCCGTCATTCCTTCCCGTCCCCTCCGTCAATACTATTTCAACGATGATGCCAGATTGAGCGACTTTAACATCGTGCTCGGGGACTGGGGTGTTTCGAGCTGGGCCGACAATCATCTCACTGAGAATATCCAGCCTGTAGCCCTCCGTGCCCCCGAGGTTCTGATCAGAGCCCCATGGAATGCGACCACGGATCTGTGGAACCTCGGCGCCATCCTGCTGGAACTGATGTGCGCGATGCGCATGTTCAGCGGGGCGGTCCCTCCCGATAGGCATTACGAGGTGAAAGAACACTTGAGAGAGATCGTGGATCTCTTCGGTCCTTTCCCCAAGGCACTACTCGAGAAAGGAGCGCCAGATATTGTTTCGATATTTGATGACGAAGGAAGGCCGAAGGATGAGCCTCCTATGGATAGGCCGGGGCTCTCAACAGAGGCGTTTACACCAGGATTGGACCAGGAAGTCAGGGAGCAATTTGTTTCCTTTTTGTTCGCGTTGATGAAACTAAACCCTGCGGAGCGGCTGTCGCCTGAGGATCTCCTCCGACATCCTTGGTTAGATGCCATCAGATAGTCCTGGGAAACCTTGGAAGCTAGCTTAGTCAATAGAGATGAAAGTGATGACTGTCTACTGAGGTCCTTTTTCTAAAAAAAAAGATTCCTGTCCCACGGGGGTTGCTCCAGTACGGATGACCAACTGGGAAGCGAATTCTTACTATGGTCGAAAATACAGGGACAGTCCGCGGGGATCTTCAAACTATGATTATCTATTGTTTCAATGGTGCCTTCACACACCCTAGTATTATACAGTACAAGTCCCCGCACGCTTGATCGCTGGCTAATAGACGATCACTGCGGGCAACGCTGATCACGCCTGCATGATCGAACCTCTCCACTGATCTGCGACACTGCAGCTATGGGAGCTGGCGTGGCGCACACAGGGTTAATGTACCTGCAGACGGCCCCTTGAAACGAATTGCCACGCGATAAAGCCGCTAGTATTCGACCGAAAGTCAAAAAGACCAGTCAGCCTTTACTGACGCGGGCGCTTAATCCAAGTCGCTGTTCCGCATGATACGCGTAGCCTCATTAACACGCCAGCAAGCTCCGCACCCTCCATCCAAGGCATCACTGAATAGCCTTCTTGGGACCCGGAATGTGCACGTTGGCTATCAGACAGACCGACCGGCGAAGATCGAAGCCAGCCATAGAGGACACAGAGCGATTGTCACGGAACGAACCACTGTTGAGCATCTCGGAACTAGGCTCAACTGGCTCCCTGGCACGAGCAGGGAACTTGTCGCGGAGTATGAAGCCAGCAAACTGCTGACGGAGAGCACGAAGCGACAACGCAACATGCGGAGGCAATGCCTTCTGACTAGCGATTGCGCCCAAAACGCGCGCAATATCCGTTTCAAAAACTCGGCTCTCCCGCCCCTGAACCCAAGTGAACCGCGCAGACTTGGCGTCCCAGTTCCATTCAACACAAACGCCCGACGGAGCACCAGCCACAGCACCTATCTTGACCAGCGCGTCTGGCGCATATGGACTCAACCGACGCAATGCGATCTCCGGATCGACGTAAGGGGCGCTCACATAAGGAAGACTAGGAACAGGGGCCTGATTCACCGAGGCGCGTTTGGAGTCGACTATGCTGACGTTGGCGCTGTGTCGGTGATTGGGGGCGGCGATGGCCGTGATGGGATCCACGGGTTGCGGGGCAGCACGGACCAAGGCGATGGCAGCCAGGGATCTGTAGGCCTGAGACCAATAGCTGCTAGCCCATCGGAGACGATAGTATTCCTCCAAGGCCGACAAAGCCTGCTCAGTGAGCGCGGCGCCTCCAAACACGGCTCCGGGCACGGGACGATCAAAGATCAAGAGAACGCGATTCGTGCCGCCGGGATGTCTGTAGCGCGTACAGGCTGGCATGCACGCGACGCGCGGGTCTTCGATTCCGAAGCGCCAATCGTACGCGCCTGCGCCGCCAGGCACGAACAGTGACGCGAGAGCCAGCGCGGGCTCGAGCGGCATGTCGCTTGGAATGTAAACAGGTAGGTGAGACGGGTAGCGCCTGATGGCGCCAGCCGTGTTGGACAGCTCGGTATACTGAATATCCCAGTCTGGGGCGTTGGGCGCCGCGGACGCAGTGGCGCCGGTTCTCACGCTGAACAATGCCTGCACTATGCGAGTGGTGAGGCCCATGAATGGGGCGCGCGAGGCGGCGATCTCATTGATACCGACGACGTGAAGGATGCTGGATGCGAAGGAGCCTTCGCGCCTGGCATCCTGGTCAGCCTGGCTTGTGGTTGTGACGATATCGCGCTCGGATTGGTCAAGGAGAGCGCGGTCCGGGGTGACGTCGGTATCGTGATCGATGGCTATCAGCGGCCTTGCTTGCGCAATGGGCACGATGTCGATATGTTCGATTTTCGCCGACGGCTTGGGAACCGTGGGTTTCAATGGCTTTTCATCGTCTCTCACTTTCCAAGGTTTTTCTTCCGCGATGGGCACGACGACGACGTTCTCGGACTCGGCAGTTCTGGTGCTCTCTGAGCTCATGGAGCGGGATTGTCCATTGGACTGAATGGTGTCCAGTTTGCCAATCAGGCCATCCTGGTTCTCGACGCTCTCGGCGATCGGCCGCGCAGCTTCAGAAACGAAGGCCATTGCGAATACACACGAGAGAGTGTCAAGCTCTGTTAAGGGGGATAAGAACCAGGAAGTCTCGTCATACTGCATTTGGCAATTAGCGGGGCTCCCAGCCGAGAATGGGGGATTCATCTCGATCGGATGGTTGGACCATTGGTTCGACGCCGAGTGGATCCAGCATTCCAAGATTGAGATCTTGAGGCGCATTTTAGGGCCATCTCACACTTCTGTTTCTCATTAATTAGTTCACGCCACAATGGACCTTGGATACTAAATCCAAAGTTGCGCAGATGCACGCCTCTGAAGAACGTGAACGTGAACGTGAACGTGGAAATGTTGCTGGGCTGATGGAACGGACACTATACTCCATAGGGGAGGTGTAATTTCCTTTGCATGATCAACATGGCCAAACCCACTTTTATTCGGTAAAGCTCTCAGAATCAACGAAATGACAATGAGTACACAGGGCTAGCCTAGGACAGTGCTAAATGTACTAGATACTATACAGTACAGCAGCCTGCTAAATCCCACCCCACTTGGCATATAAAGAACATGAGCGCGGGTCAAGCTGTTCGGCAACCTACACAGTGACGGACTTGGTGTGTGTCACTGGGGCACCGGGGTGCAAGCAGGGGTGGCATTCTTAGGCGCCCCAGGAATGCTCAGGTGGCCGCCGTACATACTGAAACAGGAAGAGCGCGATGGCGGTCTGACGTAGGAGACAGGACGATGGGAGGGCAGGGCCTATTAGGCTATCACCCAGGGCTAGGGAGAGGAGAGCATGGGATGGTAAAGAAGCTGAAAGGTCTCTGAATTGCTCAACACGCGCGGGGTCAGGTTATATAGCCATAATACTAAATCATCCATAGACCGAGGGATCCAGGGCTTGTTGATCTATCACATTGCGCAGTTTCCCCACTACAATACATAGCGGCCGCGGAGGGTCTTCGCCTGTTTCCAACTGATCAGGGTCGCAGAATTCGCCGCTGAGCAAGAAAGCCTGGGTAGTTATTGCAGGGTGCCACCATTGAATCCTCAAATTGAGGAAAATGCAGCTGTGGCACGAACCATTCTTCGAGGCGGCCTTGCCTATTCGAACATATTAGATATCTACTGCATTGTGACGCGGGGGAGTCGAAGGCAGCTTATTGGGCTAGACAGAGAAGCAATACATACTTTTCTTTGCGTCTTTTGACGCAGCGGACCGAGGTCCTCGTCTTTTTTTGGGGGGTCGCCCCTAGATATTGAAGAACATCAGTGATCTAGTAGTATTCCTAGAGGAAGGAGTGCTCTCTTACCCCCATCATCACCGCTGCTCTGTTCATAGCAGCCAACTCCTGGACCCTCCAGCAATGTTGGGCGTCATGCCCCGGGCGATTGCAGAAGCTACACTTTGTCCACAGTATTCGTCAGTAAAGGCTTAAATGACACCAATTGACCTCCCGAGGCCCCGAGGTCGATCAACCTCGATTATTCAGCAATGACGACGACCCCGAGACCTCTGCAGCATGATTCCTTGGAGCTATCGTCATTCAACATGAAGAGGGTTGCACTTACCTTGGACATTGTAACGAACGACGAATTTTGAGGTTCTCCTAGTATTCCTGGGGGAAGGAGTGCTCTCTTACCCCCATCATAACGGCTGCTCTATTAAGAGCACCCAGCTCTCTTACTCTCCAGCAATCGTGGCATGTCCCGCGTGACGACATCCATGGATTCCAAGGTTATCCACTCGACCCGTAAAGTTTGACCTTCGTTGCACTGGCAATGTTCTCATCCGTTTCCAAAACGGATGGCGGCCGAGTCGCTCTTCTGAGAATTTTGGTTGCCGATGTGTTTTCAATTTCAGACTCGCGTCTGATTGCCGTTGAGCAGATTTAGCCAGTAGCAAGCTTTCCAAAATCTCCCCAAGAGGATGCTTGTCGGAGACTTTGAGATTAGAGGCTTTGAGGATGTCTTTGGGGACTTGATGCTGCTCGAAGGGAATGATGCCACATGATTGATGTTGTATGTTGTTCATCAAAGAGTATGCAGATAGTTGACAGGAGGATGGAGAGATGCAGCAAGACCCCAGATGTACCTATACTTGGGCAGGCACGCGACTTCCTCGGTGTTTGTTTACATCGATCGGCTGGAAAGTGCAACTCTTCTACCGCACACATACCTCAAGGACCAAGAGGTTTCTGCTTCTCAGTGCAATTGCTCAACTTTGCCCAGGTGTACTCGTGTTGACTTCTCTCTTGCCTGAATGCCGAACATCTGCAGTCATTAGGTACCTATCGTCCTAAGTAAAAAGCTATCCTACCATCCCACACTCATATCTTCATCAATTAATATTCATGACCCAGACCTATATGTCTCATCAGGCGCTTTATTTTGGCTGCTAGCCGCCCGTGTATTGGGTCAGTCCCGACGGGTTTGCACACCATGTACCGAAGGAACAACCCCAACGGTGCGGTCTGGGGGTCTTCAAAGCTCCATAGCTTCGAGTATTGCAAATCCACACTCTTCCCGTCATATAAGACTTGAATGATTCTCCCGCGTCGATCACCAATGAAAGAGAAAACCAAGATCTGCATAACTATCAGAACCCATTATAGCAACAATCTGCTGCGACTAACGGGATGAAGATGACAATTGCGATAGAGCTTGTTGCGACATTGAACTCGTAAGATGCCCACAATGGCTCTCAGCTCGTGGGTCGTAAGACCCTGGTTCTGGTCGGTGCAACGGACAGTGGAGACACATCTCATAGTTGAATGAAAGTAGTTGATGCATTTGGTGTGGTCCATTACTGTCCATTCTTTTGAGCGCCCGGTCTGGGTTTCACGGGTCCAATCGCAATGGTCAGGGCTAAGACTTGTGAGTTACATGCACAAGTGCAGAATCTCGGGTTGACCATGGTACGGAAACTTACAAAGG